GGGACGAAGAGGGAATGAGTAGGGAGGAGAGGGACGAAGAGGGAATGAGTAGGGAGGAGAGGGGACGAAGAGGGAATGAGTAGGGAGGAGAGGGACGAAGAGGGAATGAGTAGGGAGGAGAGGGACGAAGAGTGAATGAGTAGGGAGGAGAGGGACGAAGAGGGAATGAGTAGGGAGGAGAGGGACGAAGAGGGAATGAGTAGGGAGGAGAGGGACGAAGAGGGAATGAGTAGGGAGGAGAGGGACGAAGAGGGAATGAGTAGGGAGGAGAGGGACGAAGAGGGAATGAGTAGGGAGGAGAGGGGACGAAGAGGGAATGAGTAGGGAGGAGAGGGACGAAGAGGGAATGAGTAGGGAGGAGAGGGACGAAGAGGGAATGAGTAGGGAGGAGAGGGACGAAGAGGGAATGAGTAGGGAGGAGAGGGACGAAGAGGGAATGAGTAGGGAGGAGAGGGACGAAGAGGGAATGAGTAGGGAGGAGAGGGACGAAGAGGGAATGAGTAGGGAGGAGAGGGACGAAAGAGGAATGAGTAGGGAGGAGAGGGACGAAGAGGAATGAGTAGGGAGGAGAGGGACGAAGAGGGAATGAGTAGGGAGGAGAGGGACGAAGAGGGAATGAGTAGGGAGGAGAGGGACGAAGAGGGAATGAGTAGGGAGGAGAGGGACGAAGAGGGAATGAGTAGGGAGGAGAGGGACGAAGAGGGAATGAGTAGGGAGGAGAGGGACGAAGAGGGAATGAGTAGGGAGGAGAGGGACGAAGAGGGAATGAGTAGGGAGGAGAGGGACGAAGAGGGAATGAGTAGGGAGGAGAGGGACGAAGAGGGAATGAGTAGGGAGGAGAGGGACGAAGAGGGAATGAGTAGGGAGGAGAGGGACGAAGAGGGAATGAGTAGGGAGGAGAGGGACGAAGAGGGAATGAGTAGGGAGGAGAGGGACGAAGAGGGAATGAGTAGGGAGGAGAGGGACGAAGAGGGAATGAGTAGGGAGGAGAGGGACGAAGAGGAATGAGTAGGGAGGAGAGGGACGAAGAGGGAATGAGTAGGGAGGAGAGGGACGAAGAGGGAATGAGTAGGGAGGAGAGGGACGAAGAGGGAATGAGTAGGGAGGAGAGGGACGAAGAGGGAATGAGTAGGGAGGAGAGGGACGAAGAGGGAATGAGTAGGGAGGAGAGGGACGAAGAGGGAATGAGTAGGGAGGAGAGGGACGAAGAGGGAATGAGTAGGGAGGAGAGGGACGAAGAGGGAATGAGTAGGGAGGAGAGGGACGAAGAGGGAATGAGTAGGGAGGAGAGGGACGAAGAGGGAATGAGTAGGGAGGAGAGGGACGAAGAGGGAATGAGTAGGGAGGAGAGGGACGAAGAGGGAATGAGTAGGGAGGAGAGGGACGAAGAGGGAATGAGTAGGGAGGAGAGGGACGAAGAGGGAATGAGTAGGGAGGAGAGGGACGAAGAGGGAATGAGTAGGGAGGAGAGGGACGAAGAGGGAATGAGTAGGGAGGAGAGGGACGAAGAGGGAATGAGTAGGAGGAGAGGGACGAAGAGGGAATGAGTAGGAGGAGAGGGACGAAGAGGGAATGAGTAGGGAGGAGAGGGACGAAGAGGGAATGAGTAGGGAGGAGAGGGACGAAGAGGGAATGAGTAGGGAGGAGAGGGACGAAGAGGGAATGAGTAGGGAGGAGAGGGACGAAGAGGGAATGAGTAGGGAGGAGAGGGACGAAGAGGGAATGAGTAGGGAGGAGAGGGACGAAGAGGGAATGAGTAGGGAGGAGAGGGACGAAGAGGGAATGAGTAGGGAGGAGAGGGACGAAGAGGGAATGAGTAGGGAGGAGAGGGACGAAGAGGGAATGAGTAGGGAGGAGAGGGACGAAGAGGGAATGAGTAGGGAGGAGAGGGACGAAGAGGGAATGAGTAGGGAGGAGAGGGACGAAGAGGGAATGAGTAGGGAGGAGAGGGACGAAGAGGGAATGAGTAGGGAGGAGAGGGACGAAGAGGGAATGAGTAGGGAGGAGAGGGACGAAGAGGGAATGAGTAGGGAGGAGAGGGACGAAGAGGGAATGAGTAGGGAGGGAGAGGGACGAAGAGGGAATGAGTAGGGAGGAGAGGGACGAAGAGGGAATGAGTAGGGAGGAGAGGGACGAAGAGGGAATGAGTAGGGAGGAGAGGGACGAAGAGGGAATGAGTAGGGAGGAGAGGGACGAAGAGGGAATGAGTAGGGAGGAGAGGAACAAAAAGGGAAGGAGCGGGGAGGAGAGGAACGAAGAGGAGGGAGCACCTCTTTTCCTCCCTCCCAGAGAGAGCAGCGTGGGCAAGGTAGTGATGATTCAGCTTCAGTGGGAGGGCAGCTATGGTGGTAAAGGGGTGGGGACAGAAGAGGGCAGTGCGGAGAGGGGAGTGATGCAGCTTCAAGGCGTGGGTAGTGATTGTGGAGGGGGGAAGGGGAAGGAGGTGGGGGAAGATAGGGGGGTGGGGGACTGTTGGCGATTAGTGGGTGACGGGGCGGAAGGGATTTGTGGGGGAGGCGAGGATTATTGGAGGGGACAGGAAGAGGGAGGAGGAGAAACAGAGGAAGGGAGGAGTAAGGGAGAGGGAAGAGTGGGAGGGCAGAGGGTAGAGGAAAACGGAGGAGGGGTGAGGGCAGAGGAAAGGCGAGGAGGGGAGAGGGAAGAGGAAAGGGGAGGAGGGAAGGGGTACGAGGAAGTGCGAATAGAGGAGGAAGAGGGAGGAGGAGGGGGTGAGAGGGAAAGGGAAGGCATGGATGGAAGGGAGGAGGAAGAGGGAGGAGGATGCAGGAAAAAACACCTGAAAAGTCACCTGAGGCAGCAGAAGAGATACCTGGGCACGAAGGTGCGTGATTTTGTGGGGAGGACGGGTCGTCCATACAAGCTGAAGAAACACCTGAAGGCAACAGAGAAGGAGCACCTGAGGAGGCGAAAGGAGATGCTCCTGAAGGATGAAGAGATACACTTAAAGTGGCAAGAAGAACACCTGAAGCAACAGAAGGATCTCCTGAGACAGCAGGGGGATTACCTGAAGCAACAGATTGAGCAGCAGGAGTTCAACCTGAAACAGAGGGAGATGCTCTTGAAGGAGGAAGAGTTTCACCTGAGACACCTGGAGGAACACCTGAAGCAACGGAATGAACACCTGATGCAGCAGGGTGATTGCATAAGGGAACAGAAGGAGCAGCAAGAGTTACACGTCAGGCAGCAGGAGGAGCACCTGAAACAACAGAACGAGACCCTGAACCATCAGGAAATCCACCTGAAGCGTAAGAGGGAAAATCTGGAGCTTCAGGTGAGACGCACGCGGATGCGGTGGGATCGCCTGATTAGTTGCTCTGTAAAACCTCGTGATTTGCGAAGAAAAGTGGTGGTGAGTGGTTCGGTGAGGGGGAGGACGGTGGAGGATGGTGGAGTTAGAGGAAGAGCGGTTGCGGCGAGTGGTGTGGAGGGAGGGAGAGTGGTGGAGGATGGAGGGAGAGGAGTATGCGTGGTTAAGGATGAGATAGAGGCAGTGGGGTGGTGAGGGATGGAGAGAGAGGCAGTGGGGTGGTGAGAGTTGGAGAGAGGGGAGGGGGGGTGGTGAGGAATGGAGGGACAAAGAGAGATTGTGGTGAAGCATGGAGAGAGGACGATGGTGAAGAGAGGGACAGGAGGCAGGGCGGTGAGTGATGAAGTGATGGGAGGGGGCGAAGGATGAAGAGAGGGGGAGGTGGGGTTGGGGGTACAACTGACAGAGGGAGAACAAGGGGACAAGCGGGGGAAGCACCTCTGCCTCACGCCCTACCATAGCATAACCAAATAATGACTCATGAGCTAAATTGCCTTAGTTCAATCTCAACATGGCCTTAGAAACCCCTATCACTTCCCTCATGCTGGCTCTACCGCATGGGTGGAACAGCTGAAAGGGGAAATGATGAGGGAGAAGCAACCCCCCCTCAGCGTGTCTCACCCACCCCAGCCTAGTACAGTATAACCAGTGGATGACTTTTGAGCTGGCATATATAGCTAGAAGTTGTGGTCTTAAAAAAACATGTTATCGCACTACTGCGTTTGCTTTCCCCTAATGGCTTGGGGCTGTGTGTAAGAAACGAGCGAGAGAATTATTCTCATTATGTGTTTAATTTGATATGCGCTTTAGTAAATTTGACTTGTGTGTGGATGTCGTAACTGCTTACACGTAAAAATTGTCACATAAAATCGCATTTCAAATTAAATGTTCGAGCCAGTTGAGTATGGTATGTGATGCAGCTCACTTCCCCCACCTCCTTGTACAAGAATTGTGTTTTACCTCCATAGTGATGCATTACAGGTGTTGTTCACGAGCAGTACTAATTGCGAGGCAACTAATGTCGCAGCTGTCAAGGCTCAACTCGTATTGCAGTCAACCATGCATTCCATGCGGCAAATTCTTTCCACCAATCAGTGAGCTCGCTTACATTTGCGAATAAGCGCTTTTTATTTGCGTGAGGTGCCTTAGCCACTACCATGGATAGCGCGTGAGGCGACAGAGGAGATGACAAGAAACGCTCGTTGCGACTGAGACACGTGGCTGTTTTCGGAAGTGGGCGAGCTCAATGATTGGTATTCGAGAGATAAGTGCCTAAAAAATTCCCTTCCGCGCCTAGCTATTACGAAAGGAGAGGCGCGAAGTTTGCTGCGAACGCATTTTGCCCCATCTCGTTTCCGTCGACATTCAAATGTCGCCCTGTCTCTTTACCTTGCCAGTAAATAGAGTATACTACACTGCGCGGGGCCGGGTATAGAGCTAGGAGGCGAGTAGACTGCACGGGTGTGATATTAACGGGCGTCACGCGCGCTGCGCTATCGGTGACACGCGCAATCGCGGGGGAACAGTTTCACGTCTACTAGGGTGGTAGAAGGTGACTCGTGAGTCGAGCTCGTAAGTTGACGTTACTAGTTGGCTAAGAAGTCACCTTGACAATAGGTTCCGGTCTAGAAGGGTGATAGAGAGAGGGATGGGATCATCCCTGCAACGGAGAATGAAAGCGGCGCGGAATGATTATTTGATGGATGCGAGGAACGGCATCCGCGTCGCAACGGGTATTATTGAGGCGCCTCGCACCTCAACGGGTATCCGCGTGACTCTTGGGCGTGCGAATCCGCCGGACGGCCCGCCGTCGCTACGGCGGTACACCCGGCGGCTTCCGTCTCCTCTTGCGCAGGGGAATGCTGCGGAAGTTCTGCCCCTTGCGTCTCGTCTGGCGCAGCGGAATGGCGCGGAGGTTTCGCCTATTCGCACGCCGCGGCGGGATGACGAGTCGGTTCCGCTCGTTCCGCCCGTCCCCGCGGGGGGGGCTGACGCGGAGGTTCTTCTTGAAGCCGCGAGAGCGGAAGGGGTTTCGCTGGTCGGGGGGAAAGCGGGTAAAGATTGGGAGGGGGAAGTGGGAAAGGGGAGGAGTGCGGCGGGAGCAGGGGGTATGCGGCGTGGGGGTTGGCGGGGAGGGGCAACGCGGTGATGGGGGGAGAAATGCATCGGAGAGAGGAATAAGGGCGGGTGATGGTGGTGGGTTGGGGGATGGCAGAGTGAGGTTTCGCGGGTCAGAGGGCCTAAGGGAATGGGCTAGAGGTTTAAATGCAGGGAGGGGAGATGGGGATGGGGGCGAGGTGGATTGGGTGGAAGAGGATGAGGAGGATGAGGAGGAGAATGAAGAGGAGGAGGATGAAGAGGGGGGGGATGAAGAGGGGGGGAATGAAGAGGAGGATGAGGAGCATGTTTGCAGAGTGACAATGGGGGAGAACGAGAGGGCGGAGGGGAAGGACCAAAAGAAGAACGCGAGGATGGAGGAGGAAGGACATTTGAAGTCCTACGCGTGTGAGGAGTGTGGAAAGGCTTTTCCTACACGGCAGAGGTTAAGCAATCACAAGGCCACCCACTCGAAAAAGGTGTGCTTCCCTCACTCCTCACTCACTCACTCACTCACTCACTCACTCGCTCACTCACCTGCTCATTCACTCACTCCCTCATTCACTCGCTCACTCACTCGCCCACTCATTCACTCACTCGCTCGCTTGCTCACTCACTCTCACTCGCTCGCTGACTCACTCACTCCCTCTCACTCCCTCGCTCACTCACTCAGTCACTCGCTCCCTCCCTCCCTCCCTCCCTCCCTCCCTCCCTCCCTCCCTCCCTCCCTCCCTCCCTCCCTCCCTCCCTCCCTCCCTCCCTCCTTCGCTCCCTCGCTCACTCATTCACTCCCTCACTCTCACACTCCACAGCCGCACGTCTCAGGTGCCTCTATCCGTTTCCATTCCATCATCGTTTTCTAATCAACTCAAAACATAGCCTTAAGTACCTGTTGTTCTCTCCTCCCCTCCCCTCGTCCCCTCTTTCCCTGCCTCTCACTGCAGTTTGTGTGCCCGCATGAACATTGTGAAAGGGCGTTCTCATTCCCATACCTGCTAGAGAGGCACCTCCGCGTTCACAACCCCGATGCTCTCCAAGTGAGGCAGCTTCAAGTGAGCTCTCTTCGCCTCCTCTGCCCCCCTTCCCCGCTTTCCCCCAACCCCCGCTCTCCCTCCCCCCTTTTTTTCCCTTCCCCCCTTCCTGCAATTCGTGTTACTGCTATTGTTTTTCCATCCCTTACCCCCCCTTCCACTGCATCAGTTTGTGTGTCCGCATGAAAATTGCCAAAAAGCATTTTCAGTCTCATTCACAGTCCCAATGCTCTCCGGGTAAGCTACCCTCCCTCTCTTCCCCTCCCTCTACCCTTCTTTTCCCTATTCTCCCTTCCTCCTTGCCTCCCCCCCTCTTTTCCTTCCTCCTCTTTCTCTCCCCTCATTCCCTCCACGTCTTCCCCTCCTTTCCTCGTTCCGTGCTGTTCGTATTTCAATCTCCCATTCCAATCCTCCCCTCTTCATCCGTCGTGCCTCACCCGCCTCTCTCTTACATGTCACACAGCTTCACAGGTCTTTAATTGAGGTGCCTCATAGCTAGCCTTGCCCCACTCCCCTTCTTACACTACACACAAATTCACAAGTCTTTATTTGAGTGCCTTATAGCTAGTCTTGCCTCCCTCGGCTCTCTTACAGTACACACAACTTCACACGAGCGTCATTGCGGTCTAATAGGTGCGACTTGCCTCTTAAAACTCAACTATGATCGACTCCTTACTCCTCTTCCCGTTCGCTTCCCCAACCCCCGCCCCCCCCCCAATCACCAGCACCCATGCTCTCATCCCCACTGCCCTCGAACCTTCAAGCGTCGAGGCGACATGCTAAGGCATACACGGAAACAGCATGGGGAGGAGGGGGAGAGTGGGGTCGCGGTAAAGAGAGGGAAGGAAAGGGACGAGGAGGAAAGGAGGGAGGAGGAGAGGAGGGAAGAGGTGAGGAGGGAGGAGGAGAGGAAGGAAGCAGCAAGGAGGGAGGAGAGGAGGGAAAATTTGAGGAAGGAAATGGCGAGGAGGGAGGAGGAAAGGAGGGAAGAGGCGAGGAGGGAGGAGGAGAGGAGGGAAGAGGCGAGGAAGGAGGAGGAGAGGAAGGAAGCGGCGAGGAGGGAGGAGGAGAGGAGGGAAAAGGTGAGGAGGGAGGAGGTGAGGAAGAGGTGGGAGGAAAAGAGGAAGGAAGCGGCGAGGAGGGAGGAGGAGAGGAAACAAGCCGCAAAGAGGGAGGAGGAGAGGAAGGAAGCGGCAAGGAGGGAGGAGAGGAAGGAAGCGGCGAGAAGGGAGGAGGAGAGGAAGGAAGTGGCGAGGAGGGAGGAGGAGAGGAAAGAAGAGGCGAGGAGGGAGGAGGAGAGGAAGGCAGAGGCGAGGAGGGAGGAGGAGAGGAAGGACGCGGCAAGGAGGGAGGAGGAGAGGAAGCAAGCCGCAAGGAGGGAGGAGGAGAGGAAACAAGGCGGAAAGAGGGAGGAGGAGAGGAAGGAAGCGGCAAGGAGGGAGGAAGAGAGGAAGCAAGCCGCAAGGAGGGAGGAGGAGAGGAAAGAAGCCGCAAAGAGGGAGGAGGAGAGGAAGCAAGCGGCGAGGAGGGAGGAGGACAGGAAGGAAGCCGCAAAGAGGGAGGAGGAGAGGAAAGAAGCCGCAAAGAGGGAGGAGGAGAGGAAGGAAGTGGCGAGGAGGGAGGAGGAGAGGAAGGAAGCGGCGAGGAGGGAGGAGGAGAGGAAGTTAGTGGCTCTTAGGGAGGAAGTTGAGAAGAAAATGACTGCTGCTACAGGGGAAGAGGGAAGGAGAGGGGTGGAGAGGGAAGGAAAGGGGAGAAGAGGGGAGGAGAGGGATGACGAGGAGGGCGGCACAGGAGGTGCAGTGATAATGGATGGTAGCGCGGTAGGAGGAGGGATGGGGGGAGAGGCGAGAGAAACTCAGTCCTTACTTGGCTATACGGGCAGCATAAGAAGGCTAGTGATGCCGCTTCATGGGAAGGGCAGCAGTGGTGGGGAAGGGAGGGGGACAGCGGAAGGAGAAGCGGAATCCCTTGGTGGAAATGGCGGTTGTGTGGGGAAGGCAGTGGTGCAGGTGCAAGGGGAGGGTAGTGTTGGTAGAGGTGGGAGAAAGGAGCGAGAAGAGGAGAGAGAAGAAGAGAGAGAAGAGGAGGGAGAAGAAGAGAGACTAGAAGGGGGAGAGGAGGAGGAAAAAGAGGATGCAGGAGAGGAGGAAGAGGAGGGAGAGAAGGAGGGAGAAGTGGGGGGAGAGGAGGAGGTAGAAGAGGAGGAAGAACCCTCTCCTCTCTGGCCTAGGGGCGATGTGTTTGTGGGGAGAGGGGAGGTGATTGAGTGTGACGGAGAGGAGGATGATGCTGCAGCTGGGCAAGAGGAGCACATAAGCTTTCAGGAAGGGCGGAAGAGGAAAAGGCATGGAGGAGGAGGTGTTGAGAGGGAAGGGGTTGGTTGCGGGAAAATCAACCTGAAATGCCACCCGAAGGAGCAGAAGAGGTATCTGGCTAGGAAAGTGCATCGTTTTGTAGGGAGGAGAGGCCGCCGAGACAACCTGAGGAAACACCTGAAGGCAACAGAGAAGGAGCACCTAAGGCAGGAGGACATTCTCTTGAAGGAGGAGGATCACCTGAGGCAACAGGCAGAACACTTGAAGCAACAGAAAGAACATCTGGAGCAGAAAGAATACTTTCTGAAGCAGCAGAAGGAGGAGCAGGAGGCGCACGTGAAACAGAAAGAGTTGCTTCTGATAGAACAAAAGGAACAGCAGGAGACGCACAGGGGGCAGCAGGAGGCGCTCCTGAGGCAGCAGGAGGAGCAGTTGAAGCAGAAAGAGTTGTTCCTGAGGGAACAGAAGGAGCAGCAAGAGGCGCACTTGAAGCAGAAAGAGTTGCTGCTGAGGGAACAGAATGAGCAGCAGGAGACGCACAGGGGGCAGCAGGAGGAGCTGCTGAGGCAGCAGGAAGAGCACCTGAAGCAGCAGAGCGAGCACCTGAGCGATCAGAAAAACCTCCTGAAGCGCAAAAGGCAGCACCAGGAGCTTCAGGGGAGACACACTCGGATTCGTAAAGATCGCTGCTTTTTACGTCCTTGTGGTTTGAGGAGAGAAGTCGGGTGAGGGGGCGTGGTGAAGTTTGAGGAGAGGATGGGGATTGTATTCCAGGATTCGGAGGGATCGTTGCTCTTCACGACCTTGTGGTTTGAGAAGAGAGGTTGGGGTGAGGGGTGGGGAGGGAGGGAGGGTGGTGGAGGGTGGAGGGAGATGAGAGGGCGTGGTGAATGTTGAGGAGAGAAGGTAAGAGGGGTGGTGAGGTGAGGGATGGAGAACGGGGAAGAGGGGTGGTGAGGGGAAGAAGAGGAGGGGGAGAAGGCAGAGGGGGAGGAGGGGGAGGAGGGGGAGGAGGGGGAGGAGGGGGAGGAGGGGGAGGAAGGGGAGTGTGTGAAGGATGAGGTTGGAGAGAGGATGGCGATAATAGTTTTAGAGGATGGGGCAGGGTTGTCGGGGAGTGAATGTTAAGGAGAAAACAGTTGATGCATGTGCTGAATAACAGATGCACTACCTAGAGAAGGAGGTGCTGGAATTGATTTCACGATGTTTTAGGCACAGATACGATGTTTTAGGCACAGATACGATGTTTTAGGCACAAACACGATGTTTTAGGCACAGATACGATGTTTTAGGCACATACACGGTGTTTTAGGCACAGACACGATGTTTTTGGCACAGACACGATGTTTTAGGCACAGACACGATGTTTTAGGCACAGACACAATGTTTTAGGCCCAGACACGATGTTTTTGGCACAAACACGATGTTTTAGGCACAGACACGATGTTTTAGGCATAGACACGATGTTTTAAACACAGGCACAATGTTTTAGGCATAGACACGATGTTTTAGGCACCGACACGATGTTTTTGGCACAGACACGATGTTTTAGGCACAGACACAATGTTTTAGGCATAGACACGATGTTTTAGGCACAGAAACGATGTTTTAGGCACAGACACGATGTTTTTGGCACAGACACGATGTTTTTGGCACAGACACGATGTTTTTGGCACAGACACGATGTTTTTGGCACATACACGATGTTTTTGGCACAGACACGATTTTCTCGGCACCGATACGATGTATTAGGCACCGATCTTCCCCCCACTACCTCACTCCCTCCCTCCCTCCATACCCTCTTCCCAAATCCCACTTGCCCCAGTGGCCCCAGGGCAGTGCAGGCCGTGCAGTCGCTGCTGCCAGCAGTAGCAGTGGTGGCAACAGCAGTGGTGCTAGATCACTAACGCCATACCCCCTTCGTCCCGTGTCTCCCTCACATTAACCCCCACTTTTCTCACCCAGTGGCCCCAGGGCAGTGCAGGCCGTGCAATCGCTGCTGCCCGCAGCAGCAGTGGTGGCAACGGCTGTCGTTCCCAATGACCCAGACAGGATAGCAGCGCAGGTCAAAGCATGGGAAGATGGGGAAGAAGTTGCTGAGTAATTTGAGTCCCCTCGTGCCCCTGTCTCCTCCCTCCCCCCCTCTCGCTTCCCTCAGTGGCCCCAGGGTAGTGCAGGCGGTGCAATCGCTGCTGCCAGCAGCACCAATATTGGCAACAGCAGGGGTGCCGGATGCCATATCACTAACGCCATACCCCCTTCATCCCTTGTCTCCCTTGCATCAACCCTATCTCTTCTCACCCACTGGTCCCACGGCAGTGCAGGCAGTGCAGTCGCTGCTGCCAGTAGCAGCAGTGGTGGCAACGGCCGTCGTTGCAGACGACCCTGAAGGAATATAATGAAGAGCATAGCGATAGCGAGAGAGCTTCTGCTATATGAACGATGTTGCGCCAGCAATTCGGTAGAGTTTGGTAGCGTTGGTCTCAAATGGCTATGGAAGAAATCAAGTAGAGATTGGACTTCACTAGAAAATGTATTATATGAAACACACAAGCAAACACAAACATATGTAGGCAAGCGAGGGTTTGACAAAGGTTGCGTGGGCACTGCGAGTAACCCAACCCACACGAAGGTGTCGTGCGGGTGGGTGAACGCACCCCGCCGAACTTCCATCCAACTCAGCAGCGAAATGCATTCCGTGCACGCCACTTCCAGCCAACACTGCAAGGAGTGGCGTGACTCTCGAAGAAGCACAACCGACTCCCAAAGACTCACACCTCCTCACACCGAATCCACCAGTTCCCCAAGTTCGTTGCCGCCGCTAGCAGTCACGCGCCACCGACACGTGACCGTTACGGAGATCGGTGCCGAGGCACTAGGTCTTCAGTCGCCGACCTGCCAAGTCAAACACTTCGCGAGGGCCCTTGCTGTCGTAGGGCCCTCTAACACTCCCCTGCCATACTACAGCAAGCCCCTTTATAATCACAGGGCATGCATACACACATACACGCCAAAACAAAGGGACACACAAACGAAGCACTCTCTAAGTGCAAACACGCACCGCACCAGCCATGGATAGGCCATGGCACCATACCCATCATGGAGAGTCTAGGTCTCACTCCCCTCGCTCGAGAGCCTCACCTGCCCCACAGCCTCGAAGCAACGGCTGAAGGCAGGGAAATGCAACGCCTTTGTAAGGTAGTCAGCAGGCTGCTCGCTCGTAGGGATGTACTGCAGCTGCAACTTCCTGCGCTTGACCATGTGCTGCAGCCACATGTGGCGACGCTCCATGTGCTTGAGGCTCCCCTTGAGCCCCATGCCACCTGCCACTGAAATGGCGGAGGAGTTATCCACAAAGAGAGTCGTGGGCTCCTCACTCCTTAGCAGTTGAAACTCTGCCAGCAGGAAGCGCAGCCTGCGCGCCTCCTTCCCTGCCTCCACAGCAGCAACGTACTCAGATCTAGTGGAGGAGAGGGTGACGCAACGGATCCTCTGACTCGCCCAAGAGACAGCAGCGCCTCCAAGCACGAAGACATAGCCACCAGTGCTGGTCCTGTTCTGCTTGTCTCCCGCATCATCAGCATCGGAATAGCCCACCAGCTCCAAGGACTCCGGCCCACCACCAAACTCCAGCGCCACATCCCTGATCCCCACCAAGTACGCCAAGCACCGGTCCAACTCCTTCCAGTGCTGATCACTCCGCACAGTCTGGCCCGACCCCAGCTTGCTGCAGGCGAACGAGATGTCGGGACGGGTGGTACAGGCTGCAAACTGCAAGGATCCCACCTTCTGCCTGTACTCCTCCTCCTGGCGAGACTGCCATCCCACGTCCTCGAAGGTCTGCACACTGAAAGGGTCAGAGGAAAGAGGGGTGCGAGGCACTCGCAGCGGCTGCTCCCCATCAAAGAAGCGCCTATGGACCTTGTCCACATAGGCCCCCTGGTGCAGCCACAGCCTCCTCGTAGGCCTGTCCCGAATCAGCTGCAAGCCCAGATACTTCTCCACAGGGCTAATCTCCCGCAGCTGAAAGGCACTCTGCAGCAGGTCACGCAGCTCCCCCAGCATGCTCTGACTGCGGCTGGCAGCAAGCAAGTCATCCACATACACCAGCAGCCAGCACATCTCCCCCTCAGCATCACTCTTGAAATACAGAGCCTCATCCACTTGGCTCTTCTTCCATCCAGCCCCAAGCAGCACCCCATCCAAAGCCTCATACCATAGCATCGGGCTCTGCTTGAGCCCATAAAGACTCTTCACCAACTTACAGACACGAGGAGTCCCATCCTCGTAGTAGCTCGGCTGCTCCATGTAAAGGTCTCGGTCCAGCACGCCATGGAGGAACGCGTTCTTCACATCCAGCTGCATCAGGTCCAAATCAAGTGCTGCTGCAATCGCCAGAAGCACACGTGCCGTCACATAGCTTCCCACAGGGGCGTACGTCTCCTCATAGTCCACCCCTGCCACTTGTGTGAACCCCTTCACCACCAGCCTCGCCTTCTCACGCTCCACTATCCCATCTGGTCGGAACTTGGTGTTCAGAATCCAGCGGTTCTTCATCACATTCACCCCTGGAGGACGCGGAACCAACTCCCACGTCCCCTGCTCAATCAAGCTCCGCATCTCCTCATCCATCGCCTCCTTCACCTTGTCGCCCTTCCAGCAGCCCAAGGCCTCCTTCACTGTCATCTTAGCTATATCCCACTGCCTCTCAGGGTCGGCCACCACATCTGGGTCCAGGTCCGTCCACTCCTCGTCCTCCTCCTCGTCATCCAAACCCGCCGGCTCAATCACTACAGCCCAAGCATACTTAACAGGCGGGACACCTCGAGTGATGCGAGTGGAGCGACGCAGCGGAGCAGTGGTCGTCCCAGAAATCAACACACGACCACCATCTCTAATTCCCCACATCTCCTGCTCCCCTGTCTGCGGCTCCCCTGTCTGCTGCTCCCCAATCTGTTCCTCCCCTATCTGCTGCTCCCCAATCTGCTGCTCCCCTATCTGCTGCTCCCCTGTCTCCTTCCCCCCACTCTGCTGCACTCCATCCATGCTGCTCTCGTCCTGCAGCTGCTCAGTCACAAGGCGCTGCCCGTCGGTGATCATCACAGACGGCGACACCACTGTCCCCCCCTCACCAACGGGCGGCGCCGTGGAAGACGAAGAGGAGGGTGGGGCAGGTGCAGGAGGGATGGAGGGTGGAAGAGGAGAGGGAATAACAGGAGGAGGAGGGGTAGCCAAGGGGGGTGAGGATGCGGTAGGAGGAACCACACGAGGGTACACAGTAGGAGGAGGTGGGGTGGGGACTGAGGTAGGGACATAGGGCATAGCAGGAGGTGCGACCACTTCCTCCTCCTCCACCTCCTCCTCAAGAGTGCCTGAGAAGAGTGAAGGAAGGGGCTCATAGGGCATCGGACGCCCCCCATGCTCCTGCTGATGCCAAGCCTTCGATCCTGCCAAGGACATGGTCTCATAGAAAACTGCTTCCACAGTGGTGATTAGGCGGTTGGACTCCAAGTCCAGCACGTGCCAGCCCTTGCTCGCCGCTGACACCCCCAAGTGCAACCCCCAACGAGCCTTAGGCGCCAGCTTCCCCCCGCGCTGCGACTGCGGCACCATGTATTGCAGCATGCAGCCCCATACACGTACCATACTGACATCGGGTTTGTGTCGGAAGGCGAGCTCGTACGGTGTCACACTAGAGGGCAGCGAGGCGTGCTCCACGCGGTTGTGCACCCAGACGGCCTGCGCCAGCGCCAGGTGCCACCAGTGATGCTGCACACCCATGTGCAGCAACATCGTCCGCACAGCCTCCACAATGCTGCGCATCTCCCTCTCCGCCATCCCGTTCTGCTTGATCAGTGCGCAGCGCCTTCACCGTGGTCTTGCACTGCCGCTCTGCCATTGGGAGCCACTTCTGGAACGCCGCCAGTGCATCGCTTTTCTTGGCCAAAGGGTAGGCCCAGACAAACCGCGTCTTGCGATCCTTCAGCACCAAGAAGTAGCGGCTGCCGTCCTTAGCTGCTTCACGAAAAGGGCCACACAAGTCAGCATGCACCACTCCAAGCAGCTCATCCTCCTCCTCACCCACGGAAGGAAAGGTGTGACGAGTGATTTCACCCCAACGCAGGAGACGCATGGCATGCCTGACTTGCCCCCCTTCTCCAACTCCAAGCCCGTCACAGACCCGTGAGCCGCAGTACGCTCTATGGCGTCAACACCGACGTGTGCGAGGCGCGCATGCCACTTGTCCACCTTAGATCGCACGCCCGTCGCCAAAGTGCGCAGGGCCACCGTTTCACCCTCCTGCTGCTGCGTTGAGCAGGGCTGGAAGTTCGTGCAAAGGGACACGTCCCTTGAACTCCGCACGACCAAGGAGCGACCCATCTGGCGCACGCAGCAGAGTCACGTCCCCGACATCCAGCAACTGCACGCCACTATCACGCAGCTGCCCAGCAGAAAGAAGACTCGACTGCACTCCAGGTACGTACAGCACGTCCAGCACCAAGACACGCCTGCCCCCGTCTCCAAGGAGAGCGAGTGCGCCTCGCCCCTGCACCTCCTGAGGAGCGCCGTTGAAGCCGATAACCTGTTTGATACCGCCGCCGCTGCTCATCTCCACAAAGGCAGAGCGATCTCCCATGAGATGGTGGGAGCATCCGCTATCAAGTAGCACGACGCTCGGGTTCGCCTTCACAGCAGCTGCAACAGCCTGTAAGCCCTCCCCGGCCTCAGGCTCCAGCATGACGGGAGGAGGATGCTCTACAACGGGCTTCACCATCGCACATGATGACTGCCCGCTCCCCTTAGAGCCATCACCCCCCTTGCCAATCGCGCTATTGCCTCCAGAACCCTCTCCACCCTTGTCTGCCTCCTTATCCACCCGCTGCCGACAGTACTTCGCGATATGCCCCGGCTGCCCACACACGTAGCAATTCCCCTTGAACCCTCCTTTCCCCCCCTTTGACTGGCCATCCTTAGCCCCTTTCCACTTCTCCCCTCCCCCACCAACCCCACCCCCATGCTTAGGCTGCTGCTGCTGTGCTCTAGTGGGAGGGGAATGGGATGAAGTCTGCTGGAATTGGGGCTTACCCTTCTTGGTAAACACTTGGTTAGCCTGGGGAAGAAATTGGTCCTTCCGTCCCTCCGCCGCCAGCGTACACTCCTCCTCGATGATGTAGCTAGCGAGGGTGTCCTCGTCCAGCTCCTTGCGCACCTGCGGAAGTTTCAGCATCCTGCGTAAGAGGTTATACTGCTGCGGCAACCCCTTCACGACGTGAAGACCTAGTGCCTCGGCACCGATCTCCGTAACGGTCACGTGTCGGTGGCGCATGACTGCTAGCGGCGGCAACAAACTTGGGGAACTGGTGGATTCGGTGTGAGGAGGCGTGAGTCTTTGGGAGTCGGTTGTGCTTCTTCGAGAGTCACGCCACTCCTTGCAGTGTTGGCTGGAAGTGGCGTGCACGGAATGCATTTCGCTGCTGAGTTGGATGGAAGTTCGGCGGGGTGCGTTCACCCACCTGCACGACACCTTCGTGTGGGTTGGGTTACTCGCAGCGCCCACGCAACCTTTGTCAAACCCTCGCTTGCCTATATATGTTTGTGTTTGCTTGTGTGTTTCACATAATAAATTTTCCTAGTGAAGTCCAATCTCTACTTGATTTCTTCCATAGCCATTTGAGACCAACGCTACCAAACTCTACCGAATTGCTGGCGCAACATCGTTCATATAGCAGAAGCTCTCTCGCTATCGCTACGCTCTTCATTATATTCCTTCATGGTGCGGTGAGCGTGGAACGAACACGCATAGCTTTCCGTCGACGTTCGTTAGTGTACTCGCCTTGGCGTGCGGCGTTAGTGAAGGGCGCTCATTAATTTAAGTTGAACCTCTCTTAATTTCCCTCCAGTTACGCTCTCGGACACAAGGATAGGGCGTTTGGTAATTCATTACCACTCGTCTGAGGACCCTTCTGAGGTGACCCCGAGACGAGGGATTTAAGGAAGGAACCGTTTATTTTAATTTGTGGCACCTTATAGAGACGTCGTAGAGGATGAGTACGGAGGAGGCGGACGTTGAGGCCGGCAATATTCGCGCATTAGAGGAGGATCTCGTAGCCCGTCATTCTCGTGGTGAGCTTAGTGATATCGAGCACGAGCTCATGCAGGAGGGATTACGCGCTCGTCGGCGTCGCGATCATCCCTCGCCACGTGTAGAGAATGTTGAGCAAGCTGCGGGAGGTACTAGTGCGTGGGATATAGCTGTCGATGGCGGAAATAGCGATGACGAGGAGCTTGATGGGTGGATGTCGCGTGGGGTCCTGCGAGGACCGACTCGGTTTAGTACGGCTAGCGGCGGCGGTGTACAGGAGCGTGTTCATCAAGCGGCGGCGTCCCGAGAGCGTGCGAATGTAGGACGGCGGAGCGTTGCTGGAGGAGGGAATGCGGAGGAGTTCGATAGTGAGGCTATGCCGGGCGTTACCCCGATTGGATCGATGTCGAGGGACGAGGGAATAGCCCCCAACTATGGCTACTTCAAATTCACTCTGGACAAGATCGTTGTCCCTAGGCCGTTAGAAGGACGTCACGACCTGTCGACGTGGACAGAATCGATCGAGCCGCAGCTTGAGATCGCTCAGCTAAAGCGATTCATAGATGGCACCACCCCCATTCCACCAGCGCGTGCACTTGCGCATCTCTCTCAGTTCCACGCGATGCAGTTACTGACGTTCACCACAATTTCCCGATGCTGCTCCCCCACAGTACAGATCGCCCTTAAGGCGTGTCGCATGAAGGTAGATGCCGGCTTTCAGGCATGGCAGTTTATCATGCGCACGTATATGGCGAAGGACGACCTGTACATAGGGCAGTTAGAGCAGGCGCTCACCCACCTCGATATGGGTGAGCACGAGTCCGCCACGTCCTATTGCAACCGTGCGCAGCAGATCCTAGTGAACCTGAGGATGGCCGGCGTAGATTACTCGCAGGCGTCGTACGTAACACTTCGCGAGGGCCTTTGCTGTCGTAGGGCCCTCTAACAGACCCAGACAAGATAGCTGCATAGGTCACGGCGTGGGCAGATGGGGGAGAGGAGAGGTTGATGGGTCAACTGATGAGACGTCTCAAAAGTCGGCAGCAGTGGTGGCCACGGCTGTGGTTCCCGATAACCCGGACAAGATAGTAGCGCAGGTCAAGGCGTGGGCAGATGGGGGAGAAGATTGCCGAGTTATCTGAGTGACTGAGTCCTCTCGTCTGCCTATCTCCTCTCCCTTCCCTCTCTCCCGCTTCACCCAGTGGTTCCAGGGCAGTCCAGGCAGTGCAGTTGCTGCTGCCAGCAGCAGCAGTGGTGGCAACAGCAGTGGTGCCAGATGACCCAGACAAGATAGCAGCGCAGGTCAAAGCATGGGCAGACGGGGAAGAGATTGGTCCATCAACTGATGGGAGCAGTGCTGCTGGTGGTACTGGTGGTGGTGGTGGTGGTGGTGGTGGCGCTGCTGCTGCTGCTGCTGCTGCTGCTGCTGCTGCTGCTACTGCTGCTGGAGCAGTGGATGTGATTATAACGACAGGGGGCACGGGGTTCTCCCCTAGGGATGTCACTCCTGAGGCCTGTGCACCACTCTTCCACCGCTCTGCACCGGGCCTCACCCATGCCATGCTGCAGGAGAGCCTCAGGGTATGTATTTTTTTCCCGTTTGGGGGGAGTTGGAGAGGGAGGGGGGGAGAGATGGAGAGGAGAGTGGGGGGTTTCAGGCTTGAAAACACTTGAAGGTAGTTTCCTTCCTTATGGCATCTTTTTTCCTCTCTCACTTGTCCTCCTCTATCGTTATGTGTTCTCCTTTGTTTCCCCTCTCGTTTCCCTCCTGCAAATTACGCCCTTTGCCATGCTCTCGCGCATGGCTGCAGGCATCCGAGGCTCCACTCTGGTGAGATGAGATGTATGGGTGCATGAGTGCATGATTCATGATGCATGATGAGATGGGTGGTTGGAAGAGTGCAGCATGCTCTCGCGCATGGCTGCCGGCATCAGAGGTCCCACTCTGGTTAGATGGCATGCATGGGGTGCATGATGCGCAGTAAACTGGAATGTGTGGGTGGAAGGCACATGCTTTACTGCATGGCTGCATGCATCACAGGCTCCACTCTGGTGAGATAGCATGACAGCATGGGTGCATGGGTTCGTGGGTGCATGCTTGCATGGGTGCATAGGGCAACCTGCCAGGCAACTCTATCGCAGTTCCTCTAAGTGTCTGGCTGATCTCATGCTTGTACTGCTGCCTTCATCACTTCTCTTGCCCGACCCACCATCTGAATCCCTAAGATCCTCAACCTCCCATGCAACCCCAATGCGGTGTCAGAGTGCCTGGCCGTACTCATGCCAGCTCTACCGCATGGGCTGAAGCAGCTGAAAGGAGACAAGCGGGAGAAGCACCCCCGCCACACGCCCCACCCTGGCATAACCGAATGAATCAAACAAGTAGTTAGTGTTCTTGTTACCATGTGTTTGTAAAGGCATGCAGTACATTCCTTACGATAAACCAATTATTGAGCATCTCGAATCCCAGCCAGTTGAGTATGTAATGTACTCTACCTCATCCCCCCCCCCCTACTCACCCTTCCATAATTCTACAGTCTACAATCTTGTACAGAAACTTTGTAATATGTTCATTCAATATTTGCATCTCCAGGTAGGTTCACCAGCACTATTTAGCGCGGACCAGCCAATGTCAAAGCGGTAATGTCGACCCAATTGCACTAAAGCATGAATTTCCTTTCATTTCATGCTGCCAATTGTTGACAGGAGGGGCCGCACATTTAGATGCATGCGCAATGTGCCAAGCCGATTCGCCTCGGAAATCTCAACCAACAAGAGGGAGTCCGGTGCGATAAAACCGCCGGAGCAGACCGCCGAGGCGATTAAACCGCGCGGGGCGCGCAGTGTCTTGTCAGTAACCCGCCTTTTTATTTGCGGGGGAATAGTTTCACTGTGTCGCGAAAGGTGAAGGTGACCTTACTTAATTGACGCAGTTATCGCCTCGGGTATAGTTTCACGTGAGTGTAGAAGCCGCCTTCGGCCCTCTTGCGCGGAATTAGTTTCACGTGTAGAAGCCACCTTCAGCCCTCTTGCGTGGAATTAGTTTCACGTGTGTAGTAGGGCGGTAGAAGCTACTAGGGTGTTAGCGAGATGATGGAATCGCGGGATGATGTGATGGGTCTTTCAACGGGCATCGCCGTACTTCTCAGGCGCGCGAATCCGCGGAACGGCCCGTCGCCTCAACGGTGCTGCGCGCGGCGGTTTTCGCCGCATTTGGCGCAGCGGAATGGCGCAGAGCTTCCGACTGTTCCAGCACGGAGGCGGGATGACGCGGAGGTTCCGCCGGTTGCACCCGTTCCCGCACGGGGGAATAGCGCGGAGGTTCCGCTTGAAGCCGCGGGAGCGCAAGGAGTTCCGCGGGTCGGGGGAGAAGCGGGTAAAGATGAGCAGGGGGGGGAGGTAAAAAGGGAGGGATGCCGCGGAAGAAGGGGGATGTGGGGGGCGAGGCAGGAGAATCGCAACTTTGCTGGTGTGCGCTAAGAAACAACTCGGTGGTTAGCTTGGTTCTTTGCGCAAGAACCAAGTCGAAAAGGCTTTAATACGTGTATTTCACATGAGCCACTCGAATATGCAATAACATTCAGATTGTTGAATGTTTTTCTATACGCCTACAGGGATTCATGCGGTTTCTAAGCATTTGTCGGCAAAAACAGCTGAAATCATAGGTGCCGAACTTTTCTTGGCGCAAGAACTAAGCCGAAAAGCCTCTAATAGGTGTATTTGAATATGAGCCACTCGAATATGCAATAACATTTAGGCTGTTGAATGCTTGTCCCTACGCCTATGGAGATTCATGCGTTTTCTAAGCATTTGTTGGCAAAAACATCTGAAATCCTAGGCGCCAAACTTTTCTTGGCGCAAGAACCAAGCCGAAAAGCCTCTAATAGGTGTATTTGAATATGCAATAACATTCAGGTTGTTGAATGCTTGTCCCTACGCCTATGGAGATTCATGCGTTTTCTAAGCATTTGTCGGCAAAAACAGCCGAAATCATAGGCGCCGAACTATTCTTTGCCCAAGAACCAAGCCGAAAAGGCTTCAATAGGTGTATTTCAACATGAGCCACTCGAATATGCAATAACATTCAGATTGTTGAATGTTTTTCCATACGCCTACAGGGATTCCTGCGTTTTCTAAGCATTTGTCAGCAAAAACAGCTGAAATTATAGGCGCCGAACTTTTCTTGGCGCAAGAACCAAGCCGAAAGGCCTCTAATAGGTGTATTTGAATATGAGCCACCCGAATATGCAATAACATTCAGGTTGTTGAATGATTTTCGCTACGCCTATAGAGATTCATCCGTTTTCTAAGCATTTGTCGGAAAAAACAGCCGAAATCATAGGCGCCGAACTTTTCTTGTCAGAATACTAAGGGAGAAAATGGCGAAACTAACAGCATGCAGGATTACAAGTAGCAAACCCTAATTGGGTTGTACCCCATATGGGCTACCCCACTACAGCCTACACAACATGATAGTTTGACACACCCCCATAGGCAAAGTGGGGGAGAACAAGGGGTCACAAGACCAGTCAAGAAAAGCAAAGCAAGCTCGGGGTGGATCACGAAGTCACCACACACTCTGAGCACAAGCAAATGGCCACAAGGCCAGTTCACATGCAGAGTTATGTAAATGGGAACAAGCAGTACAGTGATCACAACCTAGCAAGTGTAAGCATGTAGGTATATGTATATAGATCACAGTACAAGCAAAGTCAAGAAGTGAGCAAGTGAGACCAAGTAGGCACAAGGCCTAAGACAGTACAGAAACGCTGATGATCACAAGGCTGAAGTGCCTTGGTGAATATATCAGCAGTGTTGGCCCGAGAGGCCACGTAAGCAAGACGAAGCTGACCACGCTGCTGCAACTCTCGTGCAAGGAAGCCACATGCAATCGACTATGATCGCCCCAGGTGGGGGAACCTCGTCGACGTAGGTGCCTGTGGACTTCCAGGAAGCCATCTCTGCATCCATGGCTGTCTGCCACTGAGAGGATTAGGGACCCGTAATCGCCTCTGCGTATGAGCGCGGGGTCGGGATGTCTGGTGCATCCAGGTCTCCCTCAGGTGCAATCAGCATGGACATGAGATGAGGTACAGCAGCTGCAAAACACTCAAAGTCCTCCTGCCTGTCCTCAAGGACGTCCGTGCCAAGAGCACACTCACCCCCGACGGACGGAGGACAGTCAGACTCGGACTCAGCAACAAGACTAGCGGCGTAGTTGAGACGACAGGCGGCAGCAAAGTCAACAAGCTCAGCAACTAGGGCAGACGCAGCAGTGGACTCAAACGAAGGGTCTGTGACAACAGTGGCTAGAAGACGTGTGATAGTAGGACTGGCATCATGAGCAAGGTCAGACGCAGGGCCAGGAACGTCAGGAAGAGAGGACGCAGGAGGAGACGGCAGAGGGACACGCTGTGGAACAGAGGAAGGACGAAGTGCCATATGGTGCGTGCCGGGGACAGGAGGAGGACGCTGACGCGGGACACGACGACCAGTGCGAACAGCTCGAACAGGCGAGGTAGGACGAGACGCAGGCTCACAACGCTCTGTAAGACCTCCTGTCTGCTCAGTGTAAGGAGAAGGAGCAGGCAGTGGGGAGGCTGGCTGTAACTGCTCCAGCGACTGGTCATGCGGTGGACACAGTAAGGGAGGAGTAAGGCCAGTAGAAGACGGGAGACCAAGAACCTGCTGAAGCAGTGGAACGAAGTACGGTCGCGGCAGCACAGTGCCTCCAGAACCAACACTGACAGCACCAGCACCCCCAGGGCCAGCACCTCCAGCTCCGGGGTCTCCAGCTCCAGGGTCTCCAGCTCCAACGCATGCAGCACCACCAGCTCCAACAGCTCCAGTACCTCCAGTACGAGCACCTCCGGGACCAGCGGCTCCAGCACCTCCAGCACCTCCAGGACCAGCAGCTCCAACACCTCCGGCTCCAACGCCTGCAGTACCACCAGCTCCAGCAGCTCCAGTACCTCCAGTACGAGCACCTCCGGGACCAGCGGCTCCAGCACCTCCGCCACCTCCAGGACCAGCAGCTCCAGCACCTCCAGGACTAGCAGCTCCAGTGCCTCCAGCTCCAGAGCCAGGCCCCCCAGCTCCAGCAGCACCACTCTGAAGACTCCAGCGCCGAGCAAACCACTCGCGCAGCTGTGGTGGAGAGAGAGGCTCCCGCCGTGACGAGGCACCCGGAGAACCTCCAGCACCTCCAGCACCTCCAGGACCAGCAGCTCCAGCACCTCCGGCACCTCCAGGGCCAGCAGCTCCAGCACCTCCGGTACCTCCAGCTCCAGCGCCTCCAGCTCCAGGGTCTCCAACTCCAGTGCCTGCAGTACCACCGGCTCCAGCAGCTCCAGTACCTCCAGTACGAGCACCTCCGGGACCAGCAGCTCCAGTGCCTCCAGCTCCAGGGCCTCCAGCGGCAGGCCCCCCAGCTCCAGCAGCGCCACTCCGAAGGCTCCAGCGCCGAGCAAACCACTCGCGCAGCTGCGGTGGAGAGAGAGACTCCCGCCGTGACGAGGCACCCGGAGAACCTCCAGCAGACAAAGTACCTCCAGGCTCAGCACGCTCAGGCTCAGCACCCCCAAGCTCAGCACCCCCAGGCTCCGCACACTCAGGCTCAGCACCCCCCGGCTCCGCACGCTCAGGCTCAGCACCCCCAGACGCAACACCCCTAGCAGCACCACCCCCAGCAGCACCAGAGTCAACAGCGACCTCGACAGACTCGACAGGGTCTACCTGAGACGCACCTGAGGGAGCAGGACCCTGAGGGGGGAGGGGGTCTACCGGAGGGGGACCTGGTGCGAGGAAGAGCGGCGGGGGAGGGAGGGGGGTAGTGCGGTAGGGAAGAGACGGTGAAATGGAACTGACTCGTCAAACGTAACGTCCTGAGAGGGCAGGACACGGCGCGAGGTGGGGTGGTAAAACTGCCAGCCAGGCGCGTCAGGGGGAAAGCCAAGGAAGACGCACGGAATGGCGCGGGAGGAGAGCTTGTCCGCGGAAGTATCGCGGACAAAGGCACGAGAGCCCCAGACCCGGAACACCCACGCATCGCCAACCTTCCCCGTCCAACGCAGTGTAGGCGAGGTCTCCGGCAAGGAGACACGGGGCCAGAGGTTGAGCTGATGCGCATCGTACCGGACCGCAAACGACCACAGAAAATGGGGGGCAGCCGTATGGACCATGGAGGTACGAGCGACCTCCATGACTAAGCCAATGCGGCGCTCAGCAACCCCATTCTGCTGTGGAGAGGCCGGAAGCGTGAACGACTGCTCAATGCCCTCCCCACGACAAAATTCCCGCAAGAGGTCGGAGTAAAACTCACCACCTCTGTCAAAGTGCAGACGCAGGACAGGAAGGTCCGTGTGGAACCGCTCGCGGAGCTGGAGACGGACAGCGCGGATCCAAGGGATCAAAACATCAGGGATCTCCCCCTTGCTGCGCAAGGGGAAGACCGTGGTGTAACGCTAGTAGTCGTCAACAACCAGCAGAAAGTAGCGCTCGCGGCCCTGTCCACGGACGCGGGCTGGGCCCCACACGTCCATGTGGAGAGTCTGCAGGGGAGCAGTCGTCGGGGGAAACGAGGAGGCGTGAGGAGCGGCGTGCTGCCGCCCCTCGACACAGGGAAGGCAAGGAGGGGCAGGCGAGGGTGGGAGGGGAGGCAGAGACCTGGGAAGACCAGAGATAAGGAGACGGGTGTGCATGCCACGGAGGCGTGGCATGGATGGGTGACCAAGGCGGTGGTGCCAAAGGAGCGTCTGGTGCGACAGGGCGCGACACGAGCAGGGGGCCGCTAGCTGACCTGACGCAGACGCAGACGCAGCTACCTGAGGAGGCGCGGTAGTCAGTGTATACAGACTCGACCCAGGCCGACGGGTGAACGTGGCCAGGTGACAGCCAGTCCGGGAGCGCGTACAGATCGCCACACGCTGTCCTCTAGGGGTGAAGGTATCAACCCATTCATCCTGAAGGACGGCGTTGCTCACCAAGTTTGTAGAGAACGAGGGGAGGTGAAGACCTGACAGTGAGCCAGACGGAACCGCCGGACACGGGAGAACAGTGGAGGAACGTGCAAGGACTGGGCCCCCAGAGGGGTCAGCCAGAGAGACAGCAACAGGTGCAGGGAGTGGTGTGAGTGTGGTACTGTCGCGAAAGAAACAGCGGGAAGCACCTGAGTCAAGTGTGAAGGTGTGCAAGGCCTCAGCAGGCGCAGTACCAGAGAGAGCATACTCACTAGCACCTAGAGCAGCAGCCTCTATACCTGGGTCGGGCGGCACACACAGGTAACAGTCACCCTCAGCACTAACAGTCAATGCATACATGGCAGTGAGGATAGCATCATAGTCAAGAGAAAAGATATCCACACCCTGCCTAAGCAGCTCTAGCCAGCGGGGGAGCTCAGCCGCGTCGCCAAACGCTGCACGCCAGGCGTTGCTCAGACAGGAGAAGCAGCGGGACTGAGTGTGACCAACTGTCCCGCAAGTGCGAGGTGAAAGGGGAGAGTAAGAGAAAAGAGACTGAAATTAGGGTTAGAGGAGAGAACGGGGAGAGAGGAAGCGAAAAGGGGCAAGGAGGGGGTAAGGGAGGTGGAAACGGGGAACGGAACGGGGGGGGAGGGGGAAAGAAATGGGGGGGGACAAGCGGGGGGGAAAGGGCGCAGGGTGGAGGGTTGAAGGGGCTGAGCGCAGGGGCGCGCACAAGTGCGGGCATGGTTGGGGGCACGGGTGGGGGTGTGGGTGGGGTAGGAGAGGGAGTGACGGAGGGAATAGCGGAGGGGCTTATAGAGGGGTTGGCGGAGGGAATAGCTGAGGGGCTGGGGGGGAAACGCGCAGAGGGAAACGCGGAGAGGAGAGAGGCGAGACGAGCAGAGGGAGGAGCAGCAGCTGCAGCGGCAGCAGCAGCAGCAGCAGCAGCAGCAGCAGCAGCAGCAGCAGCAGCAGCAACAGCAGCAACAGCGACAGAAGAAAGGGAAACAGCAGCAAAGGGGCGTGTTGATATGCAAGGGAATGAAGAAGAGGCGTCAAGAGGGGGTGTAGATGGATGGGTTGACCCTGTAGCGGAGTACATAGGGTGGTCTATAACGGGGATGAGGAGGAGAGGGGGAGAGGTTGTGGGAAGAGGGGAGGAGGAGGGAGGATGGGGCGAGGAGTGGGAGGGAGGGGAGGAGTGGGAGGAAGTGGGGGAATGGGAGGAGGAGGAGAGGGAAGAGGAGGAGGGGGAAGAAGAGGCGGAAGAGGAGGGAGAAAATGGGAAGAAGGCAGAGGACGAGGAGAATAGGGGGAAACAAGGACGGAAGGAGATCAGCAGCAGCAAAGGGAAGCAGCAGGGAAAGGATAAGGAGAAAGATACCACAGGGAAGCCTGTAACGAGTACAGATGGCTCCGTGCGAGATGTAACCTCCTCGAAACCCTCGGATGTACATACAAACCCATCTGAACCCATGGGTATTCCAGGAGATTACAGCGATCCCCTAGGAGGGTACGGGGATTCCGTGGAAGAGGGAACGGGCACAGACCCGCTGGGCGGGTATATAGACCCGTCAAGTTCTGAGGCGCCTCAAAACAACATGGACACGGACCCCCTGGGCGGGTATATAGACCCGCCAGCAGAGGGTTCCGACCCTCCCGATGGGTATATAGACCCACTGGAACAGTATATGCTGTGGTCTGGCGTTGGGTTGGCGGGAGAGGAAGGGGGGGAGGAAGCGGGAGAGAAAGGTGAGGAGGTGAAGGGAGAGGTGGGGGAGGAGGGCGGAGGGGTAGGAGATGAGGAGGGGGACGAGGTGGAAAAGGAGGTGGGGGAGGGGGGTGTGAGGGGAGAGGAGGGAGGGGAGGAGCGGGGTGAAGATGTGGAGGCGACGGGAGAGGAGGTGAGGGATGAGGTGGGGAAAGCGGGGATGGAGAGGAAAGAGGGAAGGACAGGGGATGAGAGGAGAGAGGAGGAGAAGCGAGACGAGGAGGGGAGAGAGGAGGAGGGGAGGCAGGAGGAGGAGAGAGAGGAGGGAGGACAAAAGGAGGGGCGAGGGGAGGGGAGGCAAGAGGAGGGGGAAGAGGAGAAGGAAGTTATTGAAGGGCGGGGTGTGAGAGAGGTTGGAAGGGAGAGGGAGGGGAAGGAAGGGAGGGGAGTGAGGGAGGTTAAAGGGGAGACGGATGGGGGCGAAGGGAGGGGAGTGAGGGAGGTTGGAGGGGAGAGGGAGGGGGGCGAAGGGAGGGAGCAGGAGGAACGGGAGAGACAGGGAGTGGGGGATGAGGGGCAGGGTGTGGAGAGTGGTGGTGGCAGAGAGAATAATGGGCAGAATGAGAATGATAAAGGAGAATGAAATTAGTGAGGTGAGAGAGGATGAGGATGTAGTGGAAGTGACTGAAACGGGAAAGGGAAAGGCTGGTAAAGGAGGAGGGGAGGTGGGTGATGGTAGAGAGGCGAGGGAAGGCGAGGGTATGGGGCGTGATTGGGGGGGGTGTGACGTTGAGGAGTGTGAGATAGTGGAGGGGAATGTTGGGGGGAGGGATGGTGAGGGAAGGGATGTTGAAGAGAGAAGGGGAAGGCGAGTGGCTGGTAGAGGGAGAAGAGGGCAAGTTGGAGCGAACAGCAGGAGTGGAAGGGAGAAGGGGGGCATGAAGAGGGGAGACAGGAAGGGAAAGAGGAATCGGAGGGGAAAAGAGAAGGCGAGGGGGCATGCGGAGGAGGAGGGACGGGCGAGGGAGGAGGAAGAGGGGGAAGAGGTGGAGGAGGTTGAAATGGTGGAGGGGGGGGAGAAGGAGGAGGAGAGGGTGGGGGAAGAAGAGGTGAAGGGCAGAAAGAGGGGACAAAAACGGAGTAAGCACGAGGAGAGGGAGAAAGAGGGGGATGTAGGTGGGAAGGTGGATGAGGAGGAGGAGGAGGAAGTGGAGGAGGTAAAGGTAGAAGATATACAGGAGGACAAGAGCAAGAGGAACAAGAGGAAACACAAGGAGAGGCATGCGGGAGAAAAGGAGAAGGAGGGGCGAAAGGGGACAAAGTACCAGAAAGACGAGGAGAACGAGGAGAAGGATTCGGGAGAGGAGGAGGAGGAGGAGAGTGACGAGGAGGAAGGGGAGCAGGGCAGGGCGGGAAAAAGGTGCAAGGCGAAGGAGAAACGGTATGAGTGTGGGCAGTGCGGCATGGCGTTCACTCGGCCGTCGTACGTACGACAACACATGGCCTGTCACTCCAACCAGGTGGGCTGATGTGACGCACACGCACTCACTCACACGCATACACTCACACTTACACTCACAAGCAGAAGCAGAATGAGTGTGGGCAGTGCGGCATGTCGTTCACTTGGCCGTCATATGTACGACAACACATGGCCTGTCACTCCAACCAGGTGGGCTGATGCTACTTTGAGCCGAGTCAAATGATTGTGTGTCATGAGGACTGAGAAAAGGCCACTCACTCACTCACTCACTCACTCACTCACTCAATCTGGACTTTCCTTCTTTCTCCCTTGCCGTCCCACTCCCTCTTGCTGCGCCACCACTTAATCTCCACGGTTGCAGAAGTCGTTGTGTGCCCACACGAGGATTGCGGAAGGGCGTTCGGGAGGAAGTATCATCTGCAGTCTCATGCCCCCGTGTTTCGAAACTTCTCTCAAAGCTTCATTTCTCCTTCACCCCCGTATTCCCAACGCCCCACCACTTGTGTTGCAGCAGAAGTCGTTTGTGCCCCCACATGAGGACTGCAGAAGGGCGTTTGGGAGGAAGTACCACCTGCAGTCTCATGCCCCGTGTTTCAAGACGTCTCAAAGCTTCATCCTTCCTTCACCGGCTCTTCCCACTGTCGCACCACTACTTGTCTTGCAGCAGAAGTCGTTTGTCTGCCCACACGAGGACTGCAGAAGGGCGTTTGGAAGAAAGTACCACCTGCAGCGGCACATGCAGTCGCACGCCCCCGACCGGGTGAGTCCCTCCCTCCTCCATGCTACTGACGCCAACCTGATCATATGATGAGTCGGCTCACAAGTCTCATTATTCAGGAAGAAGGAAGTACCACCTGCAGCGCCACATGCAGCCTCCCATCCAATGCCCCTGACCGGGCCAGTGTTTTGCTTCATAAGACATGCTGCGACACATGAGGCTGGTCCTTTAATCAATCTCCACTCCTCATCCTCTCCTTCCTCTGCATCCCACCCCACCAGTTCCCCTGTCCTCATCCCCAGTGCTCTCAAACGTTCAGCCTGCATGCCAGCATGCAGAGGCACTTGAGGCTGTTTCTTTCCCTGATTCTGTCTCCCTTTACCAATCCTTGTCTTCCATCTTCCCCCCTACTTCCCACCAGTTCCCGTGCCCTCACCCGCAGTGCTCTAAAACGTTCAGCCTGCACGCCAGCATGCAGCGACACGTGAGGGAGCAGCACTGGGAGGAGGAGGGCATCAGAGACCGGCTGGATAGAGTGAACAGAGAGATCAAGGGGAAGCAGCAGGAGGAGGAGGAAGGGGTGGGGATTGGGGATTGGGTGCGTAGAGTGAAGAGAGAGAGTAAGGGAGGTGGGACTGGGGATAAGGTTCAGGAGAAGGGGGAGAAAGCACAGGAGATAGCACAGGAGAGAACACAGGAGAGAACACAGGCGAAAACACAGGAGAAAGCACAGAAGGAAGCACAGGAGAAATCACCGGAGGAAACGCAGGAGAAAGCACCCGGGAATGCACAGGTGAAAGCACAGGAGAACGCACAGAAGAAAGCACAGCACAAAGCACAGGAGAATGCACAGGAGAAAGCACAGGAAGAAACACAGGAGAAAACACAGGAGAAAAGACAGGAGAAAAGACAGGAGAAAGCACAGGAGAAATCACAGGAGAAGACACAGGAGAAAGCGCAGGAGACGACACAGGAGAAAGCACAGGAGAAATCACAGGAGGGAGCACAGGAGAAAACACAAGAGGCGGCAGAGGAGAAAGCAACAGAAGCAATAGGAGGGCAAAGAGGAGGGGAGGAGGAGAGGAGAGGACGGGAAGAGAGGATAGGAGCGGATGAGGAAAGGAGAGGAGGGGAAAAGGAGAGGAGAGGAGGGGAAGAGGAGAGGAGAAGAGGGGAAGAGGAGAGGAGAGGAGCGGAAGAGGGGAGGAGAGACAGCGAGCAGGAAGAGAGAGGGAGCGAGGAGGGGGCTGGAAAAGGTTTATGTGCGGTGGAGAGTGGTGAGAAGCAGTGTGACACTCAAATGCATGATGCTGAATTGTTTCATACTGCTGAAGAAGACAGGCAAGAATTTGCTGACGTGGAAGAGGATAACAGAGAGATCCTTGGGACCAATGGGAGAGCAGGGACGGTGCAAGGGATGCAGGGCCACCTGCAGCAACAGAAGCGGCACCTGAAGAAACACCTGGAGGTTGATGAGAATCACCTGGAGAAGCACCTGAAGGAGAAGGAGCAGCCTGGTATAGAGGTGAAAAGTCACCTGAGCCAACAGAAGGAACACCTGAGGGCAATGAGGGAGCACCTGAGGAGGAAGGAGATTCTCTTGAAGGAGGAGGAGGAGTTTCTGCGGAAGCAGCAGGAGCACCTGAGGCAACAGAGAGAGCACCTGAAACAACAGAACGAGGACCTGAGGCAACGGGAGGAGCAGCTTGCAAGGCAAGAGCAGCACTTGGGGGAACACCTGAGGGGGGAGCACGGGGGGGAAGAGCACCTGGGGGGCCACCTGAAGGGGGACCTGAGGGGGAAGCATGTTGGGGAGAATGGGTTGCTGCTGCTGCAGGATGCTGTATGCTTGTGCTCTGCTGCTGCTACTGCTTCTGTGGGGACGACTGGAGGTGTTGTGGCAGCTGGTGATGGCGATGTGGCAGCGGCTGGTGCTGATGTGGCAAAGGCCGTTGGTGATGTGGCAGGTGCTCATGATGATGTGGCAGAAGCTGTTGGTGAGGTAACTGCAACCGACGCTCATGCAATGGCGACCGTTGGTACGAGTGGGTGCGGTGGGGGGGCTGGTGGGGTGGATTGTGGGAATGCTGATGGGAGGATTAAGGAGGGCGTGAGGGAAGTGGAGGGGGGGATGACGCGAGGAGAAGGAGAGGGAGGGGGTGAGGGGAGGGCGGAGGTTGGCAAAGGAGCAATGGTATCAGAAGTGGCGTCAGGGGGGATAAGGAAGTACAAGCAGGCAGGGATGATGAGCTGGAAGCGCAGGAGGTGGTGTGATAAGGACGTGGCAAGAGATGAGGTTACGGCCGGAAAGCTGTTGAAAGGTAGAGAAAGAGATGGGAAGTCAAGGGAGAGGACGTCAGAAGCATGCAAAACTACTGAAGCAAGGCAAGCAGAACGCGGCATGGGAATGTCAACAGGAAGCGAAGGAGAAGAAGACACGTCAAGTTACGAGGACGCAGCAGCAGCAGCAGCAGCAGGAGGAGCAGCAGGGGAGGGCACGGCGGGCGTAGCAGAGGGAGCAGACGGGACAACGGCAGCAGGGGAAGGAGCAGCAGAGGGAGCGGACGGGGCCATATGCGGCTTCTGCTTTGCTGCCTTCCCGTCCCTCCCTGCCTTGGAGCAACACACGCAGCAGCACCACCGCTCCGTGCCATGCCAGCACTGTGGCAAGCGTATATCTTTCTCTCGCTTCAAGCGCCACCTCAAGGAGCATGAATTGAAGGAGCAAATTTCGCCCCACCCGTGCAAGGTGGATGGGTGCAGCAAGACTTTCAGTTCGGTGAGTCATCCCTCTCCCTGCGGCTCCGTGCCCTGCCCGCACTGCAGCAAGCGCATATCTTTCTCCCGCTTCAAGCGCCACCTGAAGGAGCACGAGTTGAAGGAGCAACCTTCGCCCCACCCGTGCAAGGTGGATGGGTGCGGCAAGGCGTTCAGCTCTGTGAGTCCCCTCTTGTGCTGCTGCTGTGGATGCAATGCATGGGCCACCACGACCCCTTCTTACAAGCTTACTCGTGGCGCAACCCTCCCCCACTCTCCCCCCTTTCTCTCCTCATCCCCCCCCCCCTTACTTCCCTCCCTCCCCCCCCCCCTTTTTTTCTCCTCAATACCTCCCCTTCTTCATGTAACCTAAGAAGAACTCACATCAGAGCGTGCCACCACCACAACCTCCCTTTCCCTTTTCCGTATCCTTCCTCTCCCTCTCCCCCTTCCCCACCTCCCTCTCAGAGCAGCCCAGCAACCTGAGGACGCACATCAGGTCGTGCCATGCCACCACCATGACCATCCTTTTCCAAACTCGCTCATTGCTGAACCCTTTCTGCTCCGCCTTTCCCCTCCCCCTCTTCCCCCTCAGAGCAGCCCAGCAACCTGAGGACGCACATCAGGTCGTGCCATGCCACCACCATGACCATCCTTTTCCAAACTCGCTCATTGCTGAACCCTTCCTGCTCCGCCTTTCCCCTCCCCCTCTTCCCCCTCAGAGCAGCCCAGCAACCTGAGGACGCACATCAGGTCGTGCCATGCCACCACCATGACCATCCCTTTCCAAACTCGCTCATTGCTGAACCCTTTCTGCTCCGCCTTTCCCCTCCCCCTCTTCCCCCTCAGAGCAGCCCAGCAACCTGAGGACGCACATCAGGTCGTGCCATGCCACCACCATGACCATCCCTTTCCAAACTCGCTCATTGCTGAACCCTTTCTGCTCCGCCTTTCCCCTCCCCCTCTTCCCCCTCAGAGCAGCCCAGCAACCTGAGGACGCACATCAGGTCGTGCCATGCCACCACCATGACCATCCCTTTCCAAACTCGCTCATTGCTGAACCCTTTCTGCTCCGCCTTTCCCCTCCCCCTCTTCCCCCTCAGAGCAGCCCAGCAACCTGAGGACGCACATCAGGGCATGTTATCAGAAGGACCGCCCCTTTTACAAGCTCACTTACTGCATGGCCCTCTCGCTACTCTCCCTTTCCCCTTCCCCTTTTCCCCTCCCCCTCAGAGCAGCCCAGCAACCTGAGAACCCACATCAGGGCATGTTATCAGAAGGACCGCTCCTTTTACAAGCTCACTTACTGCATGGCCCTCTCGCTACTCTCCCTTTCCCCTTCCCCTTTTCCCCTCCCCCCCCAGAGCACCCAGCAACCTGAGAACCCACATCAGGGCATGTTATCAGAAGGACCGCTCCTTTTACAAGCTCACTTACTGCATGGCCCTCTCGCTACTCTCCCTTTCCCCTTCCCCTTTTCCCCTCCCCCTCAGAGCAGCCCAGCAACCTGAGAACCCACATCAGGGCATGTTATCAGAAGGACCGCTCCTTTTACAAGCTCACTTACTGCATGGCCCTCTCGCTACTCTCCCTTTCCCCTTCCCCTTTTCCCCTCCCCCTCAGAGCAGCCCAGCAACCTGAGAACCCACATCAGGGCATGTTATCAGAAGGACCGCTCCTTTTACAAGCTCACTTACTGCATGGCCCTCTCGCTACTCTCCCTTTCCCCTTCCCCTTTTCCCCTCCCCCTCAGAGCAGCCCAGCAACCTGAGAACCCACATCAGGGCATGTTATCAGAAGGACCGCTCCTTTTACAAGCTCACTTACTGCATGGCCCTCTCGCTACTCTCCCTTTCCCCTTCCCCTTTTCCCCTCCCCCTCAGAGCAGCCCAGCAACCTGAGAACCCACATCAGGGCATGTTATCAGAAGGACCAACCCGTTGCAAGCTCACTTATTGCATGGCCCTCTTCCTCCTCTCCCTTTCCCCTTCCACCCCCTCCTCAGAGCAGCCCAGCAACCTGAGAACGCACATCAGGGCGTGCCATCAGAACAATCGCCCCTTTGCCTGCTCCATCCCAGGCTGCCCCCAGCGCTTCGCGTACAAAGTCAACCCCCCCCCACCCTCCCTTTCCCCGTTCTCTCCCTCTTCCCGTCCCCACCTTCCCCCTCAGAGCAGCCCAGCAACCTGAGGACGCACATCAGGGCGTGTCACCAGAAGGACCGTCCCTTTGCCTGCTCCGTCCCCGGCTGCTCCCAGCGCTTCACATACAAAGTGATCCTCTCCTTACTCTCCCTCCCCCGACCACTCCTCCTCAGAGCAGCCCAGCAACCTAAGAGCCCACGTCAGGGCATGCCACCAGCAGGACCGCCCCTTTCCAGACTCATTTATTGCACGACCATCTCCCTACTCTCCCCTTCCCCCTTCTCCCACCTCCTCCTCAGAGCAGCCCAGCAACCTAAGAACCCACGTCAGGGCATGCCACCAGCAGGGCTGCTCCTTTGCAAGCTCACTTATTGCATGGCCCTCTCCCTCCTCTCCCTTTCCCCTTCCCCCTCAGAGCAGCCCAGCAACCTGAGGGCGCACATCAGGGCGTGTCACCAGAAAGACCGTCCCTTTGCCTGCTTTGTCCCAGGCTGCTCCCAGCGCTTCGCCTATAAAGTGAACCTCTCCAGGCATGTGGCAGCCATACACGTGCTCACACCCGCACAGGTGAGAGCCGTGCTTCCTGTGGTGTGTGTCTGGGGGCTTATTTTGAGTGCAGTCACACTCCCCGGCTGCTCCCAGCGTTTCGCATACAAATTCAACCTCTCGATGTGGCAGCCATTCACGTGCTTACACCCGCACAGGTGAGAGCACGTGCTAGTGTTAGGGAGCCTTATACTGATTGCAGCCACGCTCCAATTTTTTAGTCGACTCAAAAATAGGCTCACACCTGCACAGGTGAGAGCATGTGCTAGTGTTAGGGAGCCTTAAAAGTGATTGCTGCCACACTCCCAGGCTGCTCCCAACGCTTCTTGAGGCGCCTCACGATTCGTACTAAGTCAACCTCTCGAGGCATGTGGCTGTCTTACACGTGCTCACACTCGCACAGGTGAGAGCAGTGCTTAGTGGCAACAGTGGTATTTTGAGCATTAACCCGAGTACAAAGTGAGCCTTTCACGCCATGTTGTCGCGATTAACAGGCTCAACCCCGCAGGGGTGAGAGGATGGCCCCGTTCGTCTTTTGAGGAAGCTTGTAACGAGTACAAACTGGACTGCGGAGTGTAGAGGCTGTCTGTCTCCCTTATTGGCCCAGGTTTTGACTTTCTCACTCACACTCCCTCCCCAACATGCTGGTTACTGGTAGCATGCGCATGCCCCCATCTTTGTCCCCATACATACGTACCCTTCTTTCTCCATGTCCATCCTGTCATCCCTTCCCTCTGCCCCGCCTCTCTATGATGCTCTCGATCTCTCAATGTCATTCATCAGAATGTGGTGGAGGGGGATGAGGCCATGCACAGAAGACAGAGGCTCACAGGGAGATGTTGCTTTTCTCGATCTCTTGTCCCCTCTGCCCCATCCCACCCCTCTCTGTGTTGCCCGCGATCTCTCAATGTCATTCATCAGAATGTGGTGGAGGGGGATGAGGCCATGCACAAGAGGCAGAGGCTCACAGGAAGACCTTATTTTTGCCCCTCTCTTTTTCCCTCCTCCCCGCGGTGACCCTCCCCTCCTCTCTCCGTGCTCCTCTCAACCTCTCATTATTCTTTTCTTCAGAATGTGGTGGAGCGGGATGAGGCCATGCACAAGAGGCAGAGGCTCACTGGGAGACCGCCTTGTTCTGGCGGCGCAGCATTTGTTAGTGATACGTTCTGCGCTTTACGAAAGTGTGAAAACGGCGTTGCGGATGTAGAGAAGCGTTAACTTACCAATGTTCATATGTACATAATGTAATAGACCTGCATTGTCACACTTCATTGTACTTCATATCATGTTTGTTATTCGCGCACACATATAGGCACTATCTAATGGGGTAGATGGTGTTTTCTTGTTCTGAGGTATATGAGAACTCTGTGAGGTGGTAAGTAATGCTATAAAGGGGCGCACTCTGCCGAGAAATTATCTGGCGATTCACGAATGCATGCACCACGTGTGTAGTGAAACCTTATTGGCGTAGATTCTCCAGACAGGTACACGTGGGAGCATGGACCTGCCAGCCAGACCATGCTTGTTGTGATTCGGGAATCAGGACTTGGAGCTGTCACGAATTTTGTCTCCCAACCTGAATGGCCCGCACGCTCTCCAGCCCAATCCTCGTGTCGTGTCGGGTGTACAGAACCTAGGTGTGCAGTTGCAAAAGGCAAAGCGTTCAGTTCACTCTCCAAAGAATTCACTCCACTTCACGCCACTCCACTCCCTTCCCACCACACCAAGCCCAGGCAAGGATGATATGTCTGGGAAAATGTACTCGACCGACCTTCCTGCAATGACTGTCCTGCTCGACCCAGCTTTATTCAACGAGAGTCACTGTTTGGAAGTTGTTTTCCTGCCCTAAGGGGGTGGTACACCTGCTAGGTGTACCAACCTACATATCAACGATCGTCCATATAAAATTTGCTCCGCATCTGCCTTGCTCTACAAGCCCCGCACTGCAGCAATCCCTTCCCTGTGTCCCCTGAGATTACAGAATCACAGCATTGATCGCCGCATCACTCCCCTTCCGCCCACGGGAGTCCCGCCATCACCACTCATCGCATTTCCAGAGCGTGTACATGACGATAACCTGGGCGTGAATTCACGGCTGACGAGTGATGTCTTTAGTGACGTTTCCAAGGGAACAAGTCCAATGAGTTCCACATTTCCCAGACCGTATTGACACGCTGAACAGTTCCAAACTCTTGTAACCGGGTTCTTTTCCGTCCAACCCAAAATAGATCACTCTTGTGTACCGGTTCACAGTTGCCCTGTCTTTTCCACCGAACGTACAGGGCAGCGCTGTAAAGTCCTTGTCCGAACTCAAGGGAGTTGGGATTGGTTTCCTCTAAACTTTGGTTCCACCGTCCTGTCAGTCTTGAGGAACCCGAGGAGAAATTTTCGAGGAGTTCTCTCAGGGAGCTGCGAGTGGTAGCTCAACTCTTCGCTATTTGAGCTCAACCTGCCATGGTATGTTATTTTTCCCTCCTGATTCATCCGCCATGGTGATGGAGGTTAGAATGTCTTTTGACGAGGCAGACTTTTTCCAGCCATATCCGTCTAACGTATCTGGCTCGGTAGATGTGAACGCTTATCTATTGGCTCCTAGGAAACAAGTACGTCTTTGGACTAATCTCTAAGCATTGCTTCGTTCGCGAGTTTCTGATATATATCTCTTCATCGCATCGTACAGGAGTATTAACAGTCTCGTTGAAAATCTGTTCTAACGGTATATTCAAATCCACCTTTGTTTTTTCGTCCTCCCCCTATGCAGGTGAACTTATCACCTGGTCAAGTCAACGCTTTCATCTGGTGTCTTCTTATCGGTTTCACGGGATGGCTTCTGCACTGGCTTCTCGCCTACGTCTCTTTATGGCGGCGGGGAAACCAGTTCCCGGGTCCCAAGGGTCACCTCCTCTGGGGAAACACGGCAGAGCTCATGGGAGCTGGAAGCATCACCGGTACGCTTTTCTCAGCGTGTCAATTATTCGTTCCGTTTCTCGCGCTTGCTGGCCGTCGCAATTATTCGTTCCGTCTCTTGCGTTTCTTTTTCTGGAACCATATCCTGCCGTGTAGCCGTTTTAACATCACAAAACATTTTCGTGTTCTCGTTTTCCAGACCTTATTGCAAGGCTTCACTCGGAGTACGGTCCCGTTGTAAGGCTCTGGATGAGCCCGACGAAGCTGCTTATATCGATTCGCGACCCCGCGCAGGTTCGCAAGGTGCTTATGCGAGCTCTTGAACGACCGCCTGCCTTCAGCCGAATCATGGCTCGCTGCCTCGGAGCGGATTCCACTCGCTTCTCTTCCCTCATGCAGCCGCGAGCACGTAGATCCTTCTTAGATTACCACTGCCATACCACGCTCAAGTTTCAGGTTCACGAGGTGACGTCAACCGTCGTTCACATGACGTCACGCCACTGGACGTCCGTGGCCGGGTCCGGCGGGGAGATCGACGTGGGTGGTGTAGCTAGGGATATGGCGGTTGGTGTACTCGGCGGTTCTCTTTTTGGTAGCGGGTTTCCTATGTCGAGGATCCACGCTCGCTTACAGGGTCTATTGGAGAAGGTAGCTGCAGGATCTCAGAAGTTTTCGCGGTTCCCAGTCGAGCCGTTCTGGCTTCCGTCGTATTGGCAGTTTTCCCGCGTTTGCGACGAGTTTCGCGAAGTTATGCGAAGGCTCATGTCAGGCGAATGCGAGGGCGTCAAGTGCGGGTTACCCGACGTTGGCGTTGCCAATTTCAGAAGCAGAGGCTTCAATGTGGGAAACTCCGGATGCGAAGGGAATGATTCCGAACAGAGCCCTGTCGCTGCCGCTGCTGCTGCTGCTGCTTCTATTGATGTTGGTCTTGTTTCCAGCGTCAACACCCGTTCTGCTGTTGATGCTGCTGCTGGTCCCGATGCCGTTCCCCCCATTTCCCCCCGTCGCGGAGTCATGGCGCAAGAAGCGACTCACGAGGGTTTTCTCTCCGCCATGCTGTCGGAACGGTCCCGTTATGGGCAACCTCTTTATAACGAAACGACAGCATTGGCGGAAGCTGCTTCCCTCATGCTTCACGGCCATCTCTCGGTTCCCGGGCTTTTGGAGCGAGTGCTCGTCGCGCTCGCCGCGCACCCCGATATACAGGACAAAGTCGTACAGGAAATCCGCGCTGTAGCGAATGGCGGGTCGCCTACTGACGAGGATTTGCAGAAACTGGCTTATCTGAACGCTGTCATTTACGAGACGTCCCGCTTAATGCCGTGTCAGCCGCTGGTTACCAGATGCGCGCTCTCGGAAAACATACGTCTGCCTGTCTCACCATCACCTCAGTTTGATAACAGCAGTGACGGAGGGTTTCGTTCTGCGAGTGAGGGCTCCTCTCGTGGGGATACGCATGGGGATGTGCAGGGCAGTGGGGATGTCGACAACACGCGGTTTCTTTCGGTTCCCTCTGGGACCGTTTTGGCGCTGCCCATGCATCTCCTGCAAACGGATCCTTCGTTTTGGGGCGACGACGCTTTGGAGTTCCGCCCCGAGCGCTTCATTCGGTTCAGAATGCAGCAGGAGAAGAATGAGAGCGATGAACAGGCAGGGAAGGAAGGGAAGCGAAGGAGGGAAGGCAAGGGAAGCAAGGGAGGCAAGGGAGACAAGGGAGACAAGTCAGAAGAGGTGGAGCAGAAAGGAGAGAGGGAAGGCGAGGGGAAGGAGGGGGAGCAGTGGAGGGAGGGGTTGCTTCCAGGGCGAGACTACGAGTGTGTGCCGCCGGAGCAGGGAGAGCATTTTCTCATGTTTGGAGGCGGGCCACGGTCGTGCGTGGGGCTGCGGTTCTCCTTTAAGATCGTGCGCGCAGTTGTGGCACTGCTGCTGCACCAGTTCGAGGTGAGTCGGCTGTGCCTTGTGTCTGTCACCATTCGTTGCGCCCTTATGGCATGAGCCACACGCCACCTGTCCCCTTTCACATGCGTCCCTGCCATATCTTCCCCTGTCACGTGCTCACGTTTTTCAGAGTTCTCATGGTCCTCGTCATTCTCACACCTTTTCCTCTCCACACCACACTCCTTTTCTCATGCAGATCTCCCTGTTGCCCGACATGCCCAACGCCTTCTCCTCTCAGCTGCACAGCCTGGCCCTCCACCTCTCTCCCTCCCCTAAGATCCGAGTCTCCATGCGCACGCCCATCCCTACCATGGACCCATGCGACACTGTTGCTCCTGCTGATGATGATGATCCCACTTGCAACACTGCAAGTTTTTAGCCTTGCCATGCACACAGCGTGTCAGGGTTTTGTATTTCGCCCCGTGGCCTGCTCTGCCCTTGTTTTTAGGGGGCTTTATCTGTTTTCTTGCCCAAGCATTCTTGCTGGGCTTGTTATTTTCCCTTTTCTTATTTTTCCTCCTCTGGGGGAGTGGTTCTTGCACTGAAACTAGCTGGTGGCACATCTCTTTTGGCAAGCATTTCCTAGTTTTTATCCAGCTGGTTGTCTTGTTTCTAAAGTGCATTTGATTTTTTTGTTCAACATCTCCTGGATAAACTTTGAACTTCAGGTATGAAAATTGGGTACAGTTACTGCACTTTCGTCAGGGGACATCTGACAGGGGCAATATGGCACGGGTCTTAATTACAGTTTGTACTGAGCTACATTACAGGTGATTGTTCTGTTCTGTGGGCATGGTTTGACAAAGTCTGCCTCCTTGGTGTTCTGTTCTGAGATATGGTTTGTAAATAAACAAGTCTGCTTCAGAATGCCCATGTACAGTAAAAAAAGAAACAAAAAGGTAAAAACAAAACAACTCCCTTTCTTAGTAAGGGCCAACTCAAACAGGCTTAACTCCTCAGCCCGACCCAACCACCCACTGGAGGTTCTCATCTCAGTGGGCCATGAGAGTGAGCGCATCCCGGGAGCGTCCCATCAAGTTCAACACAGTGGATGCAATCTGGCCGGCAGACAGCCCTGCCTCTATGATTTGATCCTTGGGTGCTCCGTGCTCGATGTAACGGTCGGGCAGGACAACAGGGCGGAACTGATGGGGGTGAGGGATGGAGGATGGGGACAGGTCGCAGGCAGAATGGGAGATGAGATTATAGAAGCGACGTAATAAGTTTGTCGACAGTCTTGAGATGGAAGCAATGCACTGCTCCAATAATCACATTCAGAAAAGAACGTGGGAATACCTTGACTAGTTGGGAGAACCCAATCTCACCTTGATCTTGCCGTCATCAAACACCCCATCCAGCGCCATGTAGTGCTGCACGTGCGCCAAGGTGACTTCAATGTATGGTGTACCCTAACCTCTGGAGTGCACCGCCTTACAAAGTGCCCCCTACCCCACTTCCTCTCACCTTGATCTTGCCGTCATCAAACAGCCCGTCGAGCGCCATGAAGTGCTGCACGTGCGCCGAGAAGCCGCCCACGGACCCCTCCTCCACCACCACCAGCACCCCGTGGTTGCGCACGAGCTGCCGGATCAGATCGCGATCCAACGGCTTGCAGAAGCGCGCGTCAGCCACCGTGACCGAGATGTCCCGCTCCTCCAGCATCTTGGCGGCCGCCAGGCAGTTGAGAGACATGGTGCCGTAGCCCAGCAGGGCCACGTCTGTTCCCTCCTTCAGGATTCGCCCCTTGCCGATCTGCATGTGCATGACGAGGGGGTGGAGTCATGCGAATGAGTGATGTGATGGGGAAGCTTGAGTCATGAGCCTCTGAAAAATGATGAGAATTTCACACACACAAAAAATGCGCTTCTGAAACGTGACTATAGAAAAAGTCACAACATCTGCCTCCCAGTTACAAGCAGCAGCTTTCTACAATGCTCGAGGAAAACCAGGATGTTGGGCGGAGGGGGGGTGGGGGTGGGTGGAACAGAACAGAACTATCTTCTCTCACCTCGAGTGGCACGCCCTTATTGTTTGCAGGCAGGGGCAGCCCGATGCCATTCCCACGCGGGTACCGGAACACACTGGGCCCCTCGTTATAAGCCGCTGCAGTAGCCACCATATGGAAGAGCTCGACCTCATCGGCCGGCGCCATCACCACCATCTCAGGCAGACACGCCAGGAACGCCACGTCATACGCGCCAGCGTGCGTCGCCCCGTCAGCGCCGACCAATCCCGCGCGGTCGACAGCAAAGCGCACCGGAAGCTTCTGCAGCGCCACGTCATGCATGACCTGGTCGTACGCGCGCTGCAGGAAGGAGGAGTAGATGGCACAGAACGGCTTCAGCCCCTCGACGGCCAGGCCCGCCGCAAAGGTAACCGCATGCTGCTCCGCAATCCCGACATCGAAGCAGCGGTCGGGGAAGCGTTTCGCGAACAGGTTCAGCCCGGTTCCACCGCCCATGGCGGCATGAATCGCAACCACATTCTTGTCCTGCTCTGCCTCCGCAATGAGCGCTTCCGCGAAGTAAGTGGTGTAGGCCTGAGTCGCGCTCTTCCCCTTGTGCTGCCGGCCCGTCGCCGGGTCGAATTTCACCACGCCGTGATATTTATCCGCTGCCCGCTCCGCATACGGGTACCCGCGCCCCTTTTCAGTCACAACGTGGATAAGCACAGGCCCGGTTGACTGAGTGTTCTTAACCTCCTTCAATATAGCCACAAGATCCTCCACTGAATGCCCGTCCACCGGGCCTATATAGTACAGCCCAAGCTCCTCAAAGAGAGTCGATCCCGACCCGCTGATCATCCCCCGAGCGTATTCATCCACCTTGGCTGCGATCTCATGCACCGGACCTCCGATCTGCTTCGACACGCCCTTGGCAACCTCCCGAAGCTCCCGGAGAGGTCTGGAGGATTGGAGCTTGCTGAGCGCGCTGCTGAGCGCCCCGACGGGGGGAGCGGGGCCGTCGACGGTGGCGGTGGGGAGCGAGACCTGCTTGTTGTCGTTGAGGATGACGATCATGTTAGAGTCGAGGTAGCCGGCGTTGTTCATGGCTTCATACACCATGCCCGCCGTCATGGCGCCGTCGCCGATCACAGAAATCACGTTGTTCTTCCGCCCCTTGAGGTCGCGCCCCACCGCCATGCCTGGGGGGAGAAGAGGGGGCCGGAGGGGAGGGGGAGGGGGATGGAGAGAGGGGAGGGAGATTTAAAAAACGGGGGGGAGAGAGCGCGAGGCATAACACTTCAGAATCCGAATCAGGGCCATGTGGAAACCTGTGACCCATAGGCCACGGTCCACGTGCTCAGCCAATGGCCGACTGTCCACACCCCTACGCAAGGTGGCAATGGCAGGGAGGGACCAGGGGGCGGAGTCGGAGAGGGAGGAGAGAAGCGCAGGGAGAGTTGGAACGTCATGCGTCCGGCGCACATCACGTGCAGCTAGTTCATTCGTGCCATCACGAAAATTGGTGACAGAGGCGCAGGGTAAGGAGAGTGAGCGAGGGTATGTACGGCAGCAAATGGAGGATCGTGAAACGATGAATGGGTGGAGTTGGTCGGGTGAAGGATTGTGAGGGAAATATGACTGGAAAAACAGGGATAGGTGGCTCGGAGTGACGGGTGAGCGAGACGACACCACCATGTACCATGACTAAGCTTTATCCCTGCTGTGCTTGATTCGGGTTTGAAGGGAGTGGGAACTGCTCTTTGGGTCAACTTGACCAGGGACGACAGAACACGGAACAAGGGAACCGCCCAACCACTCACCCACCCCAACGCCCAGTTACGCCCACCCACACACCCACCCCAGCCACTCGCCACGCCAAGCCACCCACCCATCCCAACCACCCACCCATCCCAGCCGCCCACCAGCCCCAGTTACCCACCAACCCCAGCCACCACCCATCCCAGCCACCCACCCATCCCAGCCACTCACCAAGCCCGGCGGAGATACTCGTGGAGCTGTGCCCCGCGCCGAACGCGTCATACTCGCTCTCCGCGCGCTTCGTGAACCCGGACAACCCGCCCGTCTGCCGCAGCGTGTGCATGCGGCTGCGGCGGCCCGTGAGGATCTTGTGCGGGTACGCCTGGTGGCCCACGTCCCAGATGATGCGGTCGTCGGGCGTGTTGAACACGTGGTGCAGCGCCACGGTCAGCTCCACCACGCCTAGGGAGGATCCCAGATGCCCGCCCGTCTTCGACACCGTGAAGATCGTCTCCGCGCGCACCTCCTCCGACAGCTGCTTCAGCTCCTGCTCTCGGGGGAAGGGGCGGGGGAAGGGGCGGAAGGGAGGGGGAATGGGAGGGGGGAACGCACGGGGCAAACGGGCAGGAGGGATGGGAGTTCGGAATTTTGTGAGACGACCCTAGATTCCCGCCCGGCCTGGCGCGGACCTCTGCTCTGGGGAAGGGCTGGCGGAAGGGACTCGGAAAGGGAGCGGAAGGAGGGGAAGGAACGAAGACGGGCAGACGGACGGAAGAGATGGGAAATACGTGCTCTACCACTGAGTGGCCAGCGTCGTGGTTTAACGTCTCGAGACGACCACTGTACATAATTCGTTTCGCAGTTCACGAAGAAAATACACCTGACACCTGGTCCTTGAAGAGAATTTGTCCGGATGTCCAAGTACCAGCAGAAGCTCGATTCGGGGATAACTTTCCCTAGAACCTGGAGGTATGAGTTCAACCTGCTCTGCATACCCTATCAGTCGCAACTGTTGTCGCTTTCTCGTCAATGCTCATGCTTCTACGAGACCTGCCATTGGACCTTGAACGAGACAAAAAGACGGATTTTTTTCACCCCTCAGTAAAACACGCACCCTGATGCTGAGATTCTTCATGTGAATCGGGTAGTTGACAGTATCGAGGATAGGCGTGGGAGGCTTCTCGGTGAAGTACTCGCCCTTCTCGCTGAGAGTCGCCACAGGGCCCTGGTGTTGTAACGAGGCAGCCAGAAAGAGGAGACACGGAAATGCATCAGCCACTGTACAAGAAGGTACGAGAGGATAACTTGGAATAGCAGTGGTTGGCTATCAACAAATGAAAACGCTAGGGAATCAGAACGAAGGCTGGTACTGTGACCTAATAACCTAGCACGAAATGGATGCAGACGCAACGAGCTTACATTGTTGGAGCTTCTCCGCTGGATGTTCCGTCCTCTCTTCGCGACGTTCTTCCTATCCGTGAGATTCACGTTCTGGCGAAGGCCGCAGAAGCCATCGACCTTGAGAACGGAGTGCGAGGAGGAAGCCAGCACGGGCTCCTGGGAGAGCCCAGCCGCCAGGACGGCGTTAGCGCCGGAGCGGGATGCCAGGGACGCAGCCATGGTCGGTCAATAATAATATAAGACCTGGTAGTGGCGTAGCTCGCGCTGGGCTTGGCGTGTGATCCAACGAGCGGCCTTGGCGGTAGCAAATATTGAAATTGACTGACGAAGAAACCAACTAACCCTTCAGACTTCAGTTCAGAAGCTGCCGCGGGAAACTCGAGGGAAGGCTAGCTTTTTGGAGGTGTAGGGCGAGAGTGAGCCCCTGATTGGGGTCTGATCGGATGACGGGTGGCGTCGCGAGCAAAACAGGGCTTCCGTTTGTTCGGGCGTGAGTTGAGTGGTGCTGCGGTGCAGAGAGGTGGAATGTGGGCCTGAAGTTTGTCAGACAGGGAGATGGGAGGAGATGAGGTCGGGCAGCCTGGATTTCGTATGTCTGCGTGGCGTTCCCTTGGTTCTTCAGGGCGTCACTTTGTTTGCCTGGCTGACCGGGCCTCGATTCCGGGCGTCAGTTCCAGGAGGGCGTGACAGCGTCGATTCCGAAATGAAAATGGAACCAAGCAAAGTGGACGTAAAACCGGAGAGATTGTGGAAAACCCAGGCGATTTCCCTTGCCCTGCAGGATACGACGGGTGTAGTTTCCAACCAGTCAGGCGGAACGAAAAGCTGCTATCCTCCACGGTCTGAGCGAGACGAAATTTGGATGCTGATGTGGCAAACGCTTTCGGAGCCACATCATCCCAAACGTATCGGGTTCCGCCTGTCGTGTTCATGTACCACTGTGGGGTCGTGGATGCGTCCAATGAAAGCCAAGGAGGCTCCGCTGGCTTATCCTGCACTTTTGAGGTCGGCGCTCGCTTTTGTAATCCTTCCTCCTAGGCACACCTTAGCAACTCATTCCTAAAAAACATTGAATTTACAGTAAACTGCCATGTTGAAATGCTAATTATTGTTTCTTATAGCCACAAAAAGGCTGGGTCAATTTCTACATGATGATCCCCCTCCTGTCGACTCCAAACGGGTATATTTTGACGTGACCCTTCCCCTCCAACCATTTGACAGCGATAGATTCAACGCTTGTCATAAACCGCACCGCCATTTCCAAGGCACGGCATTCTTACTTCGCGTCGCGACGCAGCACCAGACGTCAATGACGAAGGACGGTAAGACTGAGGTGACTTCCGTCCGTACCGACCGTCTGCTGTGCACACTCCCATCCATGGAACTCGGAGCTCGGTATAAACGTCGTCATCCTAGTACCATCGTCTCGGTCAACTCCTGCCGAATTTGGCAGTTTCTACTCCTCACCTTCGAACAGCTTAATTGTCGCCAGTCGTCTCCCTTGATCTCTCGACGATGGAGCGACCGGCGTTCTCGCTGCTCGTGGTCCTGTCGTATGCGTCGCTCCTGTGGATCCTCGGCAACGCGCAGATCACGGCTGCTGCGGCGATGCCGCCCGTTAGATGCGCTAATGGATCCACTATTGGCATGTGCACGATTAATAACGCGTACGGCGTCAACATGGACGGGAGGCCCTGCCAGTAAGCAGACTTGGTGGCACCTTGACATCTTTGTTCCACCTCAGTGTTTTGCTGGTGCTTATTAACTGTTGTTGCATGGGTTTCGTCGATATTCCGACCCACGAGACACCTAAGAGTGAATTTGCCTTCTACACTTATCATGCCAAGCATTTGAGGCATCCCAAATTTTCAACATGTGAAGTGTGCAAGCTCCTTTCAGCTCACCTCGTTTTATTCTCACCCCCTCACTCCGTTTCATTCTCACCCTCTCACCCCGTTTCATTCTCACCCTCTCACCCCGTTTCATTCTCACCCTCTCACCCCGTTTCATTCTCACCCTCTCACCCTGTTTCATTCTCATCCCCGCACCCCCCATCCCTACACCTCCCATCCCTATTTTTTTCTCGCTCTTCAGGCTGGGTAGGGTGTTCTACCCACGGACTGAGGACGAATTGATCAGTGCTGTGGCCTATGCAAGCCAGAACCACCTTCAGGTCCGTCTCTCCCTCCGATCATATCAACTTCTAACTGGCTTGATCGATCTACAGTAATGCGCGGCTCGGACTTCTCATCGGCATGCGTGCATGCCGGAAGCTTAACTGTTCGGGATATTTGTATCGATGCCTCTTCTGAGGACCGTCAGTGAATCTTCCTCTGTCTTTTCTTCGTCTGGTGTCTGCCATACATTTTGTTACTTCACTTGGAAGCGTGTTTGTTAATATTAACAACAACAACCATCTTCTGGAAATTTAGCTCAATCCCTCTGTTGTTTTGTTCTGACAGCTTCTTTTTTATGTGTTCTATTCTTTTCCTCCTGTGTACAGGTGAAGGTGGCGAGTGCAACGGTGCACACCATACCCAAGTGGTTCTGCCCTGGCGGAAACTCTGGGGTTTCCATTATCACGCGTGACTATAATGGGATCTCCATTGACAGGGATGCCATGACAGCCACTGTGGATGCAGGAGTCATGGTGAGTCGGTGCATGCATGGTCTGGTATGGTATGGCATGGTATGGTATGGCATGGTATGGTATCGCGTGGATCGCCATTGATAGGGATGCCATGACAGCCACTGTGGATGCAGGAGTCATGGTGAGTCGGTGCATGCATGGTCTGGTATGGTATGGCATGGTATGGTATCGCGTGGATCGCCATTGATAGGGATGCCATGACAGCCACTGTGGATGCAGGAGTCATGGTGAGTTGGTGCATGGCATCACACGGCATGGCATGGTGTTGTATGGAAGGAGTTTTTTTATTTTGCGTGTTCGATTTCCACATGTTTTTTCCTGCTTCACTCACACATCACATCACATAACACCTCAACTGGTTTCCCCTCCCACCCATGACTCAACCGTCGCCTTCCCTGTCCCGTTCTCCCTCGACCTTTTTGTCCTCCCTATTGACCTCCCCGTACCATCCCCAGCTGGATGATTTCTTTGCATACTTGGCGGATCACAACCTCACCTTCCCCACCGCTCCCTACTGGGCAGGTAAGTTCGAAACAGGCTATTCTAGGGACAGGAATTCGATTGATCTCTCGGTCATGCACCTGTGTGCAGTGTAATTGCCATGATCCTAGAGTTCCATAATAATTAGTATTGTCCGTATGGGACAATAATAACTCTTTTCGTCTCCTTCCCTCCCGTCCTATGTATTCTTTAGGCGCTTCTGTGATCGGCGCCATATGGACCGGGTCCCACGGCAGCACGTTGCAACTCAAGGGAGGTCGCATGGGAGAATACGTGCGGGGGGTGCGAGTCGTGGTGTGCTCTACGGCTTACCCGCCTCAATGATAGCCTTCTTTCCTCCTGTTCCCTGCCATTCAACCCATCAGGTGCCTCCGTAATCGGTGCCATAGGCACTGGTTCCCACGGCAGCACACTGCAATTCAAAGGAGGCCGCATGGGAGAATACGTGCGGGGGGTGCGAGTGGTGGTGGCAGGGGATGAGGCGAGTGGGTGGGTGGGGGTGAGGGAGGTGAGCGGAGGAGATGAGCTGCTGGCTGCTCGCCTGCACCTGGGGCTGCTGGGAGCCATTTCCAAGATGACCCTCGAGGTCTACCCCATGTGGAAACGCGAAGTCACTTATTACAACACCAGGTGGGATTGAGATTGACGTGTAATTGCGCCTTTCTTGTATCCAGTAGATGGGGTTTCTGTTTGGTTAACCAGTGTGTTAACCAGTATATATCCGCAGGATGATACAGGAAGTCTTCTTCTCCCCCTCGCTCCCCCCTTTCCCCCTCGTTTTTCCATGTCCCTTGTCGTTTCATCTCTTCAATCTCGTCCTTCTTCCCTCTTCCTGCTTACGCTCATGCCATTCCATGGCCATGGACTGTTCCTGTTTACCCCTTGCTGCGCTCGGCTCTATGCTCCTGGGTGAATTCGGTGCTCCCCTCATTGCCCTCCTGTCCCCTTGCTGTGCCCTGCTCCGCCCATCCTGCTCCGCCCAACCTGCTCCGCCCATCCTGCTCCGCCCATCCTGCTCCGCCCATCCTGCTCCCCCCTTTTGATCCCCAGTGATGCGAATCTGGAAAACGAGATTCTCCCATTCGCGCTCAACACAACCTTCCCGGATCTCAACTGGTACCCGGCCGCCCGGAGGTGAGCCTCTCTTCTCAAATCCACAACACGTACAACGTTAATTATAGGTCGGGGAAAACTCCTGCGAATCTCTTCTCTGGTACCACCCCCTTTCCTGGAACCCCTAGCTTCCCTGTCTACCTGTTCCGTTTACCTCCTTTTTCATCTCCCTATCATCTCCCTATTATCTCCCTATTATCTGCGTGGCATCCCCCTATCATATCTCTTTCACCTTCCTATCACCTCCCTATCATGTGTCATCTCTCTGTCCCTCCCCCCCCCAGTGTGTTTTGGCGGAGGGACAACATGATACCTGTCCCTTCCCCATATGTCCCTTCCCCCCCCCCAACCCCCCCTTCCCTGCGCTCCCCCCCCAGTGTGTTTTGGCGGAGGGACAACATGGTGCCTGTCTCCCGCCCCGGCACCGGCTCCTACGCCCTGCCCATCTTCCGAGGCCAGTTTGACTACATCTGGACCGCCCTCGCTGCTCTCGGTATGTGCCATCTTGCTTAACTATGCGGACTCATTACCGGTTAGGGTTAGGGCGCTCCCAGGGGGGTATCTCACCTCTTACGCCCTGCCCATCTTCCAAGGCCAGTTCGACTGTGTCTGGACCGCGACCGCCCTCGCTGCTCTTGGTGCTCTTGTTCGACTATATCTGTTGCTTGCTGGCTTGTAGTGGGCTTGTAGTGGGCTTGTAGTGGATTAGAGTAAGAGCACTGGCTTGTTGTGTTGCGTACCTTTGCTCTGATGTTCCCTTCGAATATCTATTGCCAACTACTCCCCACATACCCGATTGTCCACCCTGGCTACCTTTTTGTGCCATTTTCCCCCATCTTTCTCTTCGTTCTCTGCCCTCTCCTTTTTCCTTTGCTTTTCTGTGTCACCCCGATCTGTTTTTCGCCTGGAAACACAGACCATCGCACGCAGACCTCTACCAACGAGCAGGACATCTGCAACCTGTGGCAGACCGTGCAGGTACGGGTTGACTTGAGTTGACTTGAGTTGACTTGAGTTGACTATCGCACGCAGACATCTACCAACGAGCAGGACATTTGCAACCTGTGGCAGACCGTGCAGGTGCGTACTGAAGACAATGCATGCAGGTGTGTGTACAAACAGCTCGACTTTTTGTACTAAGTGGTAGTGCACGCATCTCCGAGTCCTTGCAGAACATTTTTGCTCTGCCTTGCTATATCCCACCATAACCCTCATTTTGGAGACCGAAATCCCAACTCTGTTTATTCCTATCCGCCCACTTGTGCGTCCACCACCCCACATTCACATGCACTTTTCCCAACCCCAACTTATTCACTTGATGTGCAACTTGAACCTCCCTATAATACCCCAACATCAGGTGCCCGTTCTCCTGAATTTGGGGGGCGGCTTCACCAACGATGGCACCCTCTTCAGGGGCTTCCCCGTTGGTAAGTCTGCTGACTCTATAGCTATGTCTCGTTAACTTTGAGGGTAGCTTCACCAACAATGGCACTTTTTAGAAGCTTCCCTGTCAGTGTATTGTTCAATAAAAACATTTCTATTTTTTAGGAGAACCCTTGTCCTCATACCCCATTCTATTTCACACACCCAACCCCTCCTCCCCCCCCTTCCCCAACCCTCTTTTCCCCTCTATCCCCTTCACCCACACACTCTTCCAGTGGGCTACCACAACCGTTTCCAGACATCCTCAGGCTGCGAGGACGCGGGTCGCACTCCCTTGGGGCGCCAGGTGTGCCCGTGGGACCCGCGGATCAACGGCATTCGCTTCTATGAAACCACCTTCCTCATCCCGCTCACCAAACTGAAAGGTGGGGAGAGGAGCACGATACTTGATTGATGTCAGACCTGTTAATCAGCAGCATCAGACCTAAACCCTCCCTCTCACTTGCAGCTCTTCCCTCCTCCCCATCTCGGTTTTGCCGCTTTTGTCTTATGAGTGGTTGGAAAGCTTTCCTTTTCCTCTTACATCGTGTCTTCCTCTTCTTTGCCTTTTTCCCTGCTTCACTATACCTTAACCTCTTGCAGAGTTCATCCTTACAATCAAGCAGCTGGCTTCAGTGCGCCGTCTCGGCTTCTGTGGCTTGACAAACTATGGAGGAATTTGTTCCTTTGAGGCAACTCAAAAGCCTCTTCTTCCCTTCCCATTCCCGTTCCCCCCCGTACCCTTTACAGAGTTCATCCTTACCATCAAGGAGCTGGCATCAGTGCGCCGTCTCGGCTTCTGCGGGCTGGCAAACTACGGGGGGGTCTTCTTCCGCTTCATCCGGGGTTCCGACACTCTGTTGAGCACAACAGAGGACTCTGTGATGGTTGATATTCAGTACTACCGCAGTGACGACCCCTCCCAGCCACGCACCAGCCAGGTACGCTCCCTTTGGAACCTAGAGTGTGCTGTAGGGAGGGGCATCAGGGGTTCTTCTGACACTCTGCTGTCGACCACAGAGGACTCTGTGATGGTCGATATTCAGTACTACCGCAGCATTGACCCCTCCCAGCCACGCACCAGCCAGGTACGTTTCTCTCTGTATGTCAAGTGCATCAGGGCAAGGAGGTTCATCAAGAACTCTCACACCCTGCCTGGCAAACTACGGAGGGATCGTTTTCCGCTTTATCCGGGGTTCTGACGCTCTGCTGGGGGCAACAGAGGACTCTGTGATGGTTGATATTCAGTACTTTTGCAGTGATGATCCCTCCAAGCCACGCACCAGCCAGGTACGCTGTCTAAAGCCAGGCTTTGCCTTCTGCTTTCGTGTAAAGAGGCGCTTGGCGCTTGTTTTCCGTGGACTGTCATCTGTTTGGATCCACAGAGGATAGAGAAGCTGTTCAAGTGCAAACCGCACGGGGAATATAAAATGACCCTTTGTGATGTCATTCCTTGCTACAATTGATTTCAATGCCCCAATTCAATGTGCAGGATGTGACGGATGAGTACGAGCAGATCATAGGGAAGATGTTCAACGGCAAGCCCCATTGGGGAAAGAACAAGGATGTTTCCTTCATTGATGTCCCCAGCAAGTACCCCCACCTCCCTCGCTTCCTCAAAGTCAGGTGCGGCTGGTTACGACATCTTTTGTTCGTGTGGCCAAAATTATCTTCAATCATGCACTATGCTTGCAATTCGTACACTGATATTCCATGCTCACTCTCTTGACACAGTCTTGAAACACTCACACATGCCGTTATGCTGTGACGTCATGCAGAGAGGCGTTTGATCCAAGGGGTCTCTTCTTGAACGAGTGGGCGAAGCGTGTGCTGGGCCTGTCACAGCAGCCGGTGCAGGTGTACGGCGATCAGTGCGCCATGAGGGGCCTCTGCCACTGCGCTGCTGACGTGCACTGCAACCCTGCCCTCGGATCTTACTGCAGGCGTGGACTGATCTACACGAATGCTACGGTGTGCAAAACAGATTCATCTGAGTAGTTGTACGCTGATATATACATAAGAATGAGCTGAAATGTGGATTTCTATATGCAAGGAGTCTGTTCTTGAACGTGCATGCTGCTGGGTCAGTCGCAGCAGCCAGTGCAGGTGTAAGGGGGTTCAGTGGAGCAACAGATTGGGGGTGGGGGTACCTTGGGTAGATGTGCCATATTGGGTAAACATGTGACTGTAGAAGTTTGAGAGGGGATGTTCTTTGGCAGTTAGCAGTTGAAGAATGAGCGAGGGACTTATAAAACCTGCTGAGATTTGTTAACACCTTTGTACAGATATAGTGTCTAGTACAGGTATGTTAAAAGACTTGTCATATCAGGTTCTTCCACCAACCTTAGCACCCCATAAAACCTCTGCACCGCTAGAATCCTTCCCAGTACCTGGGGAGAATTTCAGCGGCCCGCCGCATTTTCGGCTCACAGTGCCGCCCCTCGTCTCACATCAGCGAGTCGAGATCAATCGATCCATCAGATATGATTTGTCTACGCCAACGAGTGTGGACCTGACGACAATGACAACAGGCCAATCTTTGATCCTGATTCCTGTACTGTACTCGCTGCTGTCAGTCTCTCAAGACCAGACCACAACCAGACGTAGAAAATAATCCGCTACCACCATACCGAAACACACACTATACCTCTAAACCTGGTAAAGATGCTCTCAACTCCGTCGAGCGCCGCACCCCGATTCTCTGCCTTTTCTCCTGTCACTTCTAGCCCTCATCTCCATCCATCCCTCCCGTCTCATCTCTCTCACCGCCAGCTGCCTCTTTCGTACCTCATCCGAACGATTCTTTCGATTCTCTTCTCGCGAATTCTTTGACCCTGCAAGGTCAGCAAGAGAATCAAAACGACAGCCTTCGTGTCGTGTTGCTTTGCTTCGCCTCGCCACGCCAACAATCCTTATCAGAATCGTTCAGGCTAGAATGTCACGTCAATGAGAGAGAGACTTCGTGTCGTGAATGTTCCAGTGTCTGACGAGTGATGACACTGACAACTCGATCTGACGCGAAGACACAAGACAGGCGACTGATTGTCGGCGTGAATCTCGTATTAGTTGCTTAGTCGCATAACTAGGAGTCCAACGTATCAGAAGACCGAGAACCAGGGGAAAAGCAATGGCAGTTGTCCGATCTAGATCGACTGATGACGATCCCTCTCCAGCGGTTCTGCGATTCTCTCCGCTACGTGACCCGGGGCTACTGCTGCCGCCCGCAGCTTCTGAACTCCCATTGGATCATCATCAATCTCATACTGATGCCGCCACTGCCGCAAGTTCTCCCAGTGGCGTAAGTGGCGCTGTTCTCTCGCCCGCGCATCGTTTCTTGGGGGAACACTGCCGCGGAGGCAACCTTCCGCAATCGCCCCTCGGCGGAAAGTTTCGGCGGAGACATAGGCCCCCTGGCGCGCACGAGATTCTCTTCCGCGCGGATTCTCCGCCTGCCGCGGGGAGTCCCCTGAGCCGCGCAGTTCACACGCAGAGCCCGCTGGCGCGCACGAGAATCTCATCCCCGCGCACGCAAAGCCCGCGCATCTTCCCCGGGAGTCCCCGCGCCACTGTCCCCTTTAAGGCAGCTCACCACCATCACGCGCGGAACGCGCGTCCCGCGCACGCCCTCTTCGTGCCCGACAACCCGCTCCTGGCGGAAATCTTCTCCCCGCATTCCGCCTCCGCGGGGCCCTGGGCGCGCGCGTTCGCGGAGTCGTCACGCGCAAGCGTCACTCCTAGGGAGACCGCGCGGCCGCTTCCGGCGGACTTCTCCGCTGCGCGCATTCCGGGGGAGACTCCGCCGTCGCTGGCGTGCGACATTCCGCCCACGTTCTGGGAACTCCCGCGGGCGCGGGACGAACCCCCGCCGAAAAGCATTGGCGTTTTCGCGCGGCTGTCGGTGCTGAAGCAACAACCGCCGCCGCATCCCCAGCCGCAGCAGCAGGGTTCTCTGCAAGGGACCCAAACTGAACAATGCAGGAGTGATGATCTGTCAGATGGTGCGACGTCACTAAAGCCGGGCGTTATTCGTCGCTGGCGCAGCTTCGGGCGGCGGAGCGCGGGCAGCGGAAGCAGCAGACGTCACACCGAGTGCCACGTGGATGTAGAGGCGAGCGGCGCGGGTGGGAGTAAGAGTGGCGCTAGTGGGAGGAAGAGCGAATTTAGTGGAAATTCATCTATAAAGGAGACAGTGCGGAGCCGGATAGACATAGGTCAACCCCTCCGCCTGGTTCGGAGTTTGTCTGCTCGTGTGGCAGAGCGAATAGAGGGTAGGACAGTCCGGGAAACTGGCAATGGCGGGTTGGATCCAGACAATGTGGTAACCTGTCGGGGAATGCCCATACCTAGGCACGAAGCTGAGGCTAAAAGAGAACGAGGTAATCGGCGGGGGAAGCGAGTGTCGAAGTCAGGCCCGTTGACGCCGAGCCGCAGGACGGGTGGAGAGGTTCGGCAAGGGAAGCAGGGGCAGGGGTTCGAGGGTGGAGAGAAGGTTGGATGCAGCGGGACCAGAGAAACGCTAGCGGGAGCAGTGGATGGTATAGGTTGTGGTTGCCGTTATTGCAGCGATGCCGTTCCTGCGTCAGCAGCTGGTGATGCGTCTGCTGCTCTTCACCAAGAGTTTGGGGTCAATGAAGAGGTGATGGCGGTCATAGGAGGTGAGGAGGAAGAGGCATGTCAGTCAGGGTCGTCATTCTTATCGCTGGTGGCAGCAGCTGTGCAGGGAGCAGGGAGGTCAAGAAAGAAGGAGATGTCTCAAAGGGTTGTCAGGCTAAATTCACTGTCCGGGGTCTCGCTCAGCAGACCTACATCCCATTCTGCTTCCCCAGGTTGGATGACGCGGATGAGACCGTTGCGTCCTATTGCAGGACATAGTCGTGCTGGCACCATCCCTAGAAGTCAAAGCGTTCCAGTTTAGGACAAAGTATTTCAATATGAAACCATTATTTCAATAAAAAACGTAATGTAAGGATGTGCTCGGTACTGGAGAGTAGTGTTACCATTTCTTTTAGTTATCGAGTTTCTGTCTTGTCCCACACGTCTGGACTCCAAAGCAGACTCGCAGCTGTATGGTAGACCAGGATTCGGGAGAGCTTGTTCCTCCAATCCATGAGCAATGTTCCAGCGCCGTCGATCTGCTGGCGTCACGAACCGCATCACGCTGACGGAGTATGAAACGGATATTGCGATGCCGGTCGGGTGGTTGACGTAGAAGTGACGTGGCGCCATGTTGTCCACCTACTGGGTAGAGTCGTTGGCGTGAATATGCTTTTCGACGAATCGAGTGCTTCCTGTAAGGTCCGGGAAACTGAACCTTCGGCTCGATTCCGTCCGTCTGGGTCTTGTCCGCCAAGGGCCAGCCAGGGGCGAGGGGAGGCGAGTTCAAGTATCAAGAGCAATTTCAAGCCACCGATTATCCGTTCTGCAAGACTAGAGGAAGAGCAACAAATGCTTTCAGACAAGCGAATATTCGCTATTCTCGAATTGGCCTCTAAGTTCCCCCTGGTGGCCGTCCGTGTGTTGAGTACTCTGAATTAGAATAAGTCCTTCGGATTCTAGCTTGTGTGCTTGTTCCACTCAGTCTGGTACTCCTTCCAGTTTCGACTATCAACGTCAGCTTGTTCATTGTAGCTTGTGCACTTGTTCCACTCACCTCAGAGGCTGTTTCGTTACCATGGGAAGCATCATGTACGACCCGTTTTACGTGAAGTCATGCCAGAAGTCACTTGGCGACGAGTTTGATTTTTTTAGTGACGTCCACGTGAAGAACCCGAGCGCTATTTTAGGAATAAGGGGCTCCAATATCTGCAAGGAGTCTCAAGAAATGTCCTTATCATGGCGACGATTATCCGATTTCAACAACCGGCTGGAGCAAAAAGTCGCAGACGACATTAAGCGCTAAATAATTTGCGTCGAACGGAGTCTGCTTCAGCTGACACCTCGTCGACTGACATTTCTGAACGATACTGCTGATGCCAATTCCCCCATACATGTTCTTTAGCAGCTTAGCACCTTGGTTTGTATCTACACTTAGGTGACTTTTGTTCTCATCTATACGTATATTAAGTTTGTTGCCAAACTGTATTGCTCTCATATATATACCCATGGATTCTCCGTCGCCAAACCGTTTGACATAATGCATATGCTGGTGAAGCAGTGATGTAATATCGTACTCAAGACTGCTGAACACTAGAAAGACGGCAAACGGTGGCATTGGTGAAAACTAATCCCTGAGCACAGAAAGCACCAGCTGCTGGGTTGCAGTGGGAGTCGTCCGTGCAGTGACAAACACCTTCCAAAGCACAGAGCGGACGGTATGTCTGTACAGGCGTCCTGCTGAGGCGAAAGACCCTCATGGCCCACTCATTGAGAAATAAGCCACGGGGATCAAATTGTTGCCTGCTAGTGGATGGGATGGCATAGGACACATACAGTACACTACTCAGCTTCATCGGGAAAAGGCCAAGCCAAGACTGGCAAGAAACAAAACATCCAAATTCGCAATTCAACTTGTGTTCAATTCTCACCTGACATGCAGGAACCTTGCCGCACCCGGCAATTTGTGCAAAATGTTGTCAAACGCAACATCTCTATTCTTTCCCCAGTGAGGCAGAGCATCGAAAAGCCTTCCTTGAATCTGCTCAAACTCGTCAGTGATGTCCTGCAGAGAACAACAAACCAGGGATAAAAAGTAAACAATGTGTGCCGTTATGATGAGCGTGCTCTGATGAACCATATTTCATTTAGCTCCCAAAATTTGAACTCACCCCATTTGTACGAGGGTGGGAGACATTTGTGTTCCTGTAGTACTGAATGTCCACCATTGCAGCATCCTCAGTGTTGCCAAGAAGTGTGGTCGACCCGCGGATGAACCGGAAGAAGATTCCTCCATACAGACCAACACCGCAGAATGCATTCTGCCTCATGTCCCGGATGCGCTTGATAGTCAAAATGAATTCTGTGAGACAAGAAAAATGCACATACATGGACTCCATTTGGCAGCATCAGACAGTGCTGTATCCAACTTTTAAGAGATGTTCAGGAGGAACATAAAACGCCACTGACTAGACGAGGCACATCACATTGACTAGACAGCGCGCATCACACTGAATTGTACACCCCTAAAAGCACACTGAAAGTGTACTGCACCTTTGAGTCGCCTGAGTGGAATGACATGGGTGGTCTCAAAGAATTTGATGCCGCTGATGCGAGGGTCCCAGGCACACGTCTGTCTGCCGATGGGGTAGTCTGGAGCGAACTCGCACCCACTGGATGACTGAATGCGGTTGTGGAATCCAACTGAGGATCCAAGGGGAGAAATGGAGGAAGCAAGTGTGTGAGAATGGATGCACAACGTGTCATTAGTTGTGATTTGAAGTTTTGATTTGAAGTTTCGATGAGAAACTTTATGGGACTACTCCCTCAGACATGGTTGAGAAGACTCACCAACAGGGAAGGATGAGAAGGAAGAGCCATCATTGGTGAAACCACCGCCTCCACCGAGCAGAGTCGGCACCTGTCATGGACAACCAGAGACCGTGAGTAACGAGTCAAAACCAATCATCGATTGGTTTCTGGCAAGTCTAGCCAGGAAGTGTAACACGAGAGGAGTATTTATAACTGATTTTTTTAAGAAACAGACCTGGATGTTGAGCCAGGCCTGGCACTGCTCGTCTGCATTGCGGGAGACCTCGGACTGGTAGTCTGCACGGAGGCAGGGAAAGAAGGTGGTTATTGTTTTGAAGTAAATTTGCTGCTGAAGATAATAATGAGAGGAATGGCAAGGGAAACAAGAAAAGGGAGCACGTACCCATTGCAGCCAGAGCAGACCAGACGTATTCAAGGCGGCCGGGGAAGAGAGGGAGTGTGTAGGAGCCATCCCCTGGTGTGGCTACTGACACCAGATTGTCTCGACGCCAGAAAACACTGGAAGAGGGAGGGATGAAAATGGATGACTTAGCTGTTTCGTTAGTTGACTTAACCTAAAAAGGTGTAGTTCACTATGCGGGGTGTGAGATGGATGTCTGCCACAATGTGTGCACAGAAAAAACAAAACAAAACACAAAAATGCTGAAGGATCTGGCGAGGTGTGGAGTATTACCTGTAGGAGGAGGGGTACCAATTGAGGTCCGGGAATGTTGTGTTCTGGGCGAACGCGAGGATTTCATTCTCGATATTATCATCACTGCAGCGTGGATCGGGTGGAGCACAGGAAACGGATGGTTATAATCAGAACAAGATGGAACACCACAGGAATGCAAAGATGGGTAACTGGAAAACGAATCCATGGCGAAAAAAATGCTGTTTTGCTGTTGTTCCACATGGGATAGCCTTTGCGATTGTGAGATTGTGGCACAAACAGATAAGAATTGCTGGACCAGGATAGAAGGTGCCCTCACTCGCCTGGTGTTGTAAAAGACAATCTGGCGTTTCCACATGGGGTAGACCTCGAGGGTCATCTTGGAAATGGCTCCCAGCAGCCCCAGGTGCAGGCGAGCAGCCAGCAGCTCGTCTCCTCCGCTCACCTCCCTCACCCCCACCCACCCACTCGCCTCATCCCCTGCCACAACCACTCGCACCCCCCGCACGTACTCTCCCATGCGCCCACCCTGACATTGGGTTGGAGGGAAACGGGAAGGAGAACGTGTTATAACCATACTCACCCATTGCCGTTCTCCTGAATTTATTGGCAAATACAAGCGAGTGCTATTGGGATGGCATGGTATGTTCGACAAATAAATACACCAGAGTAAACAACAGAGTAACAACAGAGTAACAGCAGTAGCTACCTTGAATTGCAGTGTGCTGCCGTGTGAGCCGGTGCCAATAGCCCCAACCACCGTCACACCATCCCAGTAGGGCGCGGTGGGGAAGGTGAGGTTGTGGCGAGCAAGATAGCTGAAGAAGTCGTAAATCTGTGAGAAAACAAGGCAGCGTAGAATGAGAACAGACAACGCAGAGGAAGAAGACTCGTCGAGAATGGATTATGAAAAAAAAAACACGGTGCCCATAACACAGGTGAGTACTTGAAATTATTTTTTGTGACTGTGGCAGGCAGCAGGTACTCACCATGACTCCGGCGTCTACAGTGACGGTCATGGCCTGTGTGTCGAGCTGAATGCTGTTGTAGAAGGTTGTGACTATAACGACGCCTGCTTGCCCTCCTGGGCAGTACCACTTGGCCGTGGTGTGGATGAACTGACTCACCACCTTCACCTGCCACGTGGCGAAGGGTCATTGAATGGAATTTGAGCCAGTCCCATCCCTGGGGTTGCTGTAATCGAACGGAGCACATTCAACGGCCAGGTTCGGACATGGGTACACCAAACTTATATACTAATTTTCCAGAAATTAATTGAGGAAGTGGGGCCTGGGTCTGCCTCAACCACTTGCCAACCGCCATGGAAGCACAAGGTGCAGAGAGACAGCCAAAGCAGAGTGGTTGGAGATTTGAGACAGACAGGGTCATCCAGGAATGAGAGGGAGGGAAGTGGATATATGGGAAGTGGAAATACCGGGAGATTGTTCTGGCTGGCGTATGCAACGGCAGCAATGAACTCGTCCTCTGATGCTGGGTAGAACACTCGTGATGCCCTGCAGTTGATGCAATCATGCAAACAAAAGTGACGCGAAAAAGGTGAGCAGCCATTGCCACAACACAGAGTAGAAAGAGAGTTCCATGATGCCATGGCAATTCAAAGAAAGACATGAGTCTGATTCCTTGCCAGCTCCGTTCCCTCATTGCTCATTCCATTCCCTGATCATCGCACCCATCCACCTGTCTTACTTGCATGTGACACCGTCGAAATTGGCTCCATAGGCGTTGTTGACAGTGCACGTCTCAGACCCTCCATTCTCACACTCCACCACCGGAGGCGGGACAGCACCCACGGGACCCATGCAGCAGAGCACGATCAGTGTGACTGTGCAGAAGGTGACAATAACACGTGAAAAGGTGGAATCACGCGTAGAGGCATGGTCCTTCGTTGCAGAGGGACGCCGGCTGCTGGACGGCAAATGAGATGGTACCATCTTTCCCAAGAAGCCTTGCCGTCTGATTGGCTGTCTGTCACGGGATCGCAGCTGCTGGTTGTGCTGCTGATGACCTTGCTGTTTGCACACTCCTGCTGATGCCGAAGCTACAGCAGGATCTGATGCTGAAGATGATGCAGATTTTTTTACTGCTGGCTGGTACAAGGGGGATCCAAACGAATGGAATGAATCGGCAAACGTGACGGCGTGCAGCAGTAGTGGGACCACCGCAATGAAGCGGAATCACTGGAAGTAATCCTGGCTGTGGATCTGAGTTGAACTTGCACACACTGTAAATGCCAGATTCCGAGCTCTTTAATCTGATGCCCGCACCTTTGCCTGAACAGCTCAAGCCACGGCCAGTCAGAGCGAAGGCCTCGGAGACGTTTCTCGGAAGGCCCAGATAGACCCTGACGCAACGGACAAATTTAGAAAGTCCACCGATCAGACAACCCTGAGAATGTCGAAACCGAGCCAGTCGCCGAGCGACGGCTGAACCTCTGTCGACTACGGTAACCCAGGACAAGCTGAGTAAGAAGTCCCACCAGTGATCTCTCATATACTCTTCAAGTCACGTCGAGAAATCCGACAAGGCAGAGATCTTGGAGCTTTAGGACCACAAATCAGAAGCTTCGGAGCGGTCGCGGCTTGGAGTAAGGTTGGCCCATCAGCAGCGGGCTTGATGCCACGCTGGATGGAAAGACGCGACATGTGATGTCGCCGCGGGAAGCGGACCAGGAGTGAAGAATTATCGCAGCGGGGTTTCCCGAGATGAGTGAGCCCTCGCTGGCCATGACGGGACGTTTTGCGAAGGTTCAGGCCTTCTTCCTGCCTTCAAGTCACGTGATTCGGCGTGACTTTTCTCACGCTAGTCACAGAATTAGCAGCGAGAAGCGATTCCTGATTAATCCACGAAGCGTGACGCCATTAGCATCCGTACATGGTGGCACCATGATTGCGAAGCATTTGTATGAAAAAAAACTGTAATCTGCATCATTGAAACAGTCAGGACCAATGGCACCATGCCACGAAATCGGCAATGCTGCGCTGGACAGGACTGACAGGACAATGTTTCGTGAATGGACCGTCAACCCATCTGACTAGACCAGTTTCACGAGACGGCTCGTGGATTCCAACACGAAGGAGCACACCATTGCTATCCGTGACGGCTGCCGGTATCAAAACTTCAGCAGAATGTCCATGGCTGCTGATGACAAAGCTCGTGTCTTCTCATGTTATGTCATGTGGATGTGATGTGATATGACCCATTGTTGGATGGGAGGGGAAAACGGGGTACGCGATTGTACCATGACGCGACCGCTTATTAGTTGTTTGAACAGTCTATGGATTTAGTGTCCTTTCTAACGAAACCAGCACGGTTATCTGGTCACTGTTATTTAAGAAAGGCAGAGGTTTGTGAGAATAATCCAATTAGATATTTGTATGATATAGCGTGTTTTTGTGACCGTCATGTCTAATACAGGTATATCACTCCAGAATACATTCCCATCACCCTCTCTATTAAGTGAGCCACTTCCAAGCGAGCCACTGAAGTCAGCCTCAATGCTGACGCATGATTTGAAATTAGCACGTCAACCTCATCCAGTTCACGCAATTCACGGGCCCGAAATTTGGGCCGGACATCTCGCCGCAATTGAGAAACCGAAGATCATCTTCACTTTCACTGCGGTTCGGTTCCCCCTTGATGATCGCCGCCACTTGGAAGTTGCCATTCACGTGGGCGGGGCAGTCATGCTGGTCGCAATACTCGCAGCAGGGTCACACACACGGCAAACACTTCGGTAAAATCATGAGGCACATGGACCGAAACGACACATGGGATGACAGCTTTCTTTCTTGTTTTCGGGAACACCTAACCGAGCGGGCAAACAGCGTTTCTGTCTCGCACATTCTGGGTAAATGCTACACTGCTTCACGAGCCAGTGTTCGCTAGTTCCAGTCTTCTCTCTTCAAAGAACATTTTAACTACTGCAGAAAGATGAGTTCGAACCCAAATCCGAATCAGACGCAAGGGCATCACCATCCCAACAAGAGTCACCTGGTCATTTCTTCCAAACCAAGCACACCCGCACCTCCCGGATTATTCCAACAACCCCCCAGCCTTCAAGCTGTAACCAGGTTAGTCCACCCAACCACCAACCGTACCTGCGCTCTGCGATTTTTTCGCCCCATAGTCCCACCCTGCCTCGACCATCGTCCTTCCCTCACTACCACAGTGTATCCACGAAGCCAGAGCACATACAAAGGCTCCATATCCAGATTCCATTAGCAGTCTATCCACAAAGATTAACCTTCTACTACTATCGATCTGGTTTATTGAGCCACCAGCTTATTCTTCATCATCCTGCGGAAGTTAGATCTGCCACAATGGCTTACACCGTCACCTCGTCAGTCCACTCGACACTCTTCGGACAGTCCATCGCCTGTGTGCACAACGATGCCTCCCACGACATCGCCAGATTCACAATGTCAGTTCCCTCGCAGCCGCCTATCAACCTATCGCTTTCCGTCCAGTCTCCTCAGAGACTGAGCGTCCCAGACGCGTTTCAAGAAAAGGCTCGGGTGTCCACTCCTGCCAAGGCTTCGGCTGCATCACTTCGCGCTGCTGACGGCTCGATCCCTGTTGGCGTACACGCTGCTACAAGGACCACCTTCAGTGCCGAGAAAGCTCGTCTACTAAGGCAGAAGCTACGCGAGAGCGAGGCATTCCACGACACCATGTACCACTCCGGCCTGGCCTCGCGACTCGCTTGAGGTTCGCAGATCAAGGAGATTTGCAACTCCAGTCTCCGCCCCATCAACATGTTTGGCTCCTATACATAGATCCGGGTCGTCAACGTGTGCAAGACCGCACGTAGTCCCCAAATGATTTTTTGTACATAATGTTGAACCATTGACTTCGTTAAACAGAGTTGAATTTCCAAGTGGCATTTACCACATCTGTTAGCTATAAAGGTGGATCCAGTTCACTACGCCGGAAACCATCCTTGAATCCTCCAGCATCACATACGATACATTCGCAAAACGCTTTTGCGTCCTTATTAGCGCGCATGCTTGGCTCAAAGCGGTTGTTCAAACATACTCAGTGAAAGGTGATTGTTGAACAATGACGGGCCACAAGCTTACCACAACGCTGTGGCAACCTTTCAAATCTACTGTAGCGCTGCACATAAGCTAATCAATGACCCGTTTTCAGTCTGAAGCCAACGTTGAATGAAGTTGGGTGCTACGCTACAGATGCACACTTACGAAACTGCAACGCTTCAGAGTCCACCTAAGATCCTGTAGAAGCTGTCAATATTGATGCACACAACAATATTGATAGTTCACTGTACATTGCATCTCTGAACTGCTCTAGATAACAAGCAACTATACCCCTAAGAGACACGGAATGGTGATAATGGCGCCATCAATGAGGCAGCCCTGCACAAAATTGAAGTCGTCCTGAAAGGCATCTTCCAGGAGACCATGGAGGCTGTGATGCCCAGCAGCCAAGTGTTCATCACGCTAGCCGAGACGCAAGCCCGGAGTGGTACATAGCATCGTGATGTGAGTCTCTTTTCCGGAGGGACATTCGCAGAAGTCTGGCCTTTTCAGGAGTAAACCTCGGAGCCAGCTTTTCATTCGTAGTGATTGCGATGAAATCATCCGCTGCTCGAGGTAGCAACTGCAATGATTCCGTATTCAGCTTCAACTGCTCTGATCGCTGATCCTTGTGATGTCGCTTTGCAGCGAGATCCACGTTTGCACTGGCAGACACGCACAAGCTTTCGCAGCTGGAGTGCATCGACAGACCCCTTTTTGTGTCAATCACCAAGCACTGGCCAGTGAATGAAGAGCCTAGAATCGTTGCCATGTCTGAGAAATGATACTCGTCACAGCGTTGCAGACTGAAAACAAAAGCTTGAACACAGCAGCTGCTAAGAATACGAACAGATGCTGTGGAACTCAAATGTGGAGCTTGAATGAACTGTGTCTGTGAAGTCACTCTCGAGCCTCTTTTAGGCCTCGCGCAAGCAATCTGCCTTCCACAATGACAGATAGGCACTGAGTGTTTCCGTTCGGTTGGATGGAGCTCTCTCTGTTCAATCAGTGCTAGGGTGGTGGTGAACCCTGCTGCTGGACTGCACGGAAAAGCAACTCTGCGTTACAGTCAGACAGGGTCAGTAGGGGAGCGAAACGGAAAATGCAACGAATCTCGATTGTGCGACGGAATGTTCCACAACTGGTGTCGCAGGTGCGTCGGGGGAATCGAATGTTACGCAGTTGTATTGAGGCCGCTTCGTCACAAGTGACAGTGCGACAGGTCAGCTTGTGGAAGCCTGAGATCAACTGGGTATCGCCTGAAATCTGCAGCCAGGTGCTGGACGACACCTGGCCGTGGCATCAAGCATGGCGCATCGCTGTTGGCAGCATTCCGCCGTGCAGTCGCGTCAGCGGAACTGGATCTGAAAAAGGTGACGCGGATAGCTGTTCGCATGCGTTGCGACGTTAGCGACCGAGTGCGGTACGTAAAGGCGATGGGAATGGGATGTTTTCTGCTGCCGCGCAAATTTCGGCGATGATCATGGATTGGTTTTTTGCATTCCCGCAGTTCTTTACACGAGAAAATCACGCGACTCGACGATTTTCGAATTTGTGTCAAACCTGTCGACCACTCGTGCACCACGTCAGCGCTATTCTGAATTCCATAAATCCGATCGACCGACCCTATTTCTACACTTGCAAGCACGAAGTGGTCACTATATCGCAAGTATTGTTACTGCTTTAGGGTTTCTCGAAGTGCGGTAGATTCTGTCGCGATATGCATACAATGATTACGCGTGTCTGTTGGTCTCAGCAACTTGAGCGTTTCAGGACAAGGTGCACACCGATGGGATTGCGCCAAAACACAGGGACGATCCGAAAGTGAAGATGGCGCCAAATGAAAAAAACGCGCCGCCCCAGCTGTGCGCGCCGTCTTGTACAAGTGTATTTGATGAAGGCGACAAACAGATACAGAGGTGGCATTGACTGCTCGTAGGACCAAATCTGCAGTATCGGCCTTCTACCTACACGACACCAGCGAATGTACTGTGCAACCCTACAACACGACAAAAAAAGATCTTGGGGGACGATACAAGGCACTAACCTACAGATGTTAGAGAAAGTTACTTTCTGTAGTTACACAACAAAAACCAACCGAGAAACAGTACACCTATACCGCATATGCCATTGTAGGGTCGATCGGATTTATGGAATTCAGAATAGTGCTGACGTGGTGCACGAGTGGTCGACGTGATTGACACAAATTCAAAAATCGTCGAGTCGCGTGATTTCCTCTCTTTACACGTTCGCCCTAATTCTGAAAAGGACCTCGACCTGCGTGGACAAATCTGCTTTCCACGTCCCCCTGTTCAGCATCCTGTCGGTCTGCCTCAAGGCAGAATCCGCGTATAAGGACTATGTGATAGTGTATTAACCGATAACGATATGAGTTAGATCTGCTAATGCTACAGAACCTTAGAAGATACATACCTCATATTGATTGACTGGTTCTCTCATATTTACTGATTTCCCTACAGATAGTGCCTTGATTCGTATTGTTTGCATCTTTATGCACAAAGGGCAAGGCGTAAACCGATTATGTTTTCCTTGTAAAATGGAAAAAAATGAAGTAAATTAGGTCCAATCCGTTCCACAAAATCTAACTCCACAAACGGGCTTATGACGTACTTAGGACACACTGGGCATCTAATCCATTCTCCTCACAGCATCGCGTCTCCAGTTACTAGGTCAATGCATTGGATTGGATGGTGTGTTGGTGCTTGCATAACTCAATCAGGTTCATAACTCGAGGAATCGTGGGGGGGAAGTTATCAGTAACTCGCACTGGACTTGGGCAATCAAAAATGATCAGGAACAGCCGTTTAGTACCAGCATTAGCCGTGTGCCAGATAACAATAAATAAATCAATCATGTACATGTTTACGTCTACAGGCCTCTTAGGCACTGCTTCGTGCAAGCCTCTACCTCAAATCGTATGTGGTTCCTCAGGGAAAGCTCTCTACAACCCAAGAAGCTCTTTCACTGTACATGCTGGCTGTGTCAAGCCAGATAGAAGTCTCACGCCAAGCGGGAGGCGAGACCCGAGTGATACATCCTGTCGTGGTACGACTCGCTTTCGCGCATCTTCTGGCGCAGCATGCGGGCTTTCTCCGGAGTGAACTTGCTCGCGAGCGAAGCGCCGATCTGAACAGGGACCTCGTCGGGAGAGCTCGGTGCGTTATCCGCGAACGACGCGGACGATGTGACAGAGGAGTGACGCGTCAAGAACGACTCGGAGGATAATCTCCCAATGTTTTCCTCTGCGCGGCTCAAGGGCGAAGCGCTCACTGACGCAGGATCGCCGTGTTTGGAAGATTCGCGTCGTGACCCGATAGGGGTTGACCCGGAGGGAGGCGCCTGGAAGGAGAGGGAGCTGGTTTGTCGCGGTGAAGGGGGGTTAGCCATGGCTATCGTGGTGAGTCGGGGTGTCGACGCGCACATGCGATTAGCAGCGGGATTGATGGCCGCGATAGGTATGGCGTGCTGCTGAGTTGCGTGGTTTTGAAGGAAGGAGGAGGTGAGGGTGTTCTGCATGGAGATCGCCATTGGAATCGCTGGCAATTCGAGTAACTAGGTGCAAAAACAGTTACTCTCGCGGCGCAATGAAACCCTGGGACCTTGCGCGAAAGTGCTTGCTAAAGCTGGTAGAAGTGGTAAACGAGAGTACGATTGAAGTCGCGGTTGCTGGATCTCAGCGTGCGTGGAATTCGAAAAGGTGATAGGCAAGAGAAGGAGTTCGAAGTGCTTGATGATGGAAGAAACTGGAAGGTATAAGTGCTTTATACATTCACTAAATATGTTCAACTGCCAGTTGGCGATTCGGGTTGGTAACAGTCGACCATACTTGACGGAGAGGGAGACTAAACGCGTTGCGCGATCAGTCTTCAAGTTCACCTACCGCACCTTCCAATCGCGCGCCGTTCATTGACTCGCAGCATACCCTCCGACCTTTACACGCAATCCCTCCCTAATTTTGGGCCGCCTACTTTCACGTGGCTCTCCGAATGTGCTGTGGTGTGGTCCCGAATATTCGTAGAGAGTGTTGCTGCTTGTGGGTGTTCGCGGTAATCACGATTCACGGTTCCCGCATTTTGGGCGGAGGGGGAGGGATCGCACATTCCGTCAATTTCTCGTCTGCGTGTCAATAATGCTGGCGTGGGTCGGGATGGAAGGAATTTGTTGGTGCGGTGCGACGCCGAAGTGGAATTTTGTGTGGGGGGAGTATGGAGGGAGTTGCCCGGCCATTTCCTCCCGCCGACGGAAGTTTGTTTCGTGGAGCTTGAGTCTGCTGCTTTACGGGCAGGTGTGGTGTGAGTCAGCGGTGAGACGGGGGTGGAAACATTGCTTGCCGCACAACCGACTCCGTCGGGCAGGACTGCTTCTGCCCGCGTCCCCTCAACTCTGAAACGTGGAATTCGCCAGAAGAAAATTATGGAAGAAATGTCGGAGAGCCACGCGGTTCGACTCATGCGGTGCTTCGTCCCCACCGAGATTGCTCAGTGCGTGAGAAATGAATCCATTCTCATTATAAATGTGAATTCTTGAACTACACATACTTATTTTCCATATACTGTACAAACAGATGTCTCATTGATACCATTAAAATGTTACATGCAGCCACTAGCAGAATATCCGTTTTGTTGACCCACGTAAGCTCAATCGCTATGATAGTATATGTAATGTACCCTTATAGATGCCTTTTATTTTATCACATGGTGTGGGCATTTGGGGACACTGTGCTGCTGTTACTGGTGCAATAAAATGGCGTATGATTGCACCAACGGGGGAAAAATACAAGTACGCGTACCACAATCAGTGGCGAGAGATGATAACTAGCCAGGCGTGGCTATCTCAAACAGTGAACGTTGGAAAGTGCTACAGGTGCTCCTGGCGCTAGGGTAAAACCGAGGCGTAGGGTAAGCACATACGCAACAGGGTATATGTTTGGGGTGCAATGGCGCGATGTATTTCATCCCTTGATTATGGCGCGGAGAGGTAAGATCTCCAGTATGTTAGTACGCACTGAGAAGGCTATGTGGCATGTACTCCCATGATAAGATTGAAGTGGGACGGTTGTGACATCAGCTGAGGAATCATGTTGTGGATCAGTGTTCTGATACAGTGTACTGGTTTCATTATTCCACGGTTGCATGTTTTCATAAATATTTACCGGTTTTTTTACAATGAATCATTTTATAATTCAAATACAGCTAAATTTACGGAAGCGTATAGTAGTCACGCAGCACAGTTGATCTAAACAACTCATACTAGGCCTATAGACAGGCATTTAAATTGCAAATTCAAGCGAGTCTTGATGCAAGACCGGAGTGGTACATCCTGTCATGGTGGGCCTCGCTCTCCTTCAACCGCATACGCAGTAGCCTGGCCTTCTCAGGCGTGAACTTGGGAGTTGCCGAGACATTCACCCGGATAGATACCCCAGCTTCGTCAAGTGGTCCCACGGCAGTGAGGGACGCTGATGGTGTGGTAGGAGATCGCTTTGACGAATGAAGACCAGGAGCAGGGGTGTGAGCAGTTGCTGAAGAGAACTCTGATCGTAACGAGTCGCCTGTCCAGGCGGCACTATCGGAAGAAATTAGCTCCGCGCGAATGAAAGACTGAGTCGCGGAGGAGTTGGGTCTTTGCAATGGAGACGCCACCGATGATACGGATCGCCCGACGAAGGAAGAAGTCACAGCCGATGACAGAGCCTTAGCAGGCGACATGGCGAGGGCCATTGTGATGTGTAGTACGAGTGTGATGTGTAGTACGAGGAAGTAATGAATGAAATGCAAGCAGAGGGAGCTGATCAGGTATGTGAGAGGGACACCAAACTCTAGTGATCACGGAATGAATGGAATCAGGTGAAGGAGTTGATAATGAAAGGAATCAGTGGAAGATGTTGGTTCTGACTGACGAATATGCGAAGGGAACTTCTACATTTGGTTTGTGTGAGGCAGTGACGACGGAGAATCCAGGGATCACAGCAGGAAGGTGTGCACGATGCCGCTGGCGGATCATCTTTTCCCGAAATGGAGGAATCATCTGGACACCTCCTGCCAGGCTGGTCAGAAGGTGATGGAATCGCGGATGGGAGTTTTCTACAGATATTTGACAGAGTAAATCTTACCATTGGTCACATAAATATATGTAAGTATGTTCTAAATCCCCAATTTCATGAGTCCTTTGAAATTTCTAATTTCAGGCACTAAGACCCAAAAGCAAACCAGGGGACACCACCCACGTTGAGGAACTTTGCCCTCAAGAAATGTGTACATGGTCACCATTTGTAAAAGTTTCCAGTGTACCTTGTTCGTGCCACCCACCGCAAAGGAAATTGCGGATTCAGCAGACTGACTTGAGTGATTTACGGGCTTTCGTGGAGAGAGTCAGGAAAACGTGCCCGCTCCCTGACGGACCAGTGGAATTACGGCCACGTCACGTCGGCGTGGTTGCTTGTGGCTAAGGAGGATCTTCTCGGTGGCACTTTTCTGGCACGTGGTGCCGACGAGGAAGGAAGTTGCTGCAGCAGTCTCGTCGGTGGCAGCTGACGTTGGCTGCTGTCACCCCTCAAAACCGCCACTGCCAGACTGTGTGTGCATGGTTCATCACGCCTTCTGGAAGTGGCTTATCTCCAAGCACGAGAGGGACTGTAACGGATCAAAGTAGTCCACGTCTGCTGGGATCCGAATGACCACGTCATCACGTGAGAGGTCTAGTTTCACGCCACGTGGAAATCTACATGGCACGCAATCCATTTCCAGAATTCAGAAATGCCAACAGATCATGGACAGTTCCATTTTTTCTCACCTCATATGCGATGTTCGAAATGCAGAGAGCAAAATGCGAAATGTAATCGAGAAGGGCGAAAAGCAGTATGCGAAAAGCACAATGCGAGCAGCGAACAGCGAACAGCGAATACGGAAGCGAATGCGATTGAGAAATGACACAAAATGTTACAGTTGTTCCAAAATGTCACAGTTCCTTCTAGATACTTGAAGTGAAGCCATAACCGGAGATTTTCAGCCATTTCTCATTCACTCTCACGACCAAACCCATAACTTTGGGGATCTCCTAGCCGCGTCGTTTTAGCTTCCAGAACCTCGTCATGGCAGCCACATTGTCTGCTCGGCCTGCAGTCACTGTTGCCTCCTTGGCTTCCTGCCAGGAGACCCGCACGAATGTGTCTGTGAAAGCTAGTGTCTGCTTTGGTAGCAGGATCCTTAGCTTTGCTGCTGAGCAGCGACTGACTGGGCGCAGCCAGGAGCTTAGACAGGCAGTAGCCAAGGTAACTCTCGGCCCGCTGTCGCTAAGATTCACCTACTACTTTCTCAATTCAAAACTTTTATGAATGGGTCGGGAGAATTGGGCAGTGTGAGCATTCTTCAGCCCTGAAGCACACCTTTTTGTATGCGAACTCGATTCGTCTTTCTCAGGCGAGCTCCAAGCGCACCGTCCGCAAGGCTGCAGCTACCTCGGCAATGGCGGAGGTATGTGCACAAGCCCCGTTTAACCTGTGCGTCAATAGGAACAACGAAGCAAGCAATATGCAGGTCACTTACAAATACATTTCTAGAGCTCTTTAACGAATGTCGTTCCCATGCCCAGCTCCTATAAACACACAGATGAAATTCATATCATTCCTTTTATTGGCAATTTATCGGCCATGGCTCAGCGATCTGCGTGACATTCCCTCATGCTTCCCCCACCATAGGCCGTGGAGCGATCGTACATTATGATCAAGCCCGACGGCGTGCAGCGAGGCTTGGTGAGTTAAAGCTCGCCTTCATCATGTTTCCAGGAGCGCAACTGATCACTGACGTTCATTTTAGAGTCGACTCAGAAATCGCCTTCATCATTATTTCACAAGCGCAACTGATCATTGACGCTCACATGTGTGCGAATAGCAAGTTCCTGCATTAAATTATTTGAATTTATTTCTTGTATGTGCGATCTGGCATGGTGATTGCAGGTGGGTGATATCATCACTCGGTTCGAGCGGAAGGGTTTTGTCCTCCGTGGACTGAAGCTGTTCCAATGCCCTGAAGAGCTCGCTAAGGTGAGAATTCAACATACGGGGTTTGGATGATGGCTAGGTGTGATGCGCTACAATGTGCCATCGACACACTTTCGAGTTGCCAGCATGGAAAGGAGAGGGAGTGGCGAGCAATCTAGAACTGTGCACGTGAATCAAATCACCACAACTTGGCTCCTCTGTAATCACTCAATACTCTCGCCACCTAAAAGTTCTCCCCCCCCTCACCCATCCCCTCCCCCTGGTCGCATCCATGAGCAGGAGCACTACAAGGAGCTATCTGAGAAGCCGTTCTATGGCAAGCTGGTTGAGTACATCATCTCAGGCCCAGTTGTTGCCATGGTAAGATATGAACCAATGTGTAACTTCACGTTTCCAGCCTGCATTCTGCATTCTGGCAATCATTCCTGGATCATCAACTTCGACCTTCGTACCACTCCGCTTTCCTGTTACTGGCAGGTATGGGAAGGCAAGGGAGTGGTGGCTTCAGCCCGCAAGCTGATTGGCGCCACCAACCCCTTGGCTGCGGAGCCAGGCACCATCCGCGGTGACTTTGCTGTGGAAGTTGGCAGGTATGGTTACTGTAGAATCAAGGCGTGCACGCATGGAATGGTCATGCTGTCTCTTGCTCTGGTAGAACGATCTGTTTCGGCCATACACATTCAAGATAACTAACACATTCTGCGTGCCTGTGCCGTGTTTCCAGGAATGTTGTCCACGGCAGTGACAGCATCGAGAATGGCGAGCGCGAAATTGGTGAGTTCTCTCATCTACTTCTGCCAATTTGCACCCTCCATCTCTCTTCCCTCCGAAATCTCACCCTTGCTTGTCCAGTTACTCTCCACATTCCCCCAGCTCATGGTCCTTGTGACATTTCTGCGCCTATTTCTCTTTTCGTGTCAAGCTCAATGCGAGTATGTTTTGCCCCCTTTTCATACTGTATGCCGGGCATCACTCTCATGCACCCCATTGCATTACTCCCTCTCTCCTGGATGCTTGTTATACCCGTGCGAGCAGGGCTCTGGTTTAAGGAGGGCGAGCTGTGCGACTGGGAACCTGTTTCAACCCCCTGGTTGAGGGAGTGATGTGTTCCAGGCCTTTGAATGTAACTGATCAAGCTGCACTGTCAATAATGATCATGCAAGTTCATGAAAAGACATAATAGGGATAAAATTGGTAACAAGAGAGCGTCAACCTCATCATCCCGAGGTCTCCACCTACATAGCTAGGTTCCTTGCGACATCCTTTGCTAAGGGTCATTTTTTGCTCAGTAGTTGTAATCATAACAACAGCCTCCTTATTGCCTTATGCGCACTCTATTCACGACTCATGACATCATAGTTTCACTGGTCGACCTGAATAAACTGGTTGTTTTTTTAAGAAAGATTTGACCTACACTGCTAGTATCGTGATATGTCCCTAGATTTGGCTGATTCTGGAGGATAGATGCCATATCTGCCCCATGACTTGCAGGATCTGAACAATTGCTCAATGGGGTACATATTAAAAACAATGTGCTTTTGTATTAGTAAACCAAAGACAACAGTCTCTGCAAACTGGTGAAGCTGGATGCAATCCAGCTGTATTTAAAGCTTGTTTCACGCTCTATTCGCGCAGCCAAGGGAGGAGTGTAGGGTCCCACTTGATCAGCTCTGCCTCCTTGAACCACAAGCCTGCCAACGTGAGAGAGCGGGTGGGAAAGAGTTCATTGATCCAAGGACCGAGGTTCAGGCATAAGGACTGAAAGTTTGGTTCAACAAGAGCAAGAATACATTCACTGCGAGATGGGAACATCTGCAGGTCATGTCGAGAATGTTCAGAAGCATTTGCAGGAAACATGTACTTACCAATCTCACGCTCGCCATTCTCCACACTGTCACTCCCGTGCACGACGTTCCTGTGAGGCAAGAGCAGAAAACGAGTGAATACAAGCGGTGCTGATATAATGTAATAGACCAAAACAACGCTGGCAGATCCGATCGCATGTAGCAAATGATGATAAGACGACGAGGACTAGAATCCTTACCTGCCAACCTCGACAGCAAGGTCACCACGGATGGTGCCGGGCTCGGAAGCAAGGGGGTTGGTGGCGCCAATCAGCTTGCGAGCTGAAGCCACCACACCCTTGCCCTCCCAGGCCTGCAAGACAACAGAGTGATGTTCAAATTAGTTTTTGATGCGATTTTTTTCTGTGCTCATGCGGAAGTTGCAGCCTCGCGTGGGTGTGGTGCGATATGCCTATGCTTAGAATGTGATTCTGTCCTGTATCCGTATATATTGAACTGCACACACCACACCTGAAACCTGACCATTCAGGTATCAAATTCCCAGTTTCCTAAACCCGCAAGATACTGTAGCACAACCGAGAGTTGAACATACCATGGCGACAACAGGGCCGGAGATGATGTAGTCAACGAGGCCCTTGTAGAAGGGCTTGTCGGCGAGGTCCTTGTAGTGCTCCTCCGCCAGCTCCTTGGGGCACTGGAACAGCTTCAGGCCTCGCAGAACGAAACCCTTACGCTCGAACCGACCGATGATCTCCCCGACCTGCGAGAAGGAGCCGAGGCGAAATTGCAAGGGTACTGGAATGAGCAAAGAATTCTCAAAGGTAACGTCGGCTTCTGAACAAGGTTGGTGGAGCCCAGTCAAGGGTGAGAAATCAAGATGACAGCATCACTCGAAGACACGGACTGCCTGAATGCGAAATCGGCAGAGAATGACAGATAGCAACTGTCCCTTAAATCAAGCCAGTTTATAGAGCGATCTGACAATGACTCGATAGCAGTTGGATCAAAACCACGTTGATAACTTCGGAGCTTTCAGGGACACGGAATGTGGCTTACGAGGCCGCGTTGAACGCCGTCGGGCTTGATCATGACGTAGGATCGTTCCTGAAACCGGAAAAAAAGGGTCCGCGTTAAACAACATCATTGCTTCCACAAAGATACGGAACTGGAGCTCCGAGGAGCAGAAACTCTGACTGCTGGAGTACGTAAGCCCAAGGCAGAACTTGACACAGAAAAATCTGCATGTGACCATCACTGACCGTCATTGTGTCTGTTTTTGTTTGCCGCTGAAACAGAGGGGTCTGGCACGTATGGAGATCGGCGGAAGAAGCAGCAGCTTCAGAATGGCAAAGCTCGGTTATGGGTTTCTCAGAAGTGGTTTTCAGTGAGGCTTTTGAATCTGAAGCGGATGCTGAATTCTGAAACACGAGCACAAGGCCGACCAGCAAGATTCGGCAATAAACCAAATTCCACCGTAGTAGAACACGCAGCATTGCAAAGAAAAGCTTATGACCACGGTGCGGGGAAATATTTTCTGCTGGTATCAACTAGAAGGCTGGATCAAATGTGTGTGTGTTCCCCATTTTGTGGAACGCCAAGCGTGGCGAAAATGATATGCTGTCAGCACAACCTTCCGCAGCGTGCCACCTCGGACGATCCGCTTAGATGGCACACAGCACAAACCCTGAACCTCCGAATTCGTTTAACACAGTGAACCAGTAGTAACAACACCAGGAAATATGCACCTAAAGAATTTGCGCAATTCATGTACAGTCTCCCATCCACTTATTCCTTCATACCAGTGGCTCTATGCATATTATTTATTAAAAAACAAACCTCTGTGGACCTATGCATCTGACATATCCAACCCTTCCTGTTGAGGGACTTGGCCTCATTTTCCTGCTCGACCCTGTTAAAACAAGCTCCTCCGAACCTCGGAAGCACCATGCACAGAACGACGTGGAGCATGCCGGTGCTGCTCCGGATCAAGCTTCTGCTCATCCTTCACCCGTGCCTTGACATGTGCGGCCATCACCACTTTGGACAACCTGTGGAGCAAGGGAAAATGAGTTATGACAGACCAAAAAGCAGCGTTAGGTGGTCCGATCCAAGCACTTCCACCGCGTGTGGAGAGCAACATAGCTAGCATAGCTTCATAAGCATATGACACAGAAAACGTTATAAATAAATGCACTTACCGATATAGTTTTTCTCCTCTAAGGGACATCTTAGCACACAACCAATCTGGCGCGATCTCCTCTAGGAGTTTCAACTGCTCCTCAATCTCCTCTGAAGCATGGGTAAGAAAGAACGTGAAACACTGGGATTAGAGGTATAACCACCCAACACTGTCAATGGTGAAAAAAGCTTGCAACAAATCTGGTAAGGTTATGAGAGAACAGAGAGCTGACTCAGCATTTTCACGGTCACATGACGCATGGTGATAAAAATTCTTGTACCCCACCAGATCATACCTTGGTTGGTCTGCTTGCTGTGATTGGCCACCAGCCGGACCACAAGGTCCCTATGTGGCAGCACGGCAGCGCGACAGCTGGCAAAGAGAGCGACGACCATGTCGGTCAGCAGCGGCAGCTCGGCCAGCAGCAGCCGCCGCCGCCGCGCCTGCCGAGCCTCATCGGTAGCTTCGGCACGCTGCTGCTCCTCACGCTTACGAACCTGAAATTTGGGTTTGGAGGGAGGAGCGAAGGATGGTTAAACGAAGCAGAGGGAAGTGAGTTCTTAGAACGCAAAGGCAGAAACAGATCCACTCAGAGCACGGCACAGCAGGGATACAAGGACGAGGCGCTCTGGAAACTCGATACCGAATGAAGCAGTAATCTTAATAGAAGTTAACCAAAAAGGTTGACGCACCGAAGAGACGAGCCCTTGGGGCAGGCGAGACAAGATCTCCGAGTCACTTCCCCCACCCTCCCCATCGCTGTCTCCACCCCTCCCAACCGCTCCTCCTTGCTCTCCACCCTCCCCCACTCCCTGCTGCTGCAGTGTGCCAAGCTCCCCCACCACATCCCCACCCCACACCTCCTCGCCTCCCTCCTCAATCCCTGTTCTGCCTACTGCCATATCACCAGCAGCACCAGCAGCACCAGAAACATCTGAAGCCCCAACACTAACCCCAGCAACCTCCGTTCCTCCAAACAGCAGCTGTCGTGCTGCCCGAGCCTGCTCAGACCCAGCCACGGCTGCTCCTGCCAAACCTCCCACGTTGGTTCGCCGAGCCAATCGATCCAACGCTGGAGTGAGGTCTACCCTCACACGAGCGCCCAAGTCTGGGTTCGGATTCCTGCCGACCCTATCTGCCGAAGCAGGCCGATGGCGGTGGCGTGGGGAAATTGGCCGCGCCTGCACAACAGGCCTGGCAAAAGGTGCAGCTGTTGGCGCCGAGCCTGGACCAGCTTCGGCAAAGGTAGGGTTGGTGGATGCATCAGGAAATAGGCTCCTGCGGCTGATAGGGTGAGTAGAGCGGGTGTGATTATAATGAGTGTGACTAGAGTGAGTGGCATGAGCATTGACAGATGCACGAGACTCTAAAGTTGGTGCCGGGGAGGGAGAGAGTGGGTCTGGCAGAGTCTCCTCCGGTATAGTCACATCTGCTGCAGTCACATCCTTGTTGCCTCCCACTGCCCCCATGGCACGTGCCAGTCTCCCCAGCCTGGCTCGGAACTCTCTCTTCCGCCACAGCATGTCACTCTCCTCGCTCCTCACCCTCCCTTCTGCCATGCCTGTGCCTATTGCCATGCCTCCTGCCTTGCCTGATGCCATGCCTGTGTCTATTGCCATGCCTCCTGCCTTGCCTGATGCCATGCCTGTGTCTATTGCCATGCCTGCTGTCAATCCGCCTCCTGTTATCCCTCCATCGCCCCCTGCACCACTACCGCTAATAGCACCACCATCCGCAGCTGCAGGCATATCACTTTCACTACCGTCCTCCTTCCTTTCCCCTTCGTTCTCCAATATGATTTTCAGATCCCACACGCTACGTCCAAACCTTGCCGCCCTGCCTGCCGCCCCTGAGAACTTCACAGGAGAGGAGTTTTTTTCGGGCAGAAGAACCGATTCCACTCTAAGCAGCGGCACACCTAGCACAGCCTGGCGGGCAGATGCCCTGCTGAAAGCATCTGCTTTACTAAGTGTTGTTTCGCTAAGTGCAACAGGACTCAGTGATATGTCCTTCCCTTCCTTTCCTCCTTTCTCCTTTTCCTTTACCCCTTCTCCACCTCCTCCCTCTTCTACCTTTCCGCCAACTCCTCCCATTCCCCCCTTTCCTCCCCCTGCCCCTCCCCCTCCTCCCCCTCCCCCTCCCCCTGCCCCTCCCCCTCCGCCCCCCACGAACAACATCTGCGCCAGGTGCCGCTGAGTGAAGCGCCTCTTAGTCACGTCCTGCACCGCGTCTTTAATCGCCTGGAAGGAGCATAGAAGCTTCCTCGCGCGCAGCAGGCGGCAGCTCAGCTCCAGTGCGTCGAACAGCTGCGCGATTTCCAGGAACCTTCTCAGGTGTAGGGAAAGGTGGGAGAGACGGTTATGAAAATGTCAGGAGAAGGAGGAGGGGGACGGGGAACAGGAAGGAAGGGGAAGAAGAGGGGGAAGCGGAAAACGGGATGGGGTAAGGGCGGAAGTAGAAAGGCTTGGGTAACGACTGGAAAGTGATATGCATATACAGGGGGTACAGGAGGGCACAGCCTGGCATAATGCAATACAGTTGGACATCTGGCGATACAGGACGGTTCAGGACGGTTAAGGACGGGAAGGAGAGAGGGACATACTGTGGTGGAAGATCGTCAGCCTCCGCCTTCGCCGCTGCTGCTACTGCTGCTGCTGCCAATCCCGCTGCTGCTCTCGCGCTCCTCGCTCCTCCTCCTGCTCCTCCTGCTTCTGCGCCGATTTCCCTTCTCACTGCACTTTTGATAGCTGCTCCTTTCGAAGGTGACTGTATCGGGGACACACCAGCCCGTCCGCTTCTCACCCCCCCTGCAGCTGCTGCTGCGGCCGTTACCCGCCCCTCCATATCCGGCGCCATGCTTCGTACCCCTTGCTGACGTGGCATCTGAACGCCCACCATGGCTGCCAGCACCTCGCCACGTGTCTTAGGCCCACTGGGTCCGCTTCCGCGGCCTCCGGGCCCGGTGCTTCCTCTATGGATGCGGTTCCAGCGGAAGAGGTCATCCCCGTCCGCGTTAATAGACGACGAGAAACGAGTCACGGCACTGTCGGCTACAGCGGCAGCGGTAACAGCAGCACTGGTAGCAGGAACAACGGCAGCGGCGCTTCTGGCAATCCCTGGGTCTCCTGAGTCCTTGAGCTGATCTTTCCTCGTTCTAAGCTCCTCCTCTCGATCCTTCTCTTCCTCATCTCCCTTGCTTTCTCCTCTCACATCCTCCTCGCCACCCTCCTCTGTCTGCTTCCCCCCCTCACCTTCTTCCTCATACACAATCTCTAGCTCCAATTCATCCTCCTCTACCTCCTCCTCCACCTCCCTCTCATTCTCCTCCACCTCCCTCTCATTCTCCTCTACCGCCTTATCGCTCTTGCCCTCGCCCGCTTTGTCGACTTGCTCACTCTCGCGTTCAGCCTCGCCATCAGCCTTGAACGTCGTTCGACTACCCTCCCGCTCTCCCGCTCGCTCGTCCCCAAACGCCAGTCGCCGGTAAACCGCCAATCCCGCCATTGCGCCAACAACTTCCCCCGATGCGTTCTTCCCCGCGACTCCATCGGTACCCTTCTCCTCCGTCCCCACTTCGCTCCCGCCGCTCCCCCTTTCAGCCCCGTCAAACTTCCCGTCCGGAAACAGCACACGGCGGCCGGACAACAAACCCTCGCCAGTCTGTTCCGCGGAAAACAAACCTTCCCCGCGCGCAGCGCCAGGTGCGTTTCTAACCGAAGCGCCGGGGGCGCTTTTGACTAGCGCGTGGGGCGCGTTGCGAGTCGGCGTGTCGGACTCGAAAGGCCGCCGCTCGGGGCTGGCTCCGGGGGAAGCGGCGACGTCCACGTGCGCGGGGTCGAGGATGCGGCGGCGCTTGCGCGGAGCCACCGCGGATCGTCCGCCATGGCGGGCCGCGCCAGTAGGGACCTTCCGAATTGGCGGAGTGCCTAACGGGAAATACGAGTCGCCCTCCATAACAAGTCGACTCGAGATGCGTCCTAAAGTTTCTAAAACCTTTTACTGCGAGGCCACTAAACAAGTATAACGCTTTCGATATATATTCTCCCAGATTAGGACCACCTCGAGAATACTAGGGACGTACGCGAAAAGTCGGATAATGTGATATTGGAAACCATGGTTACATCGCACAAGAGGTGATTACGGTTATGACGGAAAGACTCGCGGGCGAAACGGTAACGGAGGTTACGCAACAGGGATGCGAGGAAATAAGGTCAGTTCGGATCTAGCACGCGTGGGAAGAGCAGCGACCTTCGGACGACCATGGATTTCCAGCACTGACGATGAAATGACGATTCCTTCTGAAATGAAGCTTCACGCAGTGCTGTGTTAGGTCTCAGCTGAAAAGGAGCCCTGAAAGTATCCACCCTTGAGATTGTCTTGTGTTGTGAGTGAGTTGCAGCTGAATCGACGATTGAAATGCCCCCAACTCAGCTTGCATGCGGCATTCGAGACTTCAGCTCAGCAGCAGCTCCCGCCATAACTGCTTCCATCCATTTCCAAGGCATGGTGGCTTTTGACGAATGTGCGGCATGCTCTCGAATGTCTCATGTCATGGCTCGAACCGCGTGGAGGTTGTGGGGGCTGCCGGAGCTTGACGGCTCACGAAAACCGGCCGAAAATCGTTTGGCGCAAGCAGATCGGATTGGCCACGAACTTCGTGTAGGGGTTCGCAATACTCTGACGCCTTCCCGTTAGCGTTGTTCCCGCCTTTCGCGTAACGGCTGATGTTGACAATTTTCATGAAGCATGTATCTACACCACACATGTAGCACCTCATAAAGGTGCTAAAATTGTCCAACATTCTCCCTACTCACCGCTTTCTTTCTATCACCATGAGACATATTAATAATTTGCAAGAGGAGCTGTGGCTTATGCTGCCTACCAAGATTGCATAAAGGTGCTCAAACAATGAAAGGACCCTCCCACTGACAGTGTCCAAATATACAGCAGGTACCAAACCAACAAACAGCTGGAACCGACTATGCCATTACTCCCACCCTGTGCTTGTTGTGTCGTCTTCCGATGGGCCCTGCTGGTGAAGGGCCTTTGAACCCAGTCACCACTTGGTCATCCACGCACCAGTGAAAAGGCACCGACACGATGCGCCTCTCCTGGCAGAAAGAACAGAAGTGGCACAGCTTTCGCATCCCGAATCTCAAGTCCAGTGCCATAGCGTTGTGGAACATGTTGTCCAAAGCAACGCTGCTTAGATCAGGTCCAAACAGTGAAAAGCCACCAGCAGAAATCGCATGCGAAGGCTGAAGTGAGTGTGATTGGACCACAGCAGAGGCTGCAGCTGCTGCAGAGGCCAGAGTACTTGCTGTGAACTTGTCAGCTGTTGGGACCACTCTGGCAACGGGATGCCCAGCCCTTGAGTCCGCTAGACCATCCATCGTTCGTTGACCATCTGAAGAAGACCGCATGTTGCTGTCACGTGGGTTGTTGAGAATCGTAACAGGTAAGCCTGGAGAACCTGCATAAGAATTGGGTGCTGTAACAGATGGATGTGGTTTCCCTTGAACAGAAACACCTCTTGCACCCATGTCGCCAGCAGCAAAGCACCCACTATTAACGGCTTCTTCTTGCACTGCTGCAGTCTTCGATGCCTCTTGACCCTTCAAAATCTTCAACGCAGATCCAGTCTTCCACACCGAAACTGGTGGTTGAGATGGTTCCACAGCTGCGTGTCTCGTCTCATTATTTGAGTAACTCTTGTCAAAAGAAGGAATCTGCTTCTGATGCTCCCCAGAACGAGAGTCACTTGCCTCGTCGTCAGACGAGCTAGAATCCGGCTTATCCTTGAATAGAGAAACATCATCCACGCTCTTGGGTGAAGATGGCGTGCTCGAAGCTGCAACAGACCCCTCCGATTCAACATATTCTGGTTCTGTAACCTTCTTCTTCGCTGCTCTTCTTTCCTTCTTCGACTTCTTCAAGGACACAAGAAAATGGCAATCCCTCTCGCGACTTGGATTATGCTGGTTCAGGATAATGCTGAAGTTTGTATGCTCGTTAATAGGAAGCTTTTGCTTCTTCTCCGTGTTGCCAGAAGACTTTCTACAAACTAGCACCGTTGATAGAGTGGCTGGAGGAAGACCGGCCTTCTGTCCAGCCATGGACTGGAACCGCTTGAAAGTCAAACAGGAATGAATTCCAACAACCCCCTTGTCCACGTCCTTCTCTCCATCATAAAAAAAAATCGGGTATGGCGTGGCGAAGGCCTCCATGGTAACTGCACGTACAAAAATAACAGGAGGTAAGTAGAGCTACCAGATAACCCAAAAAACTAACCAAAGTAACGGATCTGTAACCCATGATGAATGCGACAAGGGATGGAAACACATTAACGACAGCAACAATCGGTCTTGAGCACTGACCAGGTTAGGGCTTCTGAGGACCCGAGCTGAAGGAAGAATCCAGCAATAACAATTTCACAGAACAGACTACTAAATTTTTCCTGCTAGCATTTCAAGCAGCAATAGAAATGGGAACGTCATGAGGGGATTGGACAAGAAAGGGTTGACCAGATCCAATCAGGTGGGACGCCAGGGCTGGATGAACGGTCCATCAGGTAGAGCTCCGACGATCGCAAGGCAGTCGCAAAACCTAATTTCCGCCAATGGGCGATGGCCTGCGACTCTCTCTGTCTCGTGGCGCGCTTGAGCGTTGGCCTTCGCGAAACACCGAAGTGCAATGATGACTCCGCTTCGAATTAAGGTTCTCCAGTAAGGGCGTTACACACTTTATCGATACCCGGCTGTTAATGAACCCTCTAAGTTCTTACATTGAGCTGTTTTCAGGCTAATATAATCTGCTTCGGCTTGCACTTCAGGACACTTTTATACAACGGGAGTGTAAGAACGGCCGACACCCACTTCCAATGGAAACGAATTACGCGGATTTTAGTACGACAGAGATGCCACCTCACTCAACATGGCCTAGATACAACCCCATCGCATCTATAGCCGAAATACATCGGGAAGAGGGTAGAAAATACCCTGGTTATTTGCCAGCTTTCACATGGTCGAGAAGACTTCGTAGAGAAGCTAATCTCACTGGTTTAGTGAGAAAGAAATCCATGCCCACCTTCCTACACTTCTCCTCTTCCTCCTCCAATGCACTTGCCGTGATTGCAACAAGCAGCGGTCTGTACCGAAACGAACATTCTTGCTGCTGCAGCTGCACCTGCTGGGGCTGTAAGGGATGCACTGCTTGAACTTGCTGCTGTTGTTGCTGCGACATGCTACTAGTCCGCGGCACCGCGTCCGACCCATACCGACTCCTCCAAAGCCCGAGAATCCGCGCCGACGCCTCAAACCCATCCATGACTGGCATATGAAGGTCCATAAAAACAACATCCAACCCCTCTCCATCCTTCTCGCACACCGCTACAGCCTCGGCCCCGTTGCGGGCCAACACCAGCTGCTCTGCTCCGAGCGACCGCAGCAGCCGCTGCAGCACGCTGCGGTTGACTGCATTGTCGTCCACCACAAGGCACTTCAGCCCTGTGCCTGTCTTTCCCGCACCCGCAGTGCTTGCCTTGCCTGCCGGTCCAGCCTTAGTGCCGCCTGCTACAGCTGCTGTTGCTGCCGTTGGTGCTGTTGCTGCTGCCGCAGGCTGTAGCACGCTTCGGTTTACTGCCTTGCTGTCTACCACCACCCCACCCAGCCTTTCGCCTGCTGCTTGAGGCGTACTAGGAGTTACTGTTACACTTGCAGGTACTGCTACAGCTGCTGATACTGCTGCTACAGCCACTCCTCCTCCAAGCACTACACCTGCTCCTTGGGAACCCCTGAGAGAGCATGCACCAGCTACAGCCGTTGCTGTAGCTGCAGTGGCCCCATCTCCTGCCAGGCTGGCAGGTGAAGAGACGAATGTTCTCTGAAAGTTCTCACCCAATTCAGCGTGCAGTGGCATCATCGTTTGCGAAGGCTCCACAAGGGGGCCTGACCCCAAACCCGACCCCAAGCCTGACCCCAAGCCAGACACTAAGCCTGAACCCCCCCCTGAACTCCCCCCAGGGGCATGCGGAGCACGCACAGGTGCTGTCTCATGTGCCTGGGCTTGCATCTCAGGGTCGAACAGGAGGGGCTGGCTGGCGAAATCTCCCACAGTAGCGCCCGGAGAAGCGCCCATAGAGCCACCCATGGGAACGCATATAGAAGCGCCTATAGAAGCGGCAGTAGGAATTTCAGACCGGAGCAGAGCAGCGCTTACAGGGCTGGTGGTTCGGATCAGAGCAGCACCTAACGGATTTGATTCTGCCAAGAGCCCTTCACGGCCTTTATTGGCACGCCTAGCACCACTGAAGAATCCTCTGTCGTGTTGTACCCTCCATTTCCTTCTCCTCGCCTCCTCCCTCCGTGCCTCCACATCTCTGCTCTCCCCCCTCCCCTCTCCTCTGTCCTTTCGTCTTTCCTTTCCTCTCTCTTTACCACTCTCCTCCATCGCATCACTTCCCTCCTCTCCCCACTCCCCCCCCTGCTCCTCCCCCCAGCGACCCACCTGCACCTCTCCCCACATTCCCCTGCCCATCCCCTCCCCTTGACGCTCCTGCCTCATCCCCATCTCATCACCACCGCTCTCCTCTGCTCTCTTCCGCTTCATACTCCCTGGAACGCCACCCTTCTCGCCTCCTCCCTTCGCTTCCTCTCCTTCTTCCCCTGCTCCGCTGCTCTCCCCACGCTCGCTCCCTTCAACTACCAACCCACCATACTCCCCTCTATCATCCCCCCACGATTGCAACCTCTCCTCATCGAATCTCACCCCACCGATCCTTGCTTGCTTGCCCTGCCCGCGGCCACTATCCAAAACCCCCCCTCCAAGAACCTCTCTCCCCGATCTTTCTTCTCCATTCACATCCGCCTCCTCACCTCCACCCTCCGCCCCATCCCCACCCACACTTTCACCCTCCCTTACCCTCCTCTTCTCCCTCCCCCCCGTCCTCTCCCCCTTCCACACCTCAAAAGGAAGGGTAAACGCGAAACACGACCCCTTATCCGGCTCACTCTCAATATGGATCCCCTCGCCGCCCAGAAGCCGGACAAGCGACTGCGCGATAGCCAATCCGAGCCCAAGGCCCTGGTACTCCCGGGCGGCAGAGTCGTCCACTTGCACGAAGGGCTTGAAGATTTGATGCAGCATGTTGGGCGGCACTCCCACTCCTGTATCCACCACCTCGAAAGAAAGCCTTGTGATCTGCTTGGATTCCCTGAACTCAGACCTGGATCTGTCTTTCTCTCTCTCTTCCCCCTCGCTTTCTTCCCCCTCATGTTCTTCCCCCTCCCCCGCTTTCCCCTCCCTTTCCGCCCTCTCCCTCTCTTCTCTCTCCCTCGCTTTCCTCTCCCTCTCCTTCCTCTCCCTTTCAGCAGCCTGCGGCAGCAGCTGGGCTTCTGAAACAGTCATGATTCGACCTGCCTCAACAGCCCCACTCTCCCTCCCACTCGCTCCCCCTTCACTCCTCCCCCACACACCCTGAGTGCCAGCAGCAGAACAGCCCTCCTCGTCCTCCACCTGCTGCTGATGCTCCTGCTGCTGCTCTGCCTGCTCCTGTTTGCCCTCCTGCCCTTGCAGCCCTCTCCCCACTAAGCCCCCTTGCCGCCCTTCCCCTGCCTTGCCCATAACCTGTGACACCCGCCGACCCGCACCCCTCTGCTTCCCTCCTGCCCCCACTCCCCCACCAGCACCAGCAGCACCAGCAGCAGCAGCAGCAGATCCAGGAGGGGTCAGGACGCGCACTGTGAGTTGCACGGTGCCTTGGTGGGTGAACTTGAGGGCGTTGGAGAGCAGGTGCAGCAGCAGCTGGCGCAGCATGGATGGGTCTCCCAACACTGCGTGCGGCACTGCTCTGTCCATGCTGATCCCGAACTGCAAAGGGGTGAGAACGGGGAGGGATGTGAGGGAACGAGAGAGAAGGGCGATGGGATTCCCGTGCGCAAGAGACCGCATTCTGCCAGCAATGAGGCAGTTCCCAGTTGCTACCCGCCACCATGCTACACACCATTACCCACCAACAAACACCCTGCACTCACCAGCACCGAACAGCACCCATCGGTACCTACCTGCAGCCCCTTCCTGTGCGCCAAAGGGCGCATGCTGCCAGCCGCCTCCCCAATAGCCCTGTGTAGATCGAAGCGTACCCGCCTTGGCACCACCTCCCGCTTCTGCAGCTGACTCATCTCCAACACCTGTCGAGGTTCAGATGGGTGAAGAGGGGCGTTAATGGTCAGGGAATGGAGGACGTGTCAAAAACGACAGGGTGCAGAGCGGTAGGGCAGGAAAATCCAAGAAGGAACGAACAGGTGTGTTATGGGGTCGTGACGGGATCTGGAGAGGCAGATAGGTCAAACCACATTACAAATTGCTAGTAGAATTGGCAGCACTAAAAGAAACACTTACCTGAGAGACGGTTCCAAGAAGCACCTCGCCCGACTCGTATATACTCTGCAGGTAAGACTGTTGCTCTGGATCCAATTGGGTCTGCATCATCAGCTGTGCATACCCCAGCACGCCGTTAATCGGCGTCCTCAGCTCATGACTCATGTTTGCCAGGAATTGAACCCGCGACCTCTCGGCCGCCCGTTTCGCGCGGGCGGCAAGCCTCAGCTCGCGGGTAAGAGACGAGGAGTTGAGGTACTGTTTCCACATGGTGATGTGGAACGTATCTGGGCCGTCCACTAGCACCATCGCCATCACCTCCACGAGAAACATCTGACCATCGATCGACATGTGCACCCAGGGGAATCTACACGGGCGGCCGTTGCTCGTGGCTATGTCAAGCCAGCGCTGCTCGCTTGCTACTGCTGAGAGGATCCCCTCGGGTTGCACGGGCGGCGAGAAGACGACTGGTGATTGGCCAAAGATGCGGGTGTTGCACTCGTTTTGGGCCACCCGGAGGATGCGGGCGGCGCTGTCGTTGCAGTCGACTATAGTGAGGTTCTTACAAACGAATATTGGGTCCTGCATGAATGGGGTGGGGCGGAGGGAGGAGAGGAAAGGGAAAGCAAACAATTGGAAGAGGATCCGGGCGGCGCTGTCGTTGCAGTCGACTATAGTGAGGTTCTTACAAACGAATATGGGGTCCTGTGTGGGGGAAGGAGAGAGGGAAGGGAGAGGAGAAGGGGAAAAGCAAACGATTGGAGGAGGATGCGGGCCGTGCTGTCGTTGCAGTCCACTATGGGGAGGTTCTTACGAATAATGGGGTCCTGCATGGGGGGAAGGGGGGAGGGAGGAGCGGAAAGGGAGAGGAGGGAGGGAGGAGAGTTAGGTTGCGGAAGAAGCAAAAGGACAAGCAAAATTCGGAGCAAACGCAGGAAAGAAGATTTCTTCAAAGAAGACGGCTGGAGAGAGGGAGAGAAACGACTTACCGACGCAGAAAGGTACTTGCTTAGGTTATCCGAATCCGATACCCCTATCCCTGCTGCTGCAGCAGCAGCCTGGACTCCTGGTGGCAAAAAACTCGTTCCTGCTCCATCTGCCCCTCTCCCTGCTGCTGCTGCATCCACCCCCATCCCCATCCCCATCCGACCCGGTTTGACCCTCACAATCTCCTCTACCTCCTCCTCCTCACACGCCTTTCCAGCAGCCTCCCTCTCTCCCTCCACTCCCTCCTCACTCACTGCTGCACCTTCTTCTCTCGGACCAGTCCCCCCTATCTCCTCCATCTCTTCCTCTTTTCCGCCACGCTCCCTCTCCCCCTCCTCCTCTTTCTCCTCCACATCATAATCGTCATCGTCATCATCACTCGGAGCGTTCTGTGCTTCCAACAGCCGAGTCAACCCTTTCTTGAGAAAGTCCGTCCAAATCCCCTCCCTTACCCCCACTCTGTCCACCTCCAAACCTGGTGACTTTTGAGTCGACTCAAAAGTCTCCCTTACCCCCACTCTCTCCACCTCCACACCTGCTCCGAAACAAGCGGCAGAAGCAGACCCAGAAGCAGAGCAAGTTGCAGCAGCAGCAGCCGCCGCAGAAGCAGCAGCAGGGGCAGCAGCAGAGGCAGCAGCAGCAGGGGCAGCAGCAGAGGCAGCAGCAGCAGGGGCAGCAGCAGAGGCAGCAGCAGCAGGACTAGCGGCAGCACCGGGCACAGCATGTGAACCTCCGGCAGCAGAGCAAGCTCTTGCCGCTCCCATTCTCCCTGCCTTGGCGCTTGATTCAGCTCCTGGCTCCTCCTCAACCTCGATCATCATCCGTCCTTGATCTCCTTGAGCGTGCTGCAAATTACCATCTGCAGCATCATCACCACCGTCACCACCATCACCACCATCACAGCCATTCGGATCAGCTATGCAGGTGCCTTGTTCTTTAAAATGTCTGTCGCCCCCATGACCATCCAATGCACCATCATCCCCAGCATCACCACAACCATCCCCCGATATAACTGTTATCCGTTGTCCTCCCAACTGCTTCCCCTTACCTCTCCCTTCCACTGCTGCATCTGGGGATTTTCCTGCCAGTGTCTGTGGTGCATGAATCCTCTCAAATACCCCCATTCTTTCTGCCTCTGCAGCAGCAACAGCAGCAGCAATACCAGCAGCACCACCATCACCCACAGCAGCACCAACAACACCAGCAGCACCAGTGGTGGTGGCGGCACTAGCATCAGCAACAGCAACAGAAGGAAGGTCCGTGCTGCTGCTACCAGCACCTAGGCTCCTGCTCCTCTGCCTCCCGTCCCCCAACCCCCCCTTCATGATCTCATCCGCTACAGTCACTCCCCCTTCTCCTTCCCCTTCTCCTTCCAGAGCCCTCCTCAAGTGCAGCCCATACGTTACCAGCGCACCTTCCTCAGATAAAGCCTCCCTCTCAGTGCTCCCATCGTTCACACCACCAATTTCAACTGCCCCGCTGCCAATTTCCTCTGCCCCACCACCCACTCCCGCAGCAGCAGCACTGGTGCAACCACCACTCATGCTCTGCCGTTGCTCCCACGCTTCCTCGCCCTTCTCCCCATCTCCCTTGCTCCCCTCTCTCCTCTCCTTCCCGTCGCTCCTCCCCTCCTCCCTCTCCCCGCTTCCCCCATTCTCCTGCCCCAACAACCGCTCACTCTTTGCCTCAGCACTCGCACCGTCAACCCACCTTTGCCCCCGGTTCCCCCTACCTCCCCTCCCTCCCTGCCACTTGCCCAGATCCCCTTGACGCCTCCTCTCCTCTGCTCCAACCCTAGCCTCTTCTTCCGAACCCCCTCTACCCTCGAAACGTGCCTTGATCTCCTCTATCCTCGTTGGTAGCTGATCCAGTAACTGCCTGTCTTCTAACGGATCACCCTCCTCTATAAGATCCTCGTTAGAGCGCCACCGGGGAAGCGTCGGTAGCGTCATGGGCCCTTTCCTCTTCTCTATAGTCACAGGGGCGGGCTGGGGCTTGCGGGTGGCTGTAGCGGCTGCGGCTGCGGCCGCTACAGCCGCTGCAGCTGCTACAGCCGTCGCTGGGGGGACAAGGGGAGAGGAGCTGGGATTTGCTGGGGCTAACACAGCAGAAGGAACTGCTGTGTGAAGTCGGGCTCCTGATGTTCCTGCTGCTGCTGCTGCTGCTCGTGCTGCTGGCGCTGGGGTGGCGGCGGCTGCAGCAGCAGCAACTGCGGGTGATGCGATTGCTGCTGCTTCTGCAGCAGCTGTTGTTGGGACGGCAGCGGCAGCCGCGGGGAATGCTGCGGCGGATGTGAATGCTGCTGCTGCTGTTCTATCGACAGATTCCCCCCCTGCTGCTTCTGCTGCGCGTTGCACGAGCTCAAAGCTGGAGATCTGCGGGAAAGGACTCAGGGTCGGGGTATGCGTGCCGACTGCTTCTGATAATGCAAGAACAGGGGGAGCACCTCGCATATCAGCATCTGGGAAAGGGGCAGGTGAAAGGAATTCCGATGCAGTTGCATGTGCAGCAGCGGCGACAGCAGCACCAGAGGTAGCAACAGCGGCAAAAGAAGTACCGGCAGCAGCGAAAGCAGCGGCAGAGGTAGCGGCGGCAGCAGTAGCAGCAGCAGAAGCAGCGGCAGGGTCTAAGGAAAATGTTGGCTCGCCTGCTACAGCCGCCACTGCAGGTGCAGCCACAGAGGCGGGAACCACCTCAAGCTCCTCGAAAACACACACCACTGACAGCCTTCCTCTGCCGCTTGCTGCTGTCGCTGTTCCTGCCCCACCTGCTCCAGTACCCGCTGCCCCTGCCTGCCCTCTCACAAACGCTGCATCACTTCCTTCTGACTCCCTTCCCCTTGCATCTCTCCTCGCTTCGCCCACAACTTGTCTCCGTGCCACGACAGGCAGCATCCGTGCGCGCACCCACACAAACTGCTGCTCAGTCTGAGGGTCCTCCCCCTCCGCCTCCTCATCCACCCTCAGACGCACGTGCAGCTGGTGCTGCCCGCGGAAAAACCTTCCGCCGCTGCCCGAAACAGCAGCCCCAGTAGTAGAAAACTCGCGCCGGGCAGCGTGAGAAGAAGAAGCGCCTGAGAAACAACCGTGCTGCTCCTGCTGCGGCGGGTTGAAGGGGGTTGTAGTGGGGGTTGTCGCGGGGGTTGTGGCGGGGGTCGTAGCAGGTGTTGTAGCCCAGAATTCTGTATTCCCACGAATTTGCTGCCCAGCATACGCCTGCTCTCCCCCATATGCCTGCTGCTGTTGTGAGTACTGAGGCGCGTCAGTGAATGTACCCCTATAGCTTGGCTGGCTGGTCCCTGTGGCGGCGTGTGCGCTGCACGGGCGGACCGACGGCGCCGTGCTGCTGGAGGGAGCTAAGCGCGCGCACTTAACCAGCGTGTCCTGTTAAAAGCCGGTGGAGAAAAACGAGGTAAAGTTTTGGAAGTGAGCCTTGAGGCTATAGGGCAGTAAGCGCGTAAAGAGCGGGGGAACGTGGAGAGAAGACGGACGGACAAGTGTGCGCACAGATTGCATGCAGATAAACGAGAGGTAAAAACAAATAATAGATAAATAAATGAACAATGGCGGATTGGAATACCATGAAGAGCGGTTGGTCGTTGAGATGGAGCAGCTCCAGCATGGATCGGTTCTCCAGGGACCCCGGCTCCTGCTGCAGCAGTTCGCACGCTCCCATGCTGATGGAAGCAGGGGAGAATAAATAAAAAGCGGGGTAGAGAGGGATGGGGAGGAGAGAGTGGGTGGAGAGAAAGGCAGCGGAGCTCCAGCATGGATCGGATTCTCTAGTGACCCCGGCTCCTGCTGCAGCAACTCGCACGCTCCCATGCTGATGGAACAAGGGGAGATGAGGAGAGAATGAGGGGAGAATGGGGATGAGAGAAGCCGTGGAGCTCACATGGATCGGTTCTCTAGCGACCTTGCTTTCTGCTGCAGCTCGCACGCACCCATGCTGGACTCCATAAGTGGGAGCAAACATGGGAGATTACATGGGAGGAGAGAGTGGGAGGAGAGAAGGCAGCGGAACGTCAGAACAAAACGGTTTCTCTGGAGACCTTGGTTCCTCTGCAGCAGCTCGACGCACGCTCCCATGCTAATGGACACAAGGGGGATCAGAAAAAGGGTTTTCGAGGGATGGGGAGGAGAGTGGGTGGAGAGGAAAAGGCAGGAGAATTTCAGTTTTGATCGGCGCACTAGGGACCCGGCTCCTGCTGTAGCAGCTCGCACGCTCCCATGCTGAAGGAAGCAAAGGGGAGCTGCATGTGAGGGTGATACACTGCTGAACGTACCACGCTAGGGGTGGTTCTACATGCCTGATTGAAGAGGTGTTGACCGATAATAAATGCATGTGAGAGTGATAAGCTGAACGTACCACCCTAAGGGTGTTCAATAAACTAGCCCGGTCAAAGCATGAATAACGATGACGATCTTTCCATGCATTTATCCTTGCAAATCACGTTAAAGAATAAAAAAAATCACGATCTTTCCTCATGAAAGCACTCCATATCCATGCACTTTGTGACAGCAGAAGCCGTATCCATCTTGCTATCCGCAAGAACATAAGTACTCCATTTAAGCTTCGACTCTTCGTAACTTGCAACAATCCGCAATTCCCTCATGAAAAATGCATATTATGTCGTAAGCTGACGAAAAAGAGCGAAAAAGTATTACTACAAGTAGTATTTCGCAGGTGAATACCTAGCAGAGAGAATCTTAGCGCCTCTGGCGGCAATGACGACGGCAGCCGTCAGATCGAGAAGCGACGTCAGCGCATCTCCATGTGCAAGTGAAACGGCCGCCGGGAAATCCGGAACCCGCGAGCGATGAGGCATTGTACTAGTAGTAGTACTTATTAGTAAAACCAACGAAATCTTAGTACAGACCCGCGACCCATCATGATGTACTGTAACAACAAAGTAGCATGTACCACTATCTTGAAACCCTCGCACTACTAGCAGAGAATAAGTGCTGGCATCACACGCTCTAGCAAGTCTACAGTGGTAACTGCTTCACTCATCTGCCAGCCCAGTGTTGGTTGTGAAAGAGTGCTGCTGGTGAGGTGAATCAGGAACCACCACCAACAGTAGGTAGGATGGACTGACGACGACGACAAGTCGACGACACGACAGCTTCCATTGCAAAAAAAAAACAAAACGTCGGTGGACTCTCTCATCTCATGCATGACGTTTCTGTGTGACCTCGAGAGAACGAACGCACAGATCTTTTTATTCTGCACAGATCTGCACTCCGAAACCGCATTCGACAGATCTGCGACGACGGAAGGCGCATTCCGAAATCGCAGGATACGAACAATGAACGCTCTGAGGACGTGTTTTCCTGGGTTCAAAACTAAGGGTCTCGAAATTTCAGTTATAAATCGCGTGATTCGACCGTAGCTACGAGAAAGCGCGATCGGCGCACAATGTAACCCTTTAACTCGACCCCAAGGGAGAAAACGAGGATAATGTGTATGCGCAGTCGGTACCGCCGGGGTATTCTTCACTGTGGCGGGCAGAGCCAGCGAGGCATTATGAACAGTGCATGACAGGATCCGACATGATACGTGGGCTGCCACCGCCATACCTTCATCTTGAACAGTTCTTTCATCGGTCAGAGTGGGGAAAGACCGTTCATGCTCATTGACGGGTTGATTCTGAATGTAAAATTTCACGTAGTCCAAGTACAGTATTACTTATCTGAGTGCACAGTGGCAGTCACTTAAGAAAGTGACACCGGCTCAAAGCTTCTCATCAAGAAGTTCATGGTGAACTCCAATACTATCTAATCTGGACTGGAGGCCTTCATTGACAAACAGTCATATTCATGGAGTGCAACAAGGACTATACCCAGTGGTTGCTTCTGTTGTCGCCACACATCAACGGAACGGACCCAACCCAAGTCTAGGGAATTGCTTCGCGCCCCTCCCACTCCTCGCGAGTCGCGTCGCGACCTCATCCAATGGATGGCTGCAGCTGGTGGCTGGATGTTGACAAGAAAGAACTGCTTTCGCAAAAATATTTGGCAAAAAACGGCCTGCGTTGGCCATGCGGTGGCGCGACGTGCTGACTGTGATCGAATCTAGCAGAATCATGTATCTTCCGATCACAGCCACCAACCACTTCAGAGGAGAAATGTTGGGGAAGTACAGAAGGAAAAATAACCGGTCCGTGCTGTAGTTTGTGAGGTTTTTGCCGAGACTGGCGCTGCCTGGTTCAGACTCCCTGAGACCTGTACACTCGCTGTGGTAGAACTTACACACCGACGGACAAAATGTGATTCAACGGGTCTTGGTGGGTGGTGTAACGTGTTACCGAAGCGGTATTATATTTTTGTGCCCCGAAGCGGTGAGGTCACAGGTCAACCCAAACTACAAGAGCAGCCAAGTTTCTCCAGCGTGCTTCACCTGCACGCGCAATATTATCAACGATCTGGATGTTGGGGCTGGCAAAGAGGAAATGTCCCAGAAGATCGAACAGAATCTTTAGATGCATGTCGGGTTTGGGGCCAATAGAAAGAGAGGATCTGATGTTACGAACACTAGGGAATATCCGTCCCACGAAAAGCAACCTCAGTTTAACGCAAGTTATACATTGCATACTCTACATAACCAGCAGTCTTCTTACACGTCGCTTATATGCTTCAAACCACCTTGGAATTCTTACCTTTCCACCTTACAATGCATGATTGTACACAATATAATACGGCCACATAATGCATACTGCTCTACAATTGCATTACAGCTCCTGAGCTTTGTATACAGCATACCCCGGACATAGGCGTGGGCCTCCAATAGGTGCGTGAAAGCACATATACGGTAAATCCAGCTTGATATGTAAAGACGAAAGTGAATAAAACGAACCCTTTATAACATAGAATATACTGCGTTGCATGAGCTAAAAAGCTGACAATTTAATACAAATCAATGGTTTGGACAGAGAAACAGTACGTCCTGGTTGGGAAAGAGTAGTAAGATGAACAAGGAGGCTTCTGCTGATGTCTCAATGGCACGAGCATTTGACCGCCTCTATTACTATCGTCACCGCAAGGTAAATTTGCAAAGTTTGAGCAAAGAGGTCAAGCTGGAATGTACCTTGACATCTCCAACGCTCGAAAAACAAGGATCGTGCAGAATTTGGCAAGCGGCGGTAACACAAACGCTCGTTCAGTTTGTTCATTTATGATCTCATGCTGCGAGACGCTGAGACTTTGCTCGAACGCCAGCGTTACGCCGGTGAAGCTGCGTTGACTTCAGTGGGAGAAGGATCTGGGTCCGAGTTCGACTTTTTCCCCTTTATCCCCATCTTCATCCACCGACACCCTATCATCAAGAGGAAAGGAAGTTGAGACAAACGACTCAATACAGCATGACTCACATGCAGCCGATGCAGGAGAAGGGCTGCAGCTAATGAATTACCGGCCGCACGTGTCTCCATCCCAAAAAGTGTTGAAGACAATGAAACGGCAAACGAGGCAAGTCATCTCAATTACTTTGCCTACCCACATTATGGGATCCCGCTGGCTGGCCAGAATGCAACTCAACAACGGGTCCAGAATCCCACCATGACTGTGCTCGGAGGAGAAGGACAAGGTGTGGACAGCGAGACAGGGCTGGACATGTTGTTTGGAAACCGACAAGCGGGACAAGACAAACGGATTGAACAAGACATGTCACAAGGAGTCAACATCATTCCCAACTTACAACACCACATATTGGGATGTGCGGCAGCCTGCGTGCCCATGGTCGACTCGACATAGAAGGAGCCAAAAACACTCAAGGAGATGGATAAGAACCACTTCTTTGCCAAGCAGCAGTCGATGCAGAATTGACCAAATTCGACGAGTTTCGAGCCTATGAAGTCGTGGACAGAGCAGACATGCCAAACGGAGTCTCGATGTTGACGAAAGTGTCGTTTTCAGGGTGAGACGAGATGAGCACGGCCAGCCCATTCGGTTCAAAGCATGTTGGGTGATTAAGGGATGCGGATAGACATGTGGAACATACGATGAGACATATGCCTCGGTAAGCCAATGACCTACTTCACACATGTATTGCTGCTGGCGCATTCGAAACAAAGCGTTATATGTTGCAGCTGGACATCTCCGATAAATTATTGTATGCTCCAATCGACAGGGATGATGGAAACAACATATGAAAACCCCGATGCAGTGTGTACGGTATGAAACAAGCACTTCACCTGTGGCATCAACAGTTATTGTTGGAGCTGGACATGATGCAGTCATAATTTGACCCATCATTGTTCATTTGGAAAAGATGTCGCTGCTGACTTACGTCGTGACATTTTGATCCAGTCTCATGACGAAGAGGCCATCCGAGCAGTCAATCAACATTTTAAAGCATATATTTACATTGACGGTCAACAATACCATGATGCAGTTTCTAGGCCTTAACGTCGCTGCTACCACTGACACAATCTCAAGAGGTCTCACCAAGTACATCCCCGTACATAAACGTTTATAGTTTATTCTTCATGGCTCAGGACGGTTATGTACGGTGTAAAGAGGTTCAACTCCACCCTCTTTGTTTGAATAGTCATGTCATTATTTCCAAATGATATGAGTACCCTCCCTTAGGGCGCGGTACAAGTTTGGCTCATTTCAAAGCTCATTTCAGCTCAGGACGCGACCCCTCAACGCCGATCCTGCAATTAATCGTGCAAAATTTATCCTCCACCTATTAAAATCTCGAGTTTCGTGGGTAAAAATGTTGAAACTTCTCTAAGGGCGTATTCCTGGCTTCGGGACATCCGGGCTTTGAGTCATCCCAAATTTTGGGAAGATACGAGCTGCAATGCAGCAGCTCGGGTCAACGAGCCGACCTTGTTCACGTTTTTTCTAGACAAATATTTAGCTGGCTACCCGAAATCGCAGCTCTCGTCGTTGTAAGTTGCGATCTGTCAAGAATACAACTAGGAATGATGGATTGGACTAGGCAAGAGGTGAGTACAAGTAGGGGAAACCTAACCCTAAAGTGTTGTACTCACTAAGGAGTGACCCTACTGTAGCCTAGAGATACAATTGTAATCTGACACACCCCCATAGGCAAAGTAGGTGACAGCAAACACAACAAGCGG